TATAGCTCGTCTTGGTACATAAAGCATGATACGTCATATCACTTCGTAGATAAAAGCGGTGCTGACCAGCAAGACCATTGTACAACAATCATGGACAGTTTGGCTTGCGACCAGCCATCTCCATGATCAGACCTTCTCTACAAACTCCTCGCATCTCTTCTCGTCGCCCGTATATCCACCATTCTCAGTCTCCATCTTTCGAATTTTAGCATTAAACTGAGCCATGAGCTTGGTAAACTCCTTCTCCTTATCCCACACGAAGGGGCTCTTGCTAGCAAACAGGAAGTCAATTGGCTCGAGCGTGCGGCCGGCAGTCTCAGGGAAGAAACAGTAGATTATGGGGATATAGGCGAACATAGCTGCACCGAAGACGTAGAAGGTCTGAGAAAAAGAAGTCAGAAATGGAAACATGAGGCAGGGAGGCTAGAAGTAACCCTCTCGTGGATACCGGCAAACATGACTGGGACGAGCAGCGATCCAGCGCCGTAGCCGATTGCCTAACCCTCGACTTCGAAAGCGTTACCCTTAGCGCGTAGCCATGTCGGGAAAATCTCGGTCGGATAAATAAAAGGAATCATCAACCAGGAGGAACTGAAGACAACAATATAGAGGAAGACCATGGCAGCGGCCCCGGTTCCGTACGATGATCTAAATCTGAGTATATGCCTCATGTAGCGGATAATATAAGTAGGGAATATTGTTAGGGTTAAATTTGCAATATTTCTCAGCTAAGGTATCAAGTGCCGAATGACACTATAGATATTCGCCCTGTTCTCTCGTGATATTGGTCTCAATATGTCAGTCAGACAAAGACAACCCGAGCCGCCTCGTTGCATCATAACAACCCATGATTCTACAAGCGGCCGAGCTATCTTTAGTAACGCGGCTGGGGAGTGGGTATCATTTACTTAGTTCCTAGTTCCACCCAGCAAGCCTACAACTTCAGACTATGCTCTGGCCTCCGATACCAACACATTTCCTACGCAAGGGCTTTCCCCTCGAACTTCTGCAACCCTAGATCCCAAAGCCAATCTCGACATTAAGCACTATTAGTCTTAGCTCTTGGATCTATCGCCTTTGAATCCGCTAAACGGCTCCTCCCACACAATTATTGCGGTTCCTCCCGGTTTCCGGGGTCCCGATGCACCGAATAGCGACCCTCGACTATAGTGTCGTAATTGGTAGTACTACAGAATTAGTCCTTGATTCCGGCGAGAAGAAATTACTGAAAAAGGGTGATGTATTTTTTCAGCGAGGTACGGCTCATGCTTGGAGGAATATGACTAAAACGAAAGACAATTCTAGTGTTTTGCGTGTCTTTTTCGTGTTTCAAACCTATCGAGCAAGTGCAACTAGAAGGCGGAAAGGTCGTTGGTCAGAACTTGAATTTTTCTCTGCGTGAAGCTTAAATTACGCGCGGGGGTGTATTGCTTGAACAGCAGAGGCTAAAGTAAACCATTGTTATGCCTGTTGTGCCTCATAATCCCAAGACGGAGAGATAAGACAACGACGACTGGCAGTCTTGTGCGCAGCATCCATGTGAATATAGTCCTCGCGGTATACCATATGCAGGGCTCTGCATCTCTTTATCCAATAAATACTCGAACTTCCATCACCAGAACTCTAAAAACAGTCCAACTGTAAAGGTTTATGACTGGCTGGGGCCCACGACCCCTTTCAGTCACAGGTGGGATCTAGCCAGAATTGAAACTCGACGGCTCGAGCGGTCGAGAAGAGTACTGTACTTGCACAAAACTCGTGGCCAGATGCTGTTTAGCTATCACTATGGCCAAGAGGTTTTACGACCGACTCCGTCAGTACGCGAAGGTGTTACGATAGTCAAGAGCAATAAATTGCTGTCTTGCGAACGAGGCAACAAAAGCTAAGGAAAGAGAGAAAGGAGAGAGTTGAGAGATGGTGAGAGACCTCTCCTAAATACACCTGGCAGGATCCTTCTCCGCTTCCTTCACCGCCCTCCTGATTCGGCTCCTCCAAGCCAATTCATTCACTTCGTAACAGAAGGCCCCAGATCCGATTGCAAATATACGCTTAAGCGGGATGAACCGCCATTGAGCTGGTCTTTGATTCACTTTAAAAGCGTCCATGACCCTCAACTAGACGGTAAGACAGGCCTGCGTTGGCAACGGATCATAACGATTGCACGTTCACGTCATAATGAAAGCAACTGCTGGTGAAGGCCAACCGAGAGACACAGTGCTTCCGCTACGCGTATAAATAAGTATTGCACCCGGACACCATTTAGGGCCAACACCTCCCTCAGTTGCTGCAAAAATCCCCGCAATCACAGCGGTCACTCTTCAGCTCCTGCGAGCCTTTTAAGAAAAGATCCTTCGCTCCGATATCGCTATCATCTATATCCCACATTCAAGATGGCGCTCCTGCCTTGCAAGCCTCCCAACTTCCATGCCGAACATTCGCGCTATCAAGTAGCATCAGACATCAAGGCAAGTCAGCGAGGGAAGGATCATCCTATGGAGATCACACGAGTGGTATGCCATTTAGGAGATCATTATCTTTGGATTAGCTTTGGGCTGAGATTGGATATTCTGCAGACCTTCCAGTAGGGGATGGGTTTGTACAGGCCTAGGGATGGTTCCCCGACAACCCTAGCGCCTACGGTCGTACCCTATCAAAAATCGGCTCATTGTGATGTAAAAATGATGGCACTGCTTCCGGACTGCCGAGGGGACCAGATCTCTATTACCGAGGAGATTGTGTGCGCTGCTGCTGCATATTGTGATAAAAAAAATGATGGAATTGCTTCTGGACTGTCGAGGAGACCAGATCACCATCACCAAAGAAGTAGTCAAGGCTGCCGCTGGAAATCCGTGAAATAGCAAGGAGGTGATGGCACTGCTTCTGGACCGTCGGCAGAAGTAACATCAGTACCTACTATGAATGATGTATAGTAGTTATTGTTACCGCAATATGTAGTGATGACATGATGTTAAGTGACTCTTCTCACAGTAAGTGAATTGTCTTTTTGCGCTGGGAAGAATATGAATAATTCTCAAGAATATGTAAAGCCCTTACAGCTGAATGATTATTCATTGTATCAAAACTTTGTCCAAAAAACAGTCATACCTTAAACATAAAAAAATATCAGTGGACAAAACGTCGGAGGTGGGGTTGCTGTGTGACAATGCTGGAGTAAATAAATGAAGACGGAACACGTGTGGGAGGAGTGTTTGGAACGTTTGGCATATTTGGGATGAAAGAGAGAGCGCACAAAAGGTCTCATCTCCCTCAAAGTCTCTTTTTCTTTCTTCTCTCCTCAGCTTTGCTTCCTTCGTCAGAATGCACAGTCTCTTCGGATTCCTTCGGCACGTAACATGCTGCAGATGTTTCTGTTTCTCCTCTACACCAGAACTTCACGACTCTTATCCAGATTCTAATGTAGGCGAGGGATGGGAACATCGGAAGCACATCCACCTCTTTTCTAGCCTCTCGGTGTGGATGACGAGGATATCGACTGTCAAGCGCAATTTTCTCCGTAGACGAGAATAAAGGCAATGTTCATGTGATGGAGTCACTGATTGGGATCGATCCAGGGCTTGAGCCCTGGTCGTCAAAGCAGAGACGGGTATCCAAGTCGATGTTGTTACACATGGATGAGTGTCGTTCAGTTCAAGTTGGAAGAATTCAGATGAATAGGATGGAGATGAGATGAATTGCAAAGTGTTGTGCTATGGAAACGGGATAAATTTAAAGGACGAGGGAGAATACGAGGAGAATAAGTGGTCAATTAGAGAGGGTCCAATTGAGATATTAGAGGGCCTCTAGGATCCGGAGATTCATAGAAACTTCAGCCACAGAGCTTGCCATTCTGTGGCGCACCACATGGCTGACAAGATAGAAAAGTTGTGAACCAAACTTCTCAGAGATCTGCGGGGAAAGAACACGGACCCAGCAAGAGATAGTTACAGCGTGATAGGTCGGTCACACGCTCCAGTTGGGTTGATGCCAGGCAAGTACCCAATAACCATTGTGACGATTGGACCGGACGGTGGAACTGGGAGGAAAGCGGAAGGCGGTTCTGCCGGCCCTTGCAAGAGAGGGATCACTCACTTCGCCCATCTCCCTTCCTTTTCTCTCCTTAGCTTCAGAATCTTCGTTGAATGATACGGCAAGTTCGCTTCGCTCTTGATCGTAACACCCATAGTCGATTAATCACAAGCGAATTAATATCTACCAGATCTCCGTAGGGGACAACATGAGACAGCGCTTCAGGGGTGTTCAATACGTTCAGGTGAAGGGCCCTGAAGGGGCTGAAGAGTAAAGCGGCAAGAGCAAATGTCCTACCTAATCATAGGTATTTATGAAACAAAAACATACAACAGCTGGGATTCGCTGGTGGTCACCCACCCAACTACTAACTGGCCGGCGTGTGGTTTAAGTACGGCTGAGCGGACGGGAAGCCCTGTTTTCCACACCCTATGGTCGTATGTGCTGGAATAAGGGTCGCGGCACCCATGCAAAACATCCTAACTGGGACCGTGAGAGCGTGCTTATAGTAATTACTGTGTTAGATACATAGCTATAATATCTTTTTTTCCCTGGTTAGATGTTGCTGTGCGCGGTCTTTATAGTGGTATTAGACCTAAATTTAGTTAGGTTTTAACTGCAGGTGGTGCAACAGTTCTTATTAAAATTTAACTATGTATCTCCCTAAATTTCCTATTTTCAGGCTTGGCAGAGTAATAAAATATGTAAAAGGTTGACTCAGAGGTTATAAAGGATATCATCACTATATACTGAATGGGTATGTTGCAGAGCCTGAAACGGACCACAGTTTGACCAGGTTCAATCTGTACTGTGGCCCGGTGTACTACTGAGGTAGGTGTAGGATGAGAATGACGTCCTGCACAAAGAACCCTTGACTAGATCAGTAATGGGTGAATGACATGGAAATGCGCTGGATGGGTTCTGATTCCAAAGAAAATCCTCTAGTGAACAGTGTTGCAATTTCCTTCTCTCAATCATTTTCCTCTAGACCTGATCAGCGGTGAAATATCGCTGTGTTTTTCCCGGTGGGAGCCTTGTCCAATCGCCTGCAGGTTTTGAGAGAAGACTATGGTGGTTGTTGTGAGGACCCTTGAAGGCCCCGGAGAGACTTCCTGCATGCTTAGGCGAGTCACTGTGCCTTCGGAGGGGCTTGCAGTGCGTTGTTCTGTTTTGGATTGCTCTGATGTATCGCTCCTTGGTTTGGGTTGCTCTGGTGAGCGTTGCTCTTGTGCACGAGGTACATTAACAGCCTTGATTAACTTCCGAAGGATAGCGTATTCAAGCTTGAGCTTGATGCTGTACACCAATGCCTTGAAGGTGGTTTGCACAGAATACAGGCCGGCATACTGCGTACCAACCACAGAGCCATCCAGGAGAATAATAATCACATTGATGATGAGGAGTTCATGCAAGATGTACCGATAACGGTTTACATCAGCATGCCTTAAGAACTTCAATGTACCCCAAATATATAAGGTGGATAGGAATGTCTCTTGGACACAGAATCCAACGAGTTGTACTCTTTCAAGAACATTATATGCCTTGACGAAAGCGATCGGATGGCTTGGTGCATTAGTGCCGAACGCAACCACCGCAGTCGGTATATGGAATATTATGGCATCAAAGATGATCATGTAAAGGATGCCGTGTAGGAGCCGTTCGTTCAACAGAATCAGATGGAGTCGCGACCACAGGACCATTGACTGGCCTGTCACCATGCAACACCAACCGATCGTCACCAGGGTATGTGTTCCAAGATAATTATGACGGACAATGTTGAAGAACTTCAGGAATAAACCGAGGCCGTATGGGATAATACCCATTGATGCGACAAGAAGACTCCAGAAGTAAGCGCCCCGCCACCGTTTGAACATTGTGAGACAGATCACCACGAGCTCTATGGCGTTGTACCAAGCCAACCCGATGAAGGTGGCAAAGAGGACTTCATCTAGACACCGCCGGTTAGTATAGATACCTCCAGTGAGGCCGTTGTTGCTGCCTGCCATGGTAGGCGACCATGTATCTTGTCTGCTATGGAGGAACGATCACCATCAAAGCAGTATCAGGCATGGTCTATAGCTCGGAATTGAGACGACCTGTGAGTGATAATGAGTCTTGCACACTAGCATGCGCCACTAAATGTAATCGTCATGGCCTTCCTTAGTCTTCAAGGCTTGGCGGCGGATTAAGTTCCAGAGAAACATGGTAGGATGGGGTTCTGAAATCCCAGATCTCCGAGGGAGAGCCTTCCACTGGGATAACTGAAAAGGCCTGGCTCTTGGCTGCACTGTAGGATAGAATGTTCTTTTTGGTGATAATATAATCCACCGACAGAAACAGTGCAGGTGATACTTACGTATAGCTAGCATGATTGAGATATTGTCGAAGGCTTACGGAGCGGCGACCTCGATTTCATTGTTCCTATAATTTAGAGCAGGTGCTCAGCACCAGTAAAATCACTCAACCAGTGTGGGCAAATCTTCCCAATCACTCAAAACTGACCATAAACTGGCAGGGACGGACTGTTCCCCCGGGGCCGTATTCAATGTCTCCTCACATATAGACTGGCTCAGTGCAAAACTTAGGTTCAGCGCCACGAAGAGAGGAATCGATCGGGCTGTCAAACTTTGGGACCAATGCCGTGAGCATAAATCATCACCAATCAGGTTGTTAAGATCCGCTGCATATCCGCCACCTGGGCTGGACAGCGTGAGAGAACCGCGCCAGGACCCCTATATCCGAACTCTGGAGAATCCCAAGGGGAATGGTCAGGCTAACTCTTCCGACATTAAGGTTGTCAGACCAAAGACTTAAAATAACGACGGTCTTCGCCACACTTATCGCCCGACGTCCATTGAGGGGTTAAAAAAACCAAGCCGTATGGCTCTCAATGGGCTTGGGCAAATTTCGATCACTACCAGTACCATCCAATTCTCTCACCTTGATGTACTCTGTAACCAACTCGTTAGCGTGTGGATATCCATGTCGAATTCCACCGCGGCGGGTAGCGACAATGGTCTCACAAGCGGTATTTACACCAGCAGCGCTTGTCTTGACTTGACCTTTGTCTCCGTTTTCACCACTATTGCCTCCTACAACGTCATCGAGCTCCTGATTCTCTGCTTTACCAGATTCAAACGGAGGGATGTTTACTTTTGGACGTTGCTAGTTGCAACCCTTGGAATCATTCCCTATAATCTCGGTTTCATACTCAAACTTTCTAGCGTTGTGCACAACAATAACATCTCGTTGACGTTTACAAGCATTGGATGGTATTGCATGGTGACTGGCCAGTCTATGGTGCTATGGTCACGACTCCACCTCCTCCTTCAGAGTCGGAAGCTGCTGCGTGGTATTCTGTACATGATCGTTGCAGACGCTTTTGTACTGCATATCCCTACCACAGTACTTGCCTTTGGTGCCAATGCGCCAAGCCGTCCCCAGGCATTCGTGAATGGATATGAAATTATGGAAAGGATACAGCTGATTGGATTCTTCATTCAGGAGACTCTGCTATCAGTCTTGTACATCTACAAAACAGTTGAGTTTCTCAAAACTCATGTCAGAAATCGTTATTGGGGTATACTGCATCAGCTGCTGGTTATCAACATCCTTATCATGCTGATGGATGCTTCATTCGTTGCGGTTCAGTACTCAGGTTACTACGCGATCCAAGTCACTCTAAAGGCGCTGGTTTATAGCGTCAAGCTGAAGCTGGAGTATGCCATTCTGGGCAAGCTCGTCAAGGCTGTCAATGCACAACGCAAGACCACCGGCTCGTACTGTGACACCGATCGCACAGACAGGTCCTCCATCCCATAATCATGTTCACGCACCGCACCGTCAATCAATAATCAAATAATCGATCCTTCGAAGACGTCCATATAAATAAATGGTGGCAAAGATGGGTAGATGCAAGGCAGGGACGGCTGGTCTTTATTGTCCTATGTTGACCTGGTCTGGCTAGAGACCAGCCGGTGTGGCGCTGAAGGCGTCGAAATTGTACGACGAAGCGGAACTTGAGCCCTCAGGAGCAGCAGGGATGAATGCGTGCATAACATGGCATCCTTGAGGGAAATTATTGCGTTGGATGGTCCGTTGATGAAGAGTGCATGAGTCTGGCGGTGGAAAGCTGCTGAAAGGCCACTTTCCACATCGACTGCAGCCGAGAAAAGGCAGCAAAATAGCAAATCATAAATCTTATGAGATTCAGCGTGAGAGGAGGCCTTCTTGTTAAACCTGCATGGTTGATTTCGTCTCTGTCATCACTTAGCGACGAGATCTTTCCGTCAGATCCATTTATGATCGTCTCCTGGCAGCCAGGATCGTTGGAGGCACCATACTGGTGATGTGCCAACAGAGCCATATCACTGGCAAATTCTGATTCCCTATTTGCGACAACTGTTGCAACAACTCTTGGCAGTCCGTTCCTAGAGAATGCCGCGCGTTCTTGGAGTGCGACTCTCTGCGTGTGCCACGTGAGCAGCTGGTACCTTGGGATTTCCCATTTTGATTGTGTATCGTTGACACGAGTTTGCCGTCATTCTAGCAAAACATTGTGTGCACATAGACACTGCTTAAATAGAAACAGGAGCTTTAACAGGCCTGAGAAGATATAAGAAGGCTTTAAGGTAAGGGAAACTTGAAGTACTGTGATGAAGTGAAGTGAATGGAGGCTATCCCAGTTGAATCAGAGCTGATGAAGTAGCATTCTGCCGTCCGGTTTCCTGATTATGTAGGTTTAGTACGGCATAACATTTGCTTGGATGAGAATGCATGCAGAATATATCGGCAAAGTCAAAATGAAATCAACGGACGGGGGACCTCAGTAACGGTTGTTAGGAGGATTTGCCTGGGGTTTAACAATCAGGTCGGAAGCGCAGATTTTTCTATTCTGTTACTCCGTACAATGTAGTGAGAACCAGCAATACCAGCCTCATAGTAAGATGGGAAGTGCCAAGACATGTTTATTGACACGCATGTCGAACGCAGAAGGATAGGTGGTTCCCTGGGGCAGGAAATGCAGTACTAACTTAGTTATTGGCCCACCGCCCCGTTGCTTAATCAGCATTGTCGGTCGTGGAAGAATGGTAAGCCCGAACGCTAGATCTTGAGGCGCTCGGGAGTTCAACTTGGGGTTCAACTCTTGGCATGAAGACAGCTCATAGCATAGATTACATGTTTAATCTCTGGCACCCACCCTACAGCCTCGCGAAGAGTAAGATCTAATCCGCTTTTGTTCTTGCGGGAGATATTACCAGCCCACAGGCGATATACCCTCAAGACGACGACTTTTGAGCATATAGGGGCTAGTTCCGGAACCGGTGTGCATATAAGCTATATAAATATGCTCTGGATAAGTATCACAGCAAATATTCGCCAGTCAATAAGATGAGGCCAACGTATTTTTTCACTCTTATCTTAACCAGTTGGCAATATAAGCAAAGCTAGAGATTCTTTTTAATTCTCATCAGAGTAACAGTATATGGTATATATAAAAAGGATAATATAATCGCGAATTCACGATCAAAAGAATTTCGAGAGTGGTCGTAATGGCCTGCCGTAGATTGTTTACATTGCCGTCGACGAGTCTAATGAGGCGAGGATATCCAGTCACGCCAAATAGCCTGGTCTAGACACAAAACTTTACCTCCACTGCTAGGGCGCGCCCCAAATGACTCTACAACCATCGCCGTGGTTAGCGCCTGCGGTGCACAGTTGTAGAGAAATTCCGACCATAATCTTGGCTTACGTAAATATCATGCTCCCAGTTTCGGCCTCTTCAAAACTATGCGAGGATCTTGACCGGTCAACTAGAGAAAACCATTGGCCGGCACCTATCGAGGAACTCAGTGCTCTGCATAAGATAACAGAGAAGTATAGCACTGCTCTCTTTCATCTGTAGGATGGAACACAAGACCTTTTTATAATAGTGCATAGGATTTATAACTACTGCCCTTCCAGTCAAGACAAGTGTCAGAAATTCAGGTCAAACCTATTATCCGTGCCTTAGCGCACCCACTCCGGCCATGCCGGAGTGGGTGCGCTACAGCGTAACGGTAGATTTCACCGCAATGGTAGATTTCTCATTAAAATCATGATTTTGAGGCCATACTAGGGGTTATCTATATACAAAAAATCACCATTCTTATCTGCTGCCTCTGCTGATCCATTTAATACCATATTCTCTTGCGTAGGTGCTGGTGGTGGTGGTTTACCATGCACTCTCTCCCACTGCCTTTATAAACACCTCTCTTGCGCAGCAGCATCTTTGGCCTTCCTTGAAGCAATTGATCAATTTGCATCTTGCACCCTTAGTATGCCATTCTAACTAAGTAGCTTAATATATTACTTAGTGTATTGGCGCCATAGGGGGGCTTGCGCAGCCCTGATTTAATTAATTATCTCCTTAAACATAGCCCCCTCCTCCGCGGCGATTCAACTATATTCAATGAAACAATCAATATTCCATATCTGCTTTAGTATAAGATCTGCAACAGTAGCTACAAGCCTAGATAGTTTTGCTTAATTCTTTTCAAGAGCCTGGATCGACCTTGGAGGGGAGATATCAATACTAGATGAAGATAGTGGCCGAGAGGGTGTAGAAGGAGGACTTTCAAAACTATCTAAGCCTTCTATATCAAGCCCATAGAGAATTGGACAGTCCTTCCATTCCTTCTTTCCAAGATCATCAGCTATCTTACTATTAACTGGCCAGATTCCACAATCTTTAAAGGCCTCATGGATGATCCACTGATTGAAGGCTTTCTCCCATACTAATCTAATCACCCATAAGAATTCTGACTTCCCTACTGGCTCACCAGCCCAGTAAGATAGCTCATTATTTATACATCGGAAGTATTACTTGTAGTTCAAGAATGGCTTGCCATCTAGTGGCTGGCAAAGGTGTGTTGTATAAGGAAGGAATCTAAAGGTAATAATGTTATTATCTTTATATGTTTGTAAGAAATCGACGGTAAGATAGGAGCTATAACTATTAAAGATAAGTATCCATTTCTCTCCCCTCTTTATACGCTCATTTGTTGCCTTAATAAAGCTTTGAAGCCATTAATGGGCTATTTCATCTAATATCCAGCCATTAGCCTGCGTAGCTATCATTATATTCAGTGGTAGGGACTTACTCTTATTAAACCAAGATTCCATGAAGGTGCCGCTGCCTAAGGAAGGGAAAAGGAATAGATTAGTACATATATTAGAATATTAGATAGATGGGAGCTTGCCTTTAAAGATAAACCATAGATCCATCTACTAACCATCTACAGATATACATTTAATAGCTGTAATATTCTCTCCTCTTTCAGATTCAGGAAGATCAGGGATAGAAGCCCCTTTTAAACCAATTACCTTCCTAGATCTGCCTTCACCAGGCCGGAAGCCGCATTTGTCAAAGTTATATACTAACCGCACTAGTGTATCCTTTTTAACCACATTTGCAAGCAGATTATACCAGTATGCTAATAACCCTACATCCTCAGCCTAGATATGCTTTGATTCCTTCGTCTTTTGCTTGATAGGGCCTAGATTGAGGTGTTCTAGGAGTCATTTCTCAAAGTAATATGCCCATACCTTGCTAACCTGTCTATCTTCACCAGCACATTAAAGTGACTGATTTACATACTCTTCTAGTAGCTTAGGCATCACTGACAGGTAGTAATCTCACATCTAGACTATCCACTGTATTAAGGCTTCCTCCTGATACCCCTTAAGGGCTTTATTAACTGGTTTACGAGCTGTACAAGGCTGAGAACTAGCGTCCACATAGGGTCATGTAAGGAACGCCATATTCACGCGTAATCTTAGCAAGATTTAGGTTTTTTTGGGCCTGAGCGGCTTCGCAGGCCTTATGGAGGTCAGATTCATTATATTTAATAGATTTAGGCATGTTAGGTGGTGGGAATAGCTTCAAATGCATAAAAGTAGGTGGTTTGGATCAAATCTACCGTTGCGGTGAAATCTACCGTTGCGGTGAAATCTACCGTTATGCTGTAGCGCACCCACACCGAGAGCGGTGTGGGTGCGCCTAAGGCACGGATAAGCTATGACACCGGATGTGATGTATCTAGTGCAATAAAGCTTATGCCATAACCTATATGCTAGCATCAGCAGCCCATGGTTCATTGAGGTTATTCTTTCAGACAATGGGGTCATCAAAAATTCCAAAGATCGGGACCGTTTAAGGTTATAATACTGCGATTTACTTTGAAATGGAGGCAGCTGGCATTATGGATGAGAGTCTATGCCTAGTAGTCTGAGGAATATATAACTATGTTGACACCCATAAATAAGATGGCAAGCATTACTATGCTGCAGCTGCTCCAGCAACCTATTGCAAGGCACTTCTTTGCAGGGTTAATAAGTGAGATATGGAAAAGGCAAGAAGTATAAGAGAATAAATTAAAGGAGTGGAAGGCTTGTCTGCAGGCATAAATGACATCTGAAAAGCCCAGAGGTTGGATATAACCTATTTAATTCACAGATGTATATTAGGCTAATAATACACAGCTTTACTCAAAATATCATCAATAATATAATCCAAAATACTATTCTGGAAATGCTTAATGCCACTGGAGGAGCTTTCATTTAACTCCTGCAGGGATGAAATGAGGGAGAAATCTTGGTTGTGGGGCATGCTAAGTTGTGGATTACATTATGAGGAGAAGGTGATCTGAACTCTAAAGAAACGGATACTTTAACGCATAATTACTAGGTAATTCAGGCAAAATAAAGTCATTAGTAGGAATAGTAGTAAATTAAGGGAGGAAAGTGAAACAGCAAATCACCTTTCTAAGGGACCTTGTGATGTATATTAAGACTCTAGCCGTATAAGCTCACACTGATAATAAGGAATCAATATCATTGCAACACAGTAGCTCTGTGTAACTTGCTCTGTCCAATACAAAATCATGTATGTCTATCAACAGGAATAAGGAATGCCGAAAAGTAACTGTCTAGCTCGTCCACCTGGTCTGGAGCTGCCGTCTTCCCGACCCACAGATCCGGTCGAACAACCACCACAGCACCAGTAACATGGTCAACACCGTAGCAAGAGTGCGCATCGTCTTCTGGTGTGCGGTCATCTGAGATAACCACGGCGCTCTCTTTGAGGGCAGACAAATCGTCACCCTGGAGTCGCTCCTCCAGTTCAAAGGGTGCGCCTTTGGCGACGAGGAGAATGTTAAAACGCGATCTTCCACCGAACCGTTTATAGAAATGGCTCTCGCGCGCTAAAGCCAGAGAAAAGGCGGCAAGTCGTGCTCTCACAGGTCCGAGAAGATCGGATCCAAAGACGACAACGTGGAACCGGTTAGGTCCCTGCATTTTATCGTATAGGTAGCCGGTTGAACCCGTGCTGAAGCACACGCGGGGGCTAGGGGCCCGTACTCCATTACGGAGCACTGTTGGCTTTTTCTTCGTCCCGACGGCAGACCCCTGTGGAACGATGCAAGACGTGCCATACTCGCAGTCAGTGCCTAAGAGGAACTGACCGTACTCAGGAAAGAAGGTACGGAGAAACTGCAAGTCCTGCTGTCGCTCATCCTCCTCTTCGCTGGTGGACTGCGGCTTACCGTTCAGGTGGACCTTGTGGCCGTTGGTCCCGTCCCTGCTAGTGACAGAAAGCTTCACTCCATTATGATGTCCGTGGTCGTATGTCTCCGGTTTGCTATGATCGCCGGATGCCTTTCCGTTGCTTGCTCGGTTGTGCTTAGCTTTAGGTGCTTGGGCATTGCGAGATGGATCAAATCCGAGATCCGCGCCGGCTTCGTAAAGTTGTGCAATAGGGAGTTCGGAGTTGCAGACGAAACGAAGGTATTTACCCGATGTTTCAATGATTCGGACGGCGTGGAGACGGCGCTCGCGGTCGTAGGTTGGCATGAGGGAGTTTATATCTGCTGCACCAGAAGCGCAGAGACCAAGTTTCCAGGCGAGATTGGCTGAGTCGAGGATGGAAGCGTTAAGACCAAACGCGCCCATCACACTATGGACGTGAGCAGCATCTCCGGCCAGGTAGACCCGTAGGTTCTCAGAGGAGAATGACCGAGCTACGCGCTCGCTAACTATAATTGTTCTCTCAGTATGTGAATATTTTTATAAAGGCATAAAGACCCACTCTTCCAGACCGCAAACCAGCTCAATGGTGCCGCAAATTTTAGCTTGTATGGGGCAAATATACGGTTCGCTTGCTCCAGAACTTCATCGGCCGTAATGGAGTGAACGTCCACTCGACCACCGGATTCCTGAAAATTAAGGTCTCTGGCAAGTCTGGATTGTGCGATGGGGCCAGTACTAGAGACGTCTAGCTGGGTATAGAGGCTGAGCCGGGTTAGTATTCCTCCATATAATCTCTGTAAATAGGCAGACTCACCGAATATATCCCTGCTCACGAGGAATAATCACACACCCGCCATGCTTCGAATTTATAACAGATCTAGACCATCTCAGCAGAGACCACATAGGAAGTAATGGATCATACTAACCCAAAAATCCACGCATGTGGATAGTCCGACTCGAAAACACAGTCCATAATACCCCAATAGATATCAGTACTCACTCCATCAAATGGAATCCCAAGACTGCGCCGAATGGAACTCGCTCCTCCATCTGAACCAACAAGGAACTTGGCTTCAACGACCTCGTCCTCACCAGTCGCGGTGTTGGTGATGACGCCCTTGACTGGATACGATTCTAACTGGTTGTCCTCAACCTTGTACTCTTTCAGGACAGTGGTACGGTCCACAAGCACCTTGTGTCGGTAGAGGTCTCGCACGTAGATGCGTTCAATCTGACCCTGTGTGATAACGTGCAGCCCACGGTATCTCGAGTCTGATTGGTGGGAGCGAGAATGAAGTAACGGCTTTCCGTTCTTGTAGATGGCGGTTCGCTCGATCAAGGGGCCCTCTTCCGCAACTTCTTCTGCAAGACCCCAGGTTCCTAATGTTTCCAGGAATCGCGGCTGGACACCGTCCGCTCTTCCGGCCAGCAAGGGGCCAGATGCTTTGTCGATGATGCGGACCGTCAGTCCCTGGCGAATCAAGCTGACCGCGATTTGTAAGCCCGTAGGGCCGGCTAAAGTAAGTCACATGTTAGTAAATGCTCAATAAAACTCATTCCCAGATTATACCTCCGCATATTAGTACATCTACCTTCTTTTTCGGCTTCCACCAGCTGGGCACACCGTGGGGGGATGCAGTCCCATCGTATATCGTAGGCCAGGTCCGCAGGTAATTCAGTCCCATGTTATTATGAACAGACGAGGTCAGCAGCTCAACAGAGGGAGGAACGCTGTAGTGCGGCTCCTCCTTATCCCAGATGTCTCCATTCTCGACCTGCCAGGGGTTCGTGTCTGCCGATTGGCGATATCCGTTCGCGAACGTGAATCCACCAACTGTTGTGGCCATGGTGCTTGTAGGTCTGTCTGAATATGCAGCGTTCCATATTGCTGTTTCACGGCTTCCTATCTTCCTTTGATATAGATAATTAGGAGCAGACCACCTTCTCTTCACCCCCTGTTTGCTGCTGCGTGTTCCGTGAGACATACGTACTCCGGTCCGTCAGTGTAGGGGATGTACTCCGGGTCCAGCGTGAGCTCCTACGGGACGATATGGTAGTTCTTGTTTCGTGGACATTGTCAAACGGACGAAGAAGTCTGGACGCGGTGGAGTTCCGCCATGTCTGGCGTTCGCTCAGTGCCGGTCCCAGCTGCAGGTGTGTTATTCGAGCTGCATCTAAGGCATTAAAAATCTATGGTGACCTGTTTCGTATTAACCTCTTATTCTTTGTCGGCAGCACTCGGATAATAGCCACTTATTAGAAAATATCATTTCAAATACTCGCAGACATTACGAGGATTTAGGTCACAAAGATCAATATATGCATTAAATAAAAGGCCTGACCAGTGAGATGTAATTTTGCACCATCTTCAAGGCATTCAATTCCAGACTTTCTACCCATTCACAAGGTTGTACGCCTCAACCAACCTCTCCGTCACCTTGGTAACCTTGAAACCGTTAGCTGTTGCCAAAGCAAGCTTTATTGAGATTGGACCTACGTTATGTAGCTTGAACGGCTCGAAATGATTACCCGGAATTTTCAACACAAGCATCTTACTGTGAAGTAGCGTGTTCCACTGGGATATCGAATCCTGCTGAGCTGCCTCATTCTCCAACCAGGGATACTCAATTTTGCAGAGCTCCGTCGTGTTCAATGTTTGCTCACATTGGAGTAGCACAGAAGGAATTGGTGTCTGTAGCTTAGAGGGTCTGTATTCTCCTAGCATTGCTGCGTAAGATATGAACTGCCTCCGAAGAAGGACCTGGATTCCTGCGTCCAGATCCTGTAGTACATGCCGGATTACGGCGTCAGGCAGAGGCTGATGGTTTATTGGAGATGGAGAATCGATGAAAATAAGACCGGCGACTTGCGACATCAGATGTTGTGCGATCTCAAATGCCAATACACCACCAAACGACCAACCTATCAGTCTTTAGTTAGAAAAGTGCTTCTTTCAGCTCATAAATCACTACCTACCTCCGATAATCACAGGCCCGTCGAATTTGGAACGGACTGCATCCGCGTAAAGCTCAGCTGTTTCCTTCAGAGTAGTAGGGGTAGGACCTTCAAGGGTATGACTCGGACTAGAAATCCCGTAAAGTGGGAATGGGACTCTCTTCAGCTTGGAGTATGGAGCGACTGATCCACTGCCGTCGTGGACAAGGATCAGGGGGACCGAGTCTGAATCGCCTTTTTGTAGAAGGACGGGTCTGATGCTATTCTGTAGCCCATCTCTGGCCCTATTTCTGGGTTTCTCCAACCCCAAAATAAGATCCTCAAGCTCTCTGATGGTGAGATTATCATGGAGCTGGTCAGCAGATATCTCGACCTTGAGCTTTTCCTTGAACGCCTGTCGGAACTCGATAGAGAGAAGAGAGTCGAGTCCATACGCACTGAGTGACTGGTCTGCGCGCAGCGCAGACTTCGAAACCCCGCATACCCCTGCTAAAATACCCTTGATCGCACTGCGATCTGGACTATCGTTGCTTTTGACGTTCTCAACCTCATCTCTTCGGCCGCTTGTGCGACGGCTCGGCTTAGATCGGATCTCTGTTGGTAGTTGTGGCTTTTTACCAGCGAGGTCCTCCACTTCGCGTGTAAGCTCCCCGATTGTACGGACTCCCATAATAATTGAGCTTTCTAGGTGGACCATGGGGAGGTATTTCTGAAGAGCGGCACCGATTTCAATTGCCATGAGAGAGTCGATTCCGAGTTCTGATAACAATGCAGAAGAACTTGATGAACCGAGATTGATACCGCAGATCTTGGAAACAACCTTTGTGACTAGCGGGGCAATTGACATGGCTTCTTCGTCACCATTGGGAGGCGTGGAAAGCGGAGATTCGCCAGTGGAGATGGTGTCCTCCGAAGATGCAGAGGAGACTGTAGAGCTACTGTCTGCAATGAATTGCGGCCCAAGGTCGGTGCGATAACGAGATAGGTGGGTGCGAAATGCCCTCAGGTTGAGCTTCTTAAAATGGATACCCTCAACAGCAGCAACAAGTCGTCCACTGGAAGAAAGAGCGTACGAATCGGCGATAAGCATATTCTCGTCGCAGTTCAAGAGACTGCAGTAGATGGAAAATGAGTCCTTCTGATCGACATCGTGAAATAAGATCTGGGCAGACTCGACTTTGGTACAAATGTAGATCTCGGAGCTGGTGGCGTAATTGTTGGCCATGAACCCGACACTGTGGAGCAGCGTGTCGATGAACATGGGAGACAGAATGCATTTCTGGTCAACAATAGGTAGCTTAAACGTGCCATATCCCTCCAGGCCTGTATCTGCTACAGTGAGTTGGCGGATGGATCGGTAGCTCTCCGCGTAACGCACAACACGACTGAAGATAGTCTCGTAGAGTATACTGGTGTTGAAGGTGTCGAAGTGCTCGCGGCGCAATTTCAGATGAGACAGCTGTCGCTGGATCATGGCTGCTTTCCGTGTGAAGGCTTTGGTAGTTGTTGCAATGCTCTCGAGGGATACTGTGCCCCAGCAATGGACAGTACAGTTATCCGGCTGCATTGGCGAGTAACTGGAGAACTGGAATAGCTTCTCTTTCTTCAACCGTAGTTGCACAATCCGGTCATCGGGCGAGACATCGTACATGAGTGGGTTGTCAAATGTAAGATCAGTAATTACGATAGCCTGATCTGGTCTAACCCCGTTTAGTGACGCCGCTTCAACAACCATCTCATGGTAGATAGAGGCGGGGCAGAGAGCAACTTCTCCCACCACATGTCCATCGATGTAAGGGGCCAGATACTCGACTGGGGTTTCAAACAATGTATCCGGTCCCCGAAGTCTTGTAGTGAGGAGGCCGGTGCCTAGGAGCGCGTCTCGTGCCCTGGTTGTTTCTTCTTTGGGCGTATCGAGTCGAGTCACACGATATGGGAGAAAGTTCTCGAACTGTTCAAGAGGGTATGCAGGAGCATCAACGAGAGAGGCACCGCTCCCATCAAAAACAGCGCGCCAGTTAATATCAGGACAGAAGGAAGACAGGCTGACAGCTGCGTTCGAAAGCGATTCCCAGGCACTGAGCTTGCTATTCAACGAGCTGAGAAACCCGTACTCTCCATGTTCTGACACCCCGTTGCGAACCATTGGCAGAGTAAGAGGGGAGGGTCCAATTTCCAGGAACACCGTCGAGGAGAGATCCTGATCCGCAGTGATTGCTTGCAGTAGTTGAGCAAATCTAACAATCTCCCTGGTTTGGCGAACGAAGTAATCCGAGTCCACCACAGAGCTCAGGAAGTCACCGTACACCGTAGAGCCGACGAGAATTTTGGCAGGATAGTACGTAACCGACGACGTGATCTTGCGCAGCTCCTCCAGAATAGGATCCATAGCAGCCGAGTGGAATCCGTACGGGACAGTGAGGATCTTGCATTTATACCCAGACTGTTTACACAGTTCAGCGAGAAGCTGCAGCTCGATAATAGGACCTGCAATTACAGAATCATGAGGGGTATTCTGACAGGCCACCTGCAGGTGCGAGAGACTCCCATGGTGGGAGATTAACCGAAGCAACTCCTGGTCACTCTGATTGCACGCCATCATCCCAGACTCGTTCACTGCACAAAGATCTGCAATGAGGGTGGCTCTCGTTGCGACAAGGCGTAGACCGTCTGCCAGTGACATAACGCCGGCAATCACCATAGCCGCATACTCTCCCAGACTAGTCAATGCTGTTACCCAACACGTAATTTAATTTATGGGCGTGGCACTTACCTGTGTCCAATCACCGCCTGAGGCTCAATGCCCCATTCCCTCCAGACGCTGGCCAAAGCATACTCAAGGACGAAAGTGCCTGTTTGCGATAGGTAGGTGTTGTCGCTGTCTTCTATGTTCACATCACCCACCAGCATGCCACGAATGCTCGGAAGCCTCATTTGCTCTAGTATGATTTCGCACCGATCGACACATGCTCGATATACGGGGGAAGTTGACAGCAGCTCACGTCCCATGCCACTATATGCCCCTCCCTGGCCAGAGAACACCATAATAATGGGCCTGCTTTTTGACGGCGTCCGAGTGATAAGAGGATCCCTCAGCTTTGCCAGCAAATCATCCACATTGCCACAGGCTATAGACACAATGTGTTCGTACCGTTGTCGTCGAGCGGTGGCTGTGTAGCAAATGTCGGGTAGTTTCAGGCTCGATCTCGATGCCTCGATTGAACACCTGTATGCTTGCACTCGCGTTTTAAGAGCTTTGATAGTTCGAGCCGAAATCAAGAAAGGGTAAGCACTGCGTTCAGTCACCTGGGAATGCCTCGAAGGAGCCTCCTCAACGATCATCGCAGCGTTGGAACCCGCCGCACCAAAGTTATTGACCATTGCCCTGCGTGGCAGATTGCCTGCAGGTGCTATCCAGTTTGCGCCCTCTGTGGTGATCTGCATATCCGTGGCTAGAGCATCCGCAAGCCTAGGATTAATGTTCTTTAATCCGACCTGAGGTGGGATTCGGTGGTTCTTGAGCATGAGCAGCACCTTGGCGAGGCTGGCTGCTCCTGATGCTGCTTCTGCGTGGCCAATGTTGCCCTTGATTGAGGTGACAAACACGCGATTCTGACGATGGCGAGAGACTTTCCCGAAGACTGACTGAATGCTGGATATTTCGACCGCATCTCCGGCCTGAGTATTAGGTTAACACTCGTCCTAATCAAGAATAGCCGATTAGGGAGATCTTCTACCTGGGTTCCGGTCCCATGAGCCTCGACAACATCCACGGATGAAGCATCCACACCGGCTCTGGAGAGAACCGTTCGGAAAAGCTTCCCTTGCGTTTCTGAATGAGGGCGAGTAATGGAGCTGGCGTTTGCACTCTGGCTGACTGCAATACCACGAATAACGCCGTATATACGATCGTTCTCCTGTAAAGCATCCGACAGTCTCTTGAGAACAAACACACCACACCCTTCGGAGCGGCAATACCCGTCTGCACCCGCATCAAAGGCCTTACATTGCCCAGTAGGACTCAAAAAGTGTGCTCGACCTAGGCCCATATACATGTCCGGACTGACCATGGCGTTTGCACCTCCAGCGATAGCAGCGGTACAATCACCGTTTATCAAAGCCTGACAAGCCTGGTAGATGGCGATGGAGGATGCAGAGCACGCAGTGTCGACCACCATGGAGGGACCACTGAACTTGAAGTTATAGGAGATACGACCGCTGAGAAAGGCTCGAAGTGTTCCTGTGCTGTAGTACACATCGATGTCATCTCGCAAGTTGTCCACATAATCCCCGGTGGCGATTCCAACGTAGCAACCAAAGGAGTCCTTCTGGAAAGATGGGGTGGAGTCGGGGACATATCCTGCATCGTCCAACGCGTGAAGGGTAGCTTGGAGTAATAGTTTTTGCTAGTTCCATAAGTATCTGTAGGTGTAGCCAGGATATTGCAGGCATACCTGTGGGTCCATTGATCGAGCTTCACGAGGAGAGGTATCAAAGAAGGCATGATCAAATGCCCAAGGCTTCTCCACAAAATTACCGTAGATTGACCGTAGGCCGGGCGTTCCCTCTGTGTCATCCGATATAAATTCGGAGACCTTGAATCTCGTTCCCGGTATCTAAGTCACCATATTAGTAGATACCCCAGGCGAATTGGAAATATATCTTACCGTTTGAACAGTATTGATTCCCTTCACCAAGTTGTTCCAGAGTGCCTCTTTATTGTCCGCAGACGGGAAATTCACAGACATACCCACGATCGCAATATCTGCGTGTGGAGTCTTTGGCATCTCTGGTAATGAATGATCAACCACTCGTGTATTATTCCACTGAGTGCCAAAAAATGAGCGTGAATGTGGCCCAAATGCATGAACCTCCGTCTTCAGTGGACCTTGGGATAGGCTCTCCCAAGTTAGCGGCCAATTCAATCTGTGAGTGAGGATGATCTGGACGGCTGTTTCTGTGAGCGTCACCTCCCCAGGTAGGGTCATAAGGCTTCCATCAACCGTTGATCGGAGGGGTATGTATACGGACTGTTGTGCTGGAAAAGAGATTGAGCGTCGCTTGATATCTTGTAAAACCATCTGAACGACTGATTTCGTCGTGTCGCCTCCATGGTACCAGCCGTGTACGGGGATAGGCTTCCCATTGTCTTGTGAGAAGATTTTGAACTGCTCTAGGGCTGAAGGCGTTCCAGTCACGGTGATGATGTCGGGGTTTATTCGGGCGGAGAAACAGACAGCCTCGTTTCCGGCCTGGGCAATTCGTGAACGTTAGTGGTTGAGTCTCGTCTACACGGCTTTGGTACCAACCTTAGAGTTAAACCGATCCACATCCTCTTCCTTGAGTCCACTCAGGGCAATTGACCAGGGGCGGGCACGCCATTGCGGTCCTGCGCGGTCTTCACAAAAAGAGGCCACACGATAACCTATCCAGAATGCCAGTCGAACTGCATTATCACTGCCTTGTATGAAGTCCTCAATCGAGGTGGACGTGGCAACAACCAGAGCTGGTATAACCCCAGAGCAGAAACCCACCACCTCATCATAGTTGCTCGTAATTTCCTGCAAAGATAGGCGGGGCTCCGGGGAGGCTGCACATGTCTCAACATGGTTGAGGTAACTGAGCAATTGGTGGACTAGGAGCGATACCCCCTGGATTATGGGGTTGCTTTGCTGTGTTGTGGGAGGAGATAGAAGCAACTCTGAGGATGTAAGCTCCGCTAGCTCAGGAAGAACAGATTGCCCGTGTTCTTGCTCTCGCACGTTGGACAGCTCCTGTAGAAATGCATTGTAGCATGACGCTAAAAGTTTGCCCGCGGTGCGAGACCTCCTGACATGTCGGATAGCTGTGGTGGAGGCCTCCTGCGAGAACACAGCGCGGCTACCTTGGCCCCCAAAAAAAGCCACCCGGTGGATCTCTAGTGTTGAATTAATTTTGTCCTCCATCCTTCTGCTTGTTGTATACGCTAAAGTATCAGCGTTGCAGAAAAGTATGACACAAGCCAGCTGCAAAAGCCTAGGGAAAGTGGAGGGTATATTACAGATTGGCCTGCACTGACAGGGCGTTGATCTGCATGTGAAACCCTCCTATCGCTTGCTCACTAATGCCGTGCAATAGATTTTGCTTACCATGTATATGGACCGGAGTAACGAGAGGCGGGTGTTGCTCTCTGGCGCGGACCGTACTTGTGTACTCCGCTCCGATTCCGCACAGGCTTGCTTTGCCCTCTGGCATAGAAAGATCTAAAAGATCAGATCATATTTGGCATGTAATAAGTAGTCAATAGTCATAGATCGATCCACAGCAACTAGGGCAAACAATCTCTACAACATTATTCACACTTGAGGGCTTCGACATGGCGCCAAGTTTCGATTCTCCCACTACGTTCACTACCACCTTGGACGTATGCTTCGATCGCGCGACCCTGTGCTTGGATAACGAGGCCAGCAAGGAGGGCGTTCACTCCCTGCCGGATCTGATTCAGTTCAACGCAGACCACAACCCTGACCATTTGTTCGCCATCCAGGAGGTGAAACTTGGCCAGGAGCGACATCTGGAGCGAGTGACTTTTCTAAGCCTACATCATGCAGTCCTCGCTTGTCGGGAATGGTTAGCTGCCAATTTTCCAGTTCGGGGAAACAAAAAGCCCATTGGTCTCCTTATGGAAAGTGGTCTTGGGCTCTTCATTTACCTCGCCTCCCTCCTCTCCCTAGAGAGCCCTGTTCTTCTTCTCTCTGCTCGACTGGGCCCAGCAGCCATCAGCCATCTTGTCGGGAAGACCGGCTCAGTTGCTATTCTCACATCCAAAAGGACAGAGTCGCTAGCATCTCATGCAACTCTTGGTAGTCCAATAAAAATCCTAAACGCCCCTCCACTTTCGGACTTCCTGACCTCACCTTCAATCAGATACGCAGGCCAGCGTCTCCCAAGGGTTCCCTCTCACAAGGACGAGCCCGGCACGCTTATACTGCACTCTTCTGGGACAACTGGACTTCCCAAACCCGTCTTTCTCACGCATCGTTACGTTCTGGGCTACGCCGCGTGTCACCGTCTGCATCCCGAAGAGTCCGTAGGCCGTGTGAACGTCTCGACACTACCACTCTACCATGTATGCTAGTGACCCCCACCGTTTCAAATGACCTATAGTACAGCATACCTAATCCGTCCAGGGCTTTGGCCTCCTTGCCCCGTGTCTCAGTTTATCTGTGGGAAAGCCATGCTGCTTCCCTTCACCTTCTATCATTCCCTCCGCCACCTCCACCATCGAACTCCTCCAATCTACCAACGCCCTATCTCTAATGACTGTTCCCTCGATCATCGAAGAAATAGCATCCTTCTCGGGATCATCGTCTGTTGAAACTCTGCGATCCCTTGACTTCGTGGCCGTGGGCGGTGGTGCCATCAAACCCGAGGTCGGCGAAAAGCTGCACACCCAGGGCGTAACCCTGCTGAATCATTACGGGGCCACTGAGATCGGGGCAATTGCACATATTTTTGTGCCAGACGAAACCTACGACTGGCACTATCTGCGCCTCAGAAGCGACTTGGGATTGCAGGTCAAAAGCGTCGAATCCGACAACAGCTTGCACTGCAAACTGCTTGGGTATCCGTTCGGGTGGGAACGAGCGTTTGAAGTGCAGGATCTTCTAGAGCGGAACCCAGCTTCCATCAATGATGTCGAAGTCAAGATACTGTCAAGGAAGGATGATGTTATTGTACTTGCCACGGGTGAGAAGGTTCTTCCGCAGCTATTGGAAGAGACATTGAATGGCAAGGCCGGCATCAAGACGGCTGTAGTCTTCGGCGAACGCCGCGAGACTGTCGGCGTGCTCATTGAATCACAGCAACCAATTGCTCCTGCTGAATACCAGGGGTTTACCAACAAGGTATGGACATGGATTGATGAGGTTAATCATCTTGTCGATCGACATGCCCGGGTTCCTTCCCCAGATGCCGTCGTGGTGGTGCCAGAGGGCAAGTCTATCCCACGATCTGACAAGGGATCTGTCATGAGGCATGAGGTTTCTCGAGTTTTCGCCGATGAAATTGAGAGAGCCTATTTATCACTGAGCAAGAATGAAATCTATCTCAATCCTGCCAATGTTCTCCCAGGCTTACGAGCCTTAGTCCAGGCTTGTTTGGGTGACCGCATCAAGACAACTATTGCCAATGAGTCGGATTTCTTCGAACTGGGCATGGACTCTCTAGAGGCTACCCGCCTTTCGCGACAGCTTAACTCGCTCCCAAACCGGGACTCTTTCCCGGGGCTCACGGAAGAAGTACGCCCGGACTTCATTTACCAGCACCCAACTCTTTCTTCACTAGCAGGAGCCATGGCGGGTGAACCAGCCCCACCGCCAAGATCTCAAAAAGCATTCGAGATGCAGGATATGCTGCGGAGAGCACTGCAGTGCATCCGTAGCGCTGGAAGTGAAGTCGTCTTGCTCACTGGGTCGACGGGTACTCTGGGAGTACACATGCTCGAGATCCTCTGTTGCAATCCTCGTGTCAAGAGCATTATTTGCGTTAACCGCACCAAACCAGGTGTGGACGCATGGACTCGGCAGGAGGAATCTTGTCGCGCCAAGGGGATACAGCTACCTCTTTCTTCGAGGGACAAGATCGTTTGTCTCCAAACTGCTACCCAGGACCATCATCTGGGCCTCTCGGATGAGGTTTACGCCAGCTTGACCTCCAAGGTCACGCACATCATCCACAATGCCTGGCCGATGGATTTCAAGCGCCGGCTCTCCTCTTTCCAGGCTCCCATTCAGTCGCTCTCCAACCTTATCCAGCTCGCCAAAGATATCCACACTCTCCGACCTCATGTGGTTCCCCGGCTCGTATTCACCTCATCCATTGCGGTCACAGGGCGGTATCCTGGAAGACGGGTCGCTGAGCAGCGCATGACGGATCCAAACTGGGCTGCGGCGATGGGATACGCCGAAGCCAAATGGGTGTGTGAGTGTCTTTTGGAAGATGCTGCGCAGGATTCTCCAGGCTCGTTTCAACCGGCGGTTGTGCGCCTTGGCCAACTCAGTGGCTCGAATCACTCAGGGTTCTGGTCCAAGACAGAACATCTGCCTGCGCTAGTCTCGACATCGGCAAAGATCGGCGCTCTTCCTAACATTCAAGGGGTAAGTGACCGAAACCCACATAGAAATAAACAGAGTATTGATTTCGACCTACAGAGTTTCTCCTGGCTGCCTATGGACATAGCCGGTCGGGTCGTGTCAGATATCACTCTTTCTGACAGTCAGCAACACTTTTATCATGTGGAAAATCCTATTCGACAGCCTTGGGTGGATTTGCTGACCTCCCTGCGCTCTGAGCTCGACGTGTCATTGGTCGAGTTTGAGGACTGGTTTATGCAGGCTCGTCAGACGGACCTGCTTACGGGTCTGGAGGACTTTTTCAACAATGATTTTGAGACCCTTGCTAGTGGGCGGATTATACTGCGGACCGATTCTTCGAGGGCTGTTTCTCCATCGCTGAGGTCTTGTGGCGGAGTTGGCGTGAATGTCCTGAAGAAGTATTTGCAGTCTTGGAAGGATCAGGGCGCTTTGTAGAAACTTCTAACGATTTTGAATAGAGATAGAAACTCTATAAGAAGTGTCCGCAAATAGGAATAGCACTGAAGTGACATGCAGGATAATAGTGTTTAGTTTCTAGCTGTTGTGCTGGTATAGCTGAGTAGCTACTCAAAATCAGTGCTACCAGTCAACGCCTTCCACTCATCGATATCCTTACGAACCTGATCCATAATCGAGGGAATCAGATGAACCGCATCATTACCTAAAGCTAGTCTCGAAGGCAGAGTCTTCCCCATGCACTGCCCAGTATGCGTTAACGCTTCAAATAGCAACTCCGCCGCGACGATTGGATTGCCTGGCTGCTTGCAGTTCTTCGCATCCAAGGCCGACAAAGCGGCATCCACAGGACCAGAAATATCTGGAACACGCCTCTGTGCCCGCTTCCGATTGGAGTCGGTCAGAAAGTTTGTGCGAAAATAGCCAGGCTCTACTGCCACCACGTCAATCCCCAAGTGGGCGACTTCAGCACGCAAAGCCTCTGAGTTGATCGAACAGGCTGCCTTGGAGCTACAATATATTCCAGCACCAGGGACACCGCGCCAACTCCCGATGGATGCCATGTTGCAAATAACCCCAGCGCGTTTTTGGCGCATGTGAGGGAGAATGGCACGGGCGACGTTGAGTTGGCCGATGACATTGGTGTCGTACTGGTGGAGGACCTCTTTTGCACTGGGGCAAGTATTAGTATCGTGTACGAAGCTTGCATTCTGAGAAGCTTGACCTACCTGACCTCCTCAATTCCTCCAGTCAGGATGTAACCGGCGTTGTTCACCAGGACGTCGATCCGCCCTGTCTTTCCCAACACATCAGACACAACGCCATTCAACTTTTCGTCCGGCCAGGTCACATCCAGCTCGTAGGCCAGAGCCCCTTTACTTTCTAAATCAGCGAGGGTGGCGACTTGACGCGCAGTTGCCACTACAACGTCGCCCCGACGGAGGGCAGCTTCTGCGATGCATTTGCCAAACCCGGAGGAACACCCTGTGATGAGCCAGACTCTCGACACCATTTCAGAACTAAGTGCGAAGAATGTATTGAATGTCAGGAAAATACGAGGAAGAGAGACGGAGGAGTGAATTAAAGCTGCCGTGGGTTTGGGACCGGAGTACGAGGTCCGGAGCTGCCAGCGGGTTTCCATGCTGCAGATCACTTCTCGGAGTCAACCTGCAGAAGTCATGGGACTGAAAACGCGGCTATCATCTACCTTGGACTTCAAAAACAAAAAATGGATACTCCGGCCCATTATTGAGATGCAGTCGTGAAGGCAAAGTCATCGAAGAGATAGATTTGTATCTATAAAACACCAGAGAGTATCACGAAACCCTGACGAATTTCCAGGAGACTAAGACACGACCTGACAGAGGACAGGCAGTCAAATTCAATCTCTATCAATCAGCAGCGTCAGATCAGAAACTAAGCTCCGAAAATGCTGTTTAAATTGTGTCTTGTATTGGCTTTGCAGCCCCTGGCCTGGATGGGGGTTGCTGCTCTTCCACACAATTCCACCGGTAAAACATTGCTCCTCTATATTCATCCTTATTATACCCCCCTTTGTCATTGATTGTCTTTAACAACTAACACAAGCCGTCCCAGGGTCTGTTAGCATTACTGAATGGGGCGCCACATGCACCGAGCGACTTCTGCCTGTGCATCTAGAGAAGACTTCGACCCAGAACTTCACGCTGGACAGCTATAGCCACGAGGTTTTCTATGCTCTTACTCGCAAAGAGATACTTATCAGTGGCACCTACAATGTCTCCACCCGCACCTGTATCCCCAAGGGCGGCGCCAAGTCCGAAAGTATCCAGCTACTGGCCCACGGAGCGACATACACCAAGCACATGTGGGATTTCGCATATCAGCCCGAGCGGTACAGCTGGACCAAGCATATGAACGAGGCCGGATATGCGACCATGTCGTTCGATTTGATTGGTGAGTCTACCCTGTTGTCTATAACGGCTCAGCATATTCTCACAACCGCGACAGGTGCCGGAAACAGCACTCGCCCCAACGCCATGCACGAAGTCCAGACCCAGGCCCACGTAGAGACCGCCCGCCAATTCATCAGTGCCCTCAAGGCTGGCGAGATTGACGGCCACCGCTGGAAGCGCGTCGTCTACGTCGGTTTCTCTATCGGCGCTGCCGTTGGCAACTCCCTCGCAACCCAGTACCCTACTGCGGCCGACCAGCTCATCCTCCTGGGGCTGTCGTGGTACACTGACTACATCTACCCAGCCCTTTTGATGATGCTGCGCGCCGAAGCCAACAAGATCGACCCCAAGCGCTGGGGATCTATGCCTGATCTCTACACCACCATGCCCAGTCTTGTGACCCGTCAGTTCTCGCACCTGTACGGGGACTTTGACCATGGTGTCGAAATTCCTGACTGGGATGACCTGGACGCCGACACGGTTGGAGAGGCTGTCAGCTTCATGTTTCACGCCAAAGAAGCCCCGGAGTACAAGGGCCCAGTCTTCCTGGCTCTTGGGAACAGTATGTTCTGCTTTCCCTTCCCCCCCTTGTTCTTCTTGGTAAAGTCGGCAGCTAAGCAAAAACAGACGATGTCACCTTTTGCGGTATCACTTGTGGAGACCACCATCTCGATGTCTACAACAAGTTCCCAGCCGCCGCAGACCATCGCCCTCTGCTCTACCCTAATACCGGTCACAATATCCTCCTGCACCGAACAGGCCGCAAGTTGCTGAATGATGTTACTGATTTCATTCGCAAGCATGATAAATAGGCGTAGATTCGAAGGCTAGCTGAGGTACGTCTGAGGGCATACTGATTTCAGGGAGGGACTATAGTGTATATAGATCATACTAGTACAAAGACTCGAGAAATACCTGGTATATCAATGAAAGAATTTGGGGAACAACTCTATACTTCTGCTAATTTATGTCGTAATTGAACCCTTTTTTTTTTTTTTTTGCTTTTCAGCTAAAGCTCCGCACTTCTAGTAGTTCAGCCTTCCGAGCCGTTCAAGTTTACTCGGCTCCAGGGTTACCAGTAACAAGGATATCCTGACTTCTCGAAATTTTCGGAGCTCCTGTCACGCTGGAAAAGAATAGGGCCCCATGTAGTGCTTATATCACTCGATTCGTAAGTATAGACATAGCTAGAAACCAGCCTACGGTCGATTCACGAGAAGGTGAAGGAAGCTGCTCTATCCCCAAGGAACTGTATCATGAAATGGCATTTTATTCAGAACAGGACGATGGCAGCGTTTAAAGCACGGTCATTCAATAAGCCCATCTACGGCCACTGGCTCCTCCTCTTCATAACGACATGAAAGTCAAACTGTGGCACAAACCATCGGTTCTCCACTCTCCACTGGCTACCAGGATTCTCAAGCCCAATCTGTTTATATTAGACCAGTCTCTTCTCAAAATGATAAAGAAGTTGACCTACCTCATAAGCTTGTAGCAACGTCGGCACCAGCTTATAAACCTCCAAATGCGAGATATTCTTCCCAATGCACGATCGATGGCCGTGACCAAACTACGACTGTTACTCCCGCAATCGTCGACTGAAAATGGATGGCCCTTACCGTCAACAAGCTATTCTCCATCTTCTTCACAGCAGCCTCATCCTTCCCCAGCCATCGTTCAGGTTGCCAAGAGTCAGCGTCTGGACCGAAGGTTTCTTCGTCCCGGTGCACCACCCACGCATTCATACCAACAATCGTTCCCTCTGGCAGGAATTCACCGCATACTTCCACTCCTCCCTCTGGGACAACCCTTTCCAAAGGAAGACCAAAGGGCGGATGTATTCTGCCCGCCTCTTTGATACAAGCGTCGAGATACGCAAGTTGTCGGCTTTGTTTCCATGTTACGATTGCGGAGATGGATCCTACTTTGGCCGCTGTTCGCAATTCATCCATCAGTTTGGCCATGGTCTCTGGGTGTTGAAGCAGGTTATAGAAGATGGTTCGGAGCATGATAGCTGTTGTATCACTGCCAGCGGTTATATTCGACTGCGTCCATGCCAGGAGTGCCCTAGAATTGAATATTAGATATATACAGTTTTCCTCGAGCACGGTCTCCTACCACTGCGGCACACTTTTGTCCTTCGCCATCGCCTCAATAAATCGGGACAAGAAGTCTCGGTCATTCAGATTCTTCGCCTCCTCTGATGGATTGTTCATCAACTTCATCCGCTCATTCTGTCTGGTTACGGCAAAGTCACCCATCGCAGACCATGAGGCTTTGCGCAGTCGAGAAATCCACGGGTTCTTAACCCAGAGTTCATCGATCCACGGCATTTGGCCCACCTAGCCTACATCTTAGCCTAGTCATGCCATCTCTGGAAGGGTCACGTACCGGCGCCACATACTGGAAATACTTCCAGATATCGCCCATGATGTTATCGATATCCTCTCCCTTCTCGAGGAAACCCAGTCGCTGAGAGAATGTGATCTCCCCTATGACATCGAAGGCGAACATTTGCAACCATATCCCAAAGTCTAGGGGTCGGCCATGGTTAGCGAATCGGGTGTCTAACTGGTCAAAAAAACAGTGGATGGTCTGGTCGACGAATGGCTCGAACGAGACGAGGTTGCTCATCGAATAGATACTGGCAATGGGCTTCTTGAGCATGCGGTGGATGTCCTCATCTTGCGTGGCGAAGAGTCCGGGGAGGATCTTTCCTTTAGACATGGGGAGAATGACTTGGTAGAATTTGGACTGCTCCTGGTCAGCTCCTTCATTGGGGTTAACGAAGTTGTATTTTGACAGTACTTTCTTGTACTTTCCGCTGAATCCGTAGATGGCGGGTACCTCCTTGGGATCCCCGACTGAAACCATATTCGGCCCAAAACGCACTAACTTGCCATATTTCCGGTGCAGTTCAATATGGATATCATGTGCCCGCCTACTCCAAACCCAGTAGAAGCGTGGAATATTGGAAATCGAGGCAAAGAATGGTCCGGGGATACGGCGTAGCCTAGTATAAGTTGAGACGAGGTAAAGGATGAGTCCTCCCGCCACGATCCATGGCAGGTACTCTGTAAGAGCGTTAAAGATTTCGAAAGACGCCGAATCCAACATGATGTTGTGCAATTTCCAAGGGATGGTAGTTGTGAGCATACAATCCTAAAGTCGCTGATTTACTGCTTGCTTTGCGTGGATCGCTCAAGATGTAGCTGATGCTTTGTAGAGGACCGGAGTACTTGGAACATCCTGGTCTGAAGAGCCCCTCCAAAGATTGCTGAGACATCGTTTCTGTTTTTATCAGCTATAAACCGTTTGGAACAATACGATGCGTAACGTCAATGATGCTCTGCTACACACGCCTGTTGACTGTGGCATAGTCATGCAACTCCTTGACTGCATCGGAGATAGAGTTCCTTAGAAGGGGGACCGCCAGATGCTGTGAACCATTTCCGGGACTGGGGGGCCCGGGATATAAATTTGAAGCCATCCCTGTCCATTCCCCCTGCATACTAAAATCAACACCTGAATATCCCGACGTGAGAACACCCCAAAATGAAAGAAAAGCAACAAACATCTTTACCCTCGAGCTCGCAACCTTAGATAGGATACAGATCCTCCTTTCCCAATTTGTCCTTGGCCCTTGCTCTGATCCCTGCCTAGCGCCGTCAACGTGAGGTCGATCGTTGTACTCCGGTCCGCTAATTCCCACACAAAGCTGGTCCCATAAAAACCTTTGTTCCTACAAGAAATATCAACAGATTGAAGAGATCCCACGCATTATACAGGCCCATTAAAGCGCTGAGCCTATAACAATCATGGCCGACATTGAGAAACAACGCGATATCGGCCCTCCAGCCAGCGCTGAGCTCCCTGCGACGTCCGAGATGAGGGAGGTGCGTGGCCTCGCCTGGATCATGGTGGTAGGATCCATTCTCTCGGCAACGTTCCTTTATGGCTTGGATCAGACGATTGTGGCCAATATCCAGCCTGCTATTGTGGACCGTTTTGATTCGCTGGGCCAGCTGTCATGGATCTCAGTCGCTTTTTTGCTGGGGGCTGCCAGCAGCAACCTCTTCTGGTGGGTTCATTGATGATCGAGGATATACGATGTAGCTCTCTAACGGGCAATAGGGGTCAGATGTACGGTCGCTTCAATGTGAAATGGCTATATTTTGCCTGTGTAGGCCTTTTCGAGTTGGGATCCACGGTGTGCGGTGCTGCACAGTCGATGGCAGCTCTCATCGTTGGGCGTGCCATCTGCGGCTTTGGAGGCGCCGGAATGTACACTGGATCCATGGCCTTGCTCTCCCTCACTACAACGGAAACGGAGCGGCCGTTCTACCTGGGTCTTCCGGGCCTCACCTGGGGGGCTGGGACTATTCTGGGACCCGTACTGGGAGGTGCCTTCACCGACAGCAGCGCAGGCTGGCGCTGGGCGTTCTATATTAATCTGTGCATAGGCGCCCTCTGTGTCCCAGTGTATATCTTCCTGGTTCCCAGTAAAGATGCGAACCCCGGTCTCTCTTTCTGGCGTCGCGTCGGAGGGATAGACCTGCTAGGATTCATCCTGATGACGGGCACTTTCACGGCCGGACTCATGGCGATCTCTTTCGGAGGTACCGAATACCCCTGGAACAGCCCGCAGATTATTGCATTGTTCGTCGTAGCCGGCGTCGTGACGATCCTCTTCTGGGTGCAGCAGTTCCTCGCCATCGGTGTCAAGCGAGAGCACGTCTCCTTCCCCCTGACCTTCCTGAAAGAGCACAGGCTCCTCCTTGTCGCCCTAGTAGAAGCCTCCGCAATCACAGCCACCTTCATTCCCATTTATTTTCTCCCTCTCTTCTTCCAGTTCGTGCACGGCGACTCGGCCCTCGACACGGGTGTCCGTATCCTTCCCTACGTTGTCTTCTGCGTCTTGTCGTGTATCCTCAGCGGCCATGCCGTCAGCAAAAATGGCCAATGGCTTCCTTGGTTCCTCGGCGGCGGCGCCTTCGTCCTCGCCGGAAGTGTCGCCCTCTACACCGTCAACGAGGGAACCTCCACCGCAAAGGTCTATGGATACAGTATCATGATCGGCTTCGGCGCGGGCTCCTACCTCCAGTTACCCTTCGCCGTGGCCCAGATGATCGTTGAACCCAAATACATTACCGCAGCAGTCGGTTTTATGGCATTTGCGCAGCTCTCGGCGCCCTCGGTGAGCATGGCCATCGCCAACGCGGTGTTTATCAACCAGTCCACCACTCAGATCTCACATGTGTTACCTTCCTGGTCGAGGAGCGATATTCAGCGTGTCATTTCGGGTCTGGGGGGAAGCGATCTCGCGTCATTGGACTCTGAGACGAGTCGTCGCGTTATCGAGATCATTGTGCAGAACATCAGTAAGGCGTATATTCTATGCTTTGTTGGGGCGGGTCTGGCAATTATTATATCGGCGTATCTGGCTATTGACCATATCTCGTCAAAGGAGAAGGTGAAGCGTTCGAACCACGACGATGAGAGTGATGCAAGTGTGGAGTGATTGTACAGAGAGTCCACGGGACATCATGGATAGAGATAGGGACGAAATTTACGCTAGTTGCCTCTGGTTTATTTTGTACTAGATATATTTATCCTAACGTGCTCATTTGCGACACCGGCTAAATCTATGTGGCAATATGAGCTTCGAAATTGATGTCCCTGTAGACAGTCCACCAAGTCTTTCTAATTGGCGCCAGTCATAATCTGCTTCAAGAGTCTCCCTTAGCTCAGATACGCTCGACTATATGCACGAAACGACATCTTTACCGAGCTGGAACGGACAACACCCAAGTTGCAAGTACAGACCTGTCATTCTGGGGGCTCTCACACATTTGTCTCAGAAGGAACAATGTTCTACAATCTACATTGAAGCAAACACAACCCGCGCATGTTATACTCATCAATCAAATCACCCATGTACTACTTGTCTCTATAGCCCCTCATTCAACAACGGCGAACCAGGCAACACACACTCCACCAACCCAACCTGGCTCCGGCAGTCGTAGATCTTTCGGAGAACCAATCCCGCCCGCCCAGCAATGTCCTTGAATTCTTCAGGAGTACGTTCAATACCGTTAATCAGCGCCATCATGGCCACATCACGCTGATGGCTGTAACGGGTGAAATAGCCGTAGTTTGCAGGGAGTGGCTTAGGGGCGGACTCAATCTCCTTGCAGCCTAGGGTGGTGTTCATCACTTGGTCGCAGATCAGGATTCTAGATCGCGGGCCCATGCTTTCACGGATAGCCGAGAGGATTTGAACACAGTAGTCGTCCGACCAGTCGTGCCTGGTTGATTTTGATTGTCAGAGAATATTGCGAGGCGTGAGAGTCGCTTGGGGTAACTTACATGATGTACCTGAGCCAGTAGACATCAGCCCCCTTGACGGGGTTCTCGTGGAAAAAGTCGTGCGTCATGAACGACACACGGCCTTCTGCGAGGGCCTGGGGGTTCTCCTTGGGCCAAACCGAGGACTGCGCCTGCTTCAAGGCTGGGGCACGGTCTTGTACCACAAAGTTCAGCTCAGGGTAAAGGCGGGAGAGTTGAATACAGAATCCACCTGTAGAACAAAGTCAGCTTCAACAGTTGACCTCCATAAACCAAGACAGGGCTTGCTTACCAACACCGCCTCCCACATCCACAATCTGTGCCTTTCCAAGAGATTTCCAGGGGTAATCTGTGATTCCTCAGCACCAGTCGTAGAAACCAGGTTGTCAAGAGACCTTACCGTAAAGATGAGCGCCTCCAAAGACCAACCCACCAGCAAACATGGCCAGACAAAAATTGGCATGCTCTGGGCGGGTAACCAATTCGTCCGGCGCCTTGTCCTTGATCTTGTCGTTCAAGGTTGGACCCCATGGTCCGGGATATCCTCCGGACGGGTAGTCTTTTAGCTGTCCAGCAGCAACTTGCTCCTCAAACCACTCCCAGCGAGTCTGCGTCGTCCCCATTGTATCCTGAAATGCCGTCTTGCGCACGTCATAGGATGGTCCTTTCTCCGCGTCGAGAAGAGTCTTGGGGAGGAAGTCGGACGCGCTGTATATATCCAATGCGCTATGAATTCATTAGGCATGACAAAAAAATCCGAGAGCGGACAATGAAAAACCTACAACATAATGATATAGGCACGGAGAGGCTCATTATTCACCAACGCAGCTGAGATCGTATTGTTCGCAAACATGTTCGGGGACACTTCCTGGAAGATATGGATCGAGCAAAGACAGCGCATCAATCGGCCTACAGTCCATGGATGCGAGTCAGCCGACAGATATCTGAGCAGCAGGGGCTGATTTGTCACTCACCCAACTTCCGCTTCTCGATACCCGTGGCCTCGCTAAGCTCCTCGATGGTCGCCTGCTGGCTCTCCTTCCTAGCGATCACATCGGGAACACGAAGCTCAGCAACAATATGCAAGGCGCGAGCCTCGTTGTACTGGGACGAGACCTCGAGCAGACGGCTTGACGGGTCGGAAACCAGCTCTGTCAGCAAACCGGAAGCAGATAGCAGCGTCTTCTGCGCATTGAAGAGAGCTGGCGAAGCGATGTTGGTGCTTTCCGCGGGGATTTCTGCTGCCCATTGGTCGATGATGACCCTCGCCGTGCGACTGATGAGGTCGCACAGCTCAAGGAGCCTAGCTGCATCCGCAATGGTTCGCTGGGCGGACATCTTGTCTGTGTGCTAGTTTGATTGCCTTCCTTTTTTGACCCTTGCTTTTTGTTTCCAGGTCTGCTTACGTGCGACAACAAACGTTCTTCTCAAACTCACAGACTTATATCCTCACATGCGATGGGATGTTTATAAGAGATTCCTCCATGATGGACCGCAGTCTCCGCTGAACCTTCCGACTGCTCTCTCCATCCGGGATTTTAATGAAACTTTCGGGACCGGAGTAGATAGAAAATAGTAGATACCTCAAAAGATCAATATGTAAGCATTGTTTGTCATCTAGGAGTTATGCTCATTAAGATAACGAGCAAATAGTCCTAAGCGTGATTAAGATATGCAGGCTGAAAATAGTGATTTTCACATGGAAATACAAAGTGCGTCGCTCGGTAGTGTACGTCACTCAATAGTTCCTTTTGCTCTCTTTCGGTTCTCTTCTCCTCCAAACAACGCCACTAGGCAGATACAGCAGAATTTAATCTATGTGGCACCTTCTCGTATCGGCGGGGAGGTGGAGGCGATCTAGCAGGGTCCTGATGAAAGTACCGCCTGTGGCTTTCTCCGTTCACTTCCCCTATTTGGGGATAAATGCGGAGGGCGTCAGCACATGCATATTTGACGTTGCATCTACCCTTCCCGCCCGGACGAGCGACTTTAAGGCAAGGGCTTCTTATCAAGATTTCAAGCATGTGGCGTTATGACGAATTGTCCTACCTCGCCATCAACGGTGCCATCGAGTAAGAGAACGATGGTGGGGAAATTAATAGAGTTTTGGCGGAATTGCCGTGTTCTTCCCCCGAATCAAGAGTCTCCCCGGGTGTCGATCCGTTGAGGATCTGCAGATATGATACTCCAGGATTGCAAGAAAAGGAGCACGAAGCGCCTGGAGTGACGTGGAGCCAGGGTGTACTCCGGTCCATGCTCAGCTACGCGAATGTTGACAACCATAGTGTTGTGACATGGCACAGGGGAAGGAAGACTGGCCTCGTGAATGATTGGTGCAGCTTCAGCAAGACCCTTGTCTGCCAGGGGTGGGTTCTCGTCTCTGTCGCACCGCTCCGTCTAGGCCACGGTGTCGGCCTTGATTGCGGCCGACGATGGTCACTGTTGATGGTCGACCCATTGGGCGATAGAGTATCGCCGGGAAAGAAGCACATCATAAACCCCCCCCACTACTATTAAAGAATACGAGCTGCTATCGCAGAGAAGGAAAGGACGATATTACAGGCATGAGGGGTAAACTGTGAAGATGTAAAAATTGATCCCTCGTATTAAGGATAGACAAAGATTTGCTGGCAATCAGCGATCAGCAAAATGATGAACAGGAAAAGACAAATTACCCAAGCCTAAAGATTCGCATCCTCCTTTTCCTCTTATAAGTCTCTCGTCCCGGCAGAAAGCGATACAAATGACTCCAAGGGTGCATCTAGGCAGATAGCCAAGAACAACTGCCAAGGAGAAGAGCAACCGCCAAGAGGCAAAGAAATAATAAGAGATTACCTAGACAATGCCACGTCTACCCAAGAAATGGACCGCCGAGGAGGATGACACGTTACGCCGAGAGGTGGAATCACAACGTGAGTCTGCTAGACCGTCAATTTCCTGCTCCACCCTGCTTCCTCAGGATCGCTCATGCCAAGAATAATCGACCTAACCACGGTGCATCATCTACTTAGCGTCTGGCCCAGAAGGGCGAGATTGGTGCCAAATCGCCGAGAAGCTTCCCGGACGAACGAACAAAGACTGTCGCAAACGATGGCAAAACACGATGGCAGGGGAGTTCCGTAAGGGCCTGTGGGCCAAGCATGAGGATGAACAATTGAAGAAGGCCATTGCCAAGCACGGGACAAGGTGAACAAGGGACAAGCATAGAAGAGAGACGGCGCCGAAAGAGCAGTCGGGCTAATTGATAGTGTAGATGGACTATAGTCGCGAGTGGTGTGAAAACCCGCAGTGCCGAGCGTAAGTGCCCACGGCACAAAGATCGTTCCACTTACTGACCATGGATCACGAGGACTAGAATGCGCGAAGCGTTGGCAAAATTCCCTGAATCCCAACCTGGACCGCAGTGAGTGGACCGAAAGCGAGGTCAGTGGAGAAATGAAATGCCCCCTCCCGATACTCAGACTTCGCGATCCTAAAATGGTGAGGACAAGCAGGATCGAACATTAATCGAGGCCGTAAAGACCCTCGGACGGAAATGGACGCAGATCCAGGGTGTATATTTTGCTGAGCGCTCCAAGACCGCCATTAAAAACCGGTCAGTTTTGGTCAATAATTGCCTCCCCTCCCCAGGGCTTGCCGCAGACGCTCATATGAAGAAAATTTCCAGCTATACGATCGTTTCCCGCAGGCTCCGAAGGCAGGCGCAGGGCACGCAAGTGAGCGCAGACACGGCTCCAGATGGAGGGTGGAACGACGAAGACTCGGACGATGATGATGATATGGATGAGGACGACGTAGACAGCGACAAGGACGAGTCAGGTTCCGCGCCGTGGACCCCGCACCAGAGCCAGTCTGAAAGCGGACCGTCCACCACAGAAATGCAGAATGTGCTATCAGATTCATCCTGGAGCCCGTTCTATCCAATTGTTGGAGGGTCTCATCCGTCCCTGTACGACTTTACAACAGGATCTTCATCGAATCGCTGGGCATGGGAGCCCTCCCAGATGCTGAGCTCGACCACCTTAGCGGATACTAGTTCGGACTGCTTCCCGCACAACAACGATCCGACGTTCCTAGACCTCATGATCACAGACTCTGGAAGCGGATCTACCTGCTCCGACACGTTAACCCATCCTTCTACCACGCGAGTCGACTGCTCGATGCCCTGGAAGTGCCCCAGCGAGCTTGAGGAGTCCTGTGAGGATCTGATCGTGCCTTCCAGCCCAGGCAGCTCCGCCAACAGAGTAGCCGTGAAGCTAACGTTGGATAACCCTGATTCGGAAACCATGCAGTTGCTGATGAAAATTGCGATAGACAACAAAGCGAGGTTTCGTGTGGAAAGGGAGTAAACTAGGTAGCGTGCTATCTTAGAGAAGGAATGCGTCGCCAGTTAGATTGGAGGGCGGTTAGACCTGTCCGTCTGATGAATTCGATATGCTGAATTGTGTATCTTCCTTGTAGTACGGAGAAAGTTAGCAGGTACGATAATTTTGGTCTAGGATGTCGAGCTCATCTCTACTTAAGAAGCCTTCTAGTAGACCTCGAATTCAGACCGCAGCCATTGGTTTCCATATGGGGAACATGAATGCGTACATTTGGTTTAATTGGCGTGGGTGGCACAGGTCACTCAGTAAGCAAACTCGGAGTTGCCTCGAGCCTCGAGTTATTAGTAGTCCTGACGCATGTAGCCTATAGTTATTGGGGAGGACTCTTGGGACCTAAGTTATGGCTACTCCTCTTTTATGAGTTATTCCGATGAACCTTAAAGAAATAAGATTAGAAGCCCTCAGTATACGATGACAGTTAGCGGGGACGCCAGAAACAGCCCTCGTCGAGTCACTGCTCTGCGGCCTACTTGAGTGTGACTACCTGGCAGGCTGCTTTTACCTGTCTCTTCTGTCGCCTTGACGCATCTACTCTATCCATACAAGCCTGACAATTCTCCCTTGAATGATGACGCACTTTCTCTTCCTCTTGTTTCTCTTACTGTCTGCATCATGTAATGCACTAACACATTGCCAAAATGCTGTATTAAATAATATGTTAGCCTTAATAACCACGAACCCTTCCCCTGGGCCCTATCCTACTGTGATGTTGGCTGAGTGCTAATAAACACTGCCAATATATTCTGTCGTCCCCTCGATTATATAATTATATTCCAAGTGCGTCTTTTGCTTAATAAGGCCTCTGTAAGCATGCTTTAAAGGGCTAAAATAACCGATATCTAGTGATTGTAAAAGATAAGAAGAATAAGCAGGCATATAGATGATAATAATACCACTATCCCTATAGCCATTATCAAAACCACGCGTTAGAAGGCTTCCGTGGCCATCTAAGATGAGTAGACAATATCCTCCAACTGTGTGGCTAATCATCGCAGGGATAAAGACCTTTTAAAGCCACTAGAGGCCTATCTCATCTATCATCTATCTATTTCAACCAACTTTAATTCTCCAGTTAGGTGGTAGAGAATGATCTTAGTCTATCCTTTAATATGAACCTTCCCCTTGAAGATTATACAAGAACGAAGCACCCGTGACCCAACTAGTTATATTAATACATTGTATAGGAGATAGATGGTGGCCATTAGCACATTTTCAATTCGATATTAGCATCCATTAAATCAGCCATGGAGGGTAGATTTAGGCACATCAAACGTCTTTGCAGCGCGACAAATACTTAAAATTTGCCCTTTTTTAAGGCATATATTACTAGTTGGATCCTTCCTTCTTGCTCTACCAAATTTCCAGAGGTTTGACGCGTTCTTGGTGGCATAGTAGCTGTTTGGATAGCCTCAATATTCAAACGCGTTGAAATCGGGTGGGGGTGGGCGGCTCGGTTGGGAATTACGTTACTCGGCGGGGTAGATAAGCCTTTTGACTAGGTAAGAATTGATAATGATTCGTGGGACAATAAGCGATACAGCAGATCACCATGTAACGAGACTAATCCTTGTGTTCAACTTAGACAAGGAGAACACGCCCTGATATACCCTCGTAGACCTTGCGATAAGGCTACAGCTACGGCGAGGATATCATAAGGGTGATATCATATATTAGAGTAAGGCAAGGTAATGATGTAACCCAGTCCACCTCCGCTCCGTTACAACTCTATTTGTGGGAAGTACATGCTTAATTATAACTATCTCTTGAATAAAGAATTCATTTTGCGATACGTTGTCCCAACAGTTGAGCCAGATTAGGTCCTTACATTAATTCAAAAGTCATTACAGAGTAGGGTGGATGCAAATCTAACTACTGACTGCACCTTAGGGAACCATAAGCCATCCTAGTCTTCCCAGAGTATAAAACAGGTGTGAAATATATTTTTCAAATGCTTAAACGGGACAGAATAAAGTACTCCTATGATAACCATGGACCTAATTAACTTGGCCGGTTGCAGTCTGCTTGAAAGCGAACAACATGACTTGCCTGAATGAAAGTTTGAAAAGGTTGGCACTTAGGAAAATGATTTCTCCAAATCAACTACTTTCTTTTTCTAACAGCCAAGATCACTCACCCACTTTGAGTCTGACCGATGCAGCTTGGCCCCATGTTTGGCTGCCCTCCGTCGTAATAGTAGAGCCTGGCTCATACCCTTCTCCTATCATTAGCAGAACTCTTGAGGCTGGGGTCGCTGGAGCTTCTAGGTTAGTAGCTTTTTCCTTGGATTAAACTTCATGGAGCTTTGGCTTTCAGGTCGACTTTTGTTTATTAATATAGCTCCGCGCTGCTTTCATCATAAGATAGATCCGAGCATGAACTTGGAACAGTCTAGACTTTGCTCTTGTCATCATAAAAGTATGATTGCTGTTAAACACAGGGACTCGACTTTGTCAAGCTGGCCTAGACTCACTCGTGGTCCACCTACACAGATATGACCACAGTTTCCCCTCCGTTTTCAGGTGTGACCTCTGCTCAAATCATCCACTGGGTCACAACTGTCTGATACAGAGGCATGTGAAGTCAGATAATTTAGGTGGATGTATCATGTTGACGTAGCCTGGACCGCCACTCATGTGACAATTATTGAGTATATCAACTTACTTCCTTTACTTCCTGGCAAAGTTATAGCATGTTTTGATTTTCCATTTCTAATATACTTCCTTGTCCCTATTTTCGGCTGGAGATTATAGGTAGATGATGTTTCTGTTCACAGTATTAGCTATGCTTCTTATCTCTGTCCTGCCAGGGCATGCACAGCAGAGCAACCAAGCTGTCTTTGAAATTACAGAAGCCAAAGAAGCCACCCCGACCATCAGCGCCCCGTGCACCGCTATTCAGATTCAAAATATTAACGTCCCACCGCAGGACACTTGCAGTTGCTTTCCCGGTTCAGCAACTGGTTCTAAAGCTGTCACCTATACATGCCCCCCTGCCCCTAGTGGTACCCCAATGAGGGCAAAGTTCTCTTTAAATGGCAAAGACACCTGCTCCGACGACCAAAATATTGGATATAACGTCTGTAGTATCTGGTTTCACAGTCTCTGTTCGTGCATACAGATGCTGCTACACAAACCGGCAAGCACCAAGTGCAAGTACAGAGGTTGTCTCACAGCATCCAAAACTTGTCCAAATCCCAAGGTTTGGATGCTGCTTGAAAGGCAAGATCTAATCACAACAACGGAACCCTTGCAAGGTATCCTGGAATTACAGAATTCTTTCGATCCAGATGGCGGCTGGACATTGGGTCAGGAAAATAAGAACTCTTCACAGGCACTGGCTATGAACTCACTTGGGTCAAGGAGCCAGGAGCAGATCCACATCCATGTCTGCAGCGTTGTCACTGGTAGCGTTAGCGGTGATCTCCGCTCCATTCTGACATGCCAGGACCGCTCTAAATACGAAAAACTGACCGAGGTGCTACACGTGCCTGTTGATGATAAGATATTCTGCAAAGTGTCACCAAAAAAATTCGGAAAAATTGAAATAGCGACGGATATACAAGCCTGTATTACTTCAAGTACGGGTAAACAATGCAAAGAACATATTGGAGCGGGAATTATAACAGATAGTTGGGGTTACACCTGGGGTTGTGTGACTTACGGCACGGGAGTTGCAGAATACATATTCTGTAATTAATGCAGAGCACGAGCTGGGTATGACATGAGGAGGCAGTGGAGTTATATACTGAAGAAGTGTGGATTGATTATTGTCATTTAAAAGTCAGCTGGAAGGAAATGTGATTGTGGTTAAAACCAGCAATTATGGTTTTTATGGTTTTATTATAGTTTAACCAACCCACACCAGTTTACTTCGTAATCACTAATTTCAAAGATTTCTCTAAAAATATTGATATCACTAGATGGCCTAGTATCTAGTCTATCTAAATATAAAATATCAATTCAAAATATCTGGTGGTTGGTGAAATATAAGGGAATAATCATTTCTGTCATGGGTTGGTATGAAAGTAGCGGTGGTTTATATATATATACATCAAACCTTCGCCAATCACAATGGTTTAAGAATAATTTTTAACCACCACCCATTCAACCCTATAGAAATTGAATTAGTATTTTAGATATGGACGAGTATTATAATGATTACCATATAATAATATAAAATATTAATTTTCTACTTATAGGGATGGAAGATAGTATGGCATTGAATAAGGGAATTAATTATTTTGAAATTCAAAAACCATTAAAAATCCAACTCGAAACCAAACCAAATTGAACCAAATTGAACCAAATTGAACCGAATCTAACCGTAGTGGGTTAGCCCCTCTTATAAATGGTTTAGCTATGCCAAGCTTCGAGTTTGAGTTGTGCAGGTGAAACTCGCACTAAATCGGAACAGGTCAGGGTTGGTTCTGATTTCTAAAATTTGAACTCGAAATCGCAGCGGTTCGGTTCCAACTGGCCCTAAACTCGCCCGAACTCGGACTGAATGCAACCCTAATGGTAGGGGAGATGCCAATACTTGAGAATGCGGCGTTTCGGCGGTTAGCTGGCTTAAATTTCGTGATTGCTACTATGAAATGGGCGTTTGAAACTTGGGCATTCTGGACAGGGGCAATTGTACATTAGGCTTATAAAGTTAGGTAAAACTGGAATGGGTAATCATTCCTAGTTGTTATATCTAGCTAGGATCTCTTTGAGTGGGGCTTTGGTCTGCCTTTTAAGGAGGTGCTCCCGAAAATTTTCGACATCACCTCGTCCACTGCCCTGAGATGGGCACTAAAAAGTCCCCCAGTAATGCAAATCATAGTCCACCCCGCCAGGCCTCCACAGCGGCCTAGGAGTGTAAACCGGAATCGGCGACGCAGCTGCAAACACCATTAGCATCAGCAGTCCAACGATCCAAAAACCACGTACTTCCATATCCCGTACTCGGCACCGCCCAGGTCGGCAAATCCGGCGCGACCCATCCCGTCGGCGAGGCGGTAATGGTGTACGTGCTCGTGTACGTATGCGGTTGTTCTCCAGCAGCGAGAGAGACGAGTCCATTGCTCGGACCATAGGAATCATCACCGCGGCCAAAAACATTGTTGACCTTATTGACGACGCTGCTGCCGAACTCTGTCCAGACGGTGAAGTCTTCAACAGTAACGTTACTGGCGTAGGTGAGGTCGTTAGCGATGAGGTACAGCGGTGGGCGTTGGACGCCATTTGCCACGGAACCTGGATGACATTTAACAAACCACGAAGCTCGAATGAAGGCGAGGGTCTTACCTGAAAAGTTCCTAAAGACAAGATTGCTCAACGTGACCGAGCCAGTGTCTGGCTCGAACGTGTTCTGCCAGTACTGGTTGATGTTGAGCCCGTACAGACTTGCTTTGGAGCGGAAGTTGGCGAATGTGACGTTGGTCACGTAGCCGGAGCCACCGGGATAGGTCTTGATGAAGGCGATGTTGTTCCCCTGGATGATGCTGATATTTTGTGCGACCTGTCGATTAGCAGGGCGGTCTTGATGGCGAGGGCCACCTTACTATGTTTGATATTTCGGCAGAGACGTTGAGACTACCGATGGAGACGCCCGAGCCGGCCTGATTACAGACCAAGTTCTCGATCAAGGCGTGGTGAGAGGGGCTCTTGATGGAGACGCATTCGTCGCGGTTGGTGACCTGACAGTCAGCGAGGCCATCGAATCAAGGACAAGGCATACCTCGTTATCATGGATATGATAGTTTGTGCCAATTGCATCAATACCATCGTAACTGCCGAGATTAGCACCCCGGATGGTAAGATGGTACGCTTCCACGTTGACGGCAAAGTCGAGCACGATGTGGAACTTTGGGCTATCGACCAGGATCAGGTCATGGACGGAGGCATTCGTTGGCGAGATCAAGCGGACGAGACGGGGACGATCGGTGCTGTCTGGTCAGTATCATCCAACACCATGATGGATAACGTACTTGTTTAGATTCCGGTAGAGATATCCTTGTCCTTGGAAGGCACCGAGACCGTTGGATGAGTAGAACTCGAAGTCGACCGCTGCATTGTCAGTCTATATTCTGCTACAAATGGCTAAATCTCACCATTGACAATGACCAAGACATCTAACAAAAACTTCTGGTCACCCTCCCCATTAATGGTAGCATTCAAAACGTCTGCACCAGCAAAACCCTCAAGGATCAACGCACGATCAATGGTCCAGTTCCCCCCATATGCTGCCGTGACGAGACCATCCAGCTGAAACGCCCAGTTGGTTGCGTTGCTGAGCACGACGCCGCGGGAGATCAGGTATTGACCCTCAGGGACAATGAGTCTGCTGCCGGGGTTGCGTCGGACACAGTCATTAAACGCTGTTTCGAGGGAGGTCGAGATGTCCGTGGTGTTGTCGGCGACAGCGCCATAGCTGAGGATGTTACATTCAATTATCTTCTTGGAGAGAGGAGTGGCCGGGCCTACGGGGCCAATGAGCTGGGCTGCTGCCAGATTGAGAGGGACGAAAAGTAGAGCAAGGAAAAGCATGATGTTCTGTGGGATGAATGCTATGTATCTGGATCGAGAAATCTGTTCAGGCATTTATATACAGAAATCAAATGGTGCAATGAGGATCAGACCATGGTAATTTTCCGTCCACTGCTCTGCCCATGTATATAGTATCGGTGCCATTTTAGTATGCATGGCGCCATCAACTCCACTAGACTTATCTATCTCTACACTCTACTCTCAGTCGTAAACGCGTTCCTACTCTCCATGTCCTCCTTCCGTGTCTTAGACTCCACGTCCAAATATGGCTTCTCAGCCTGTGGCGCAACACGCAATCCGTGCCGCAGATGAGGAACTGCATTGTCAGCATGGCCCAGAAACAAATTAGGTAGACATACAGTAATCGAAGATCCCCGTGTGGAATGTCACCCGATTATCCCAGATTGCCACGGCGTTCGGCGTCCACTTCCACCGGACCTGATACTCATAGGCCTCAGCGATGGTCCGGTAGAGCGTATCCAGCAGTGCATCTCCGACCCTCCTCTCGATGCCGACAATTTCTTTGGTAAAGTTCTCATTGACGTACAGCGTTTTCCATTTCGTGACTGGGTGCGTCCGGACAACGGGATGCTCCGTCACGTTAATTCCGTAACCTATCCACACATAAGGGTACTCACAATGGTCTCGATCGGATCCCGCCGAAGACAGCCATTCGTCTTCAATGCCTTCTCCGCCTGCTCCAGCCCGCTATGCTTCGCCTCGAGCGTCTCCAGAAACGCCCTCAACTTCGGTGACAGCGCTAACACGGTCAGCATCTTCCCATCCAAAAATCTTTGCGAAGAACATACACTCGTACAAAGCATACCCACTTGCCCAGATCGTATCACCCCCGGCTACACTCCCCCCTGGCCCCGCAGCAGGCAGGGTATCCATGCGTAGCATCGTCAGACCAGGCGGCTGCAGCTCATAGCTCACATCCGAATGCCAGATCTGATGCGAGCGGCCATTCACCGCCGTATGGTCCTTGTAGATGGGATGCACCCAGGGCAAATCCGGGATGATGCCCGCCATCTGATGGATGTGCAGCTCGCCGAAATACGCCGCGAAGGCGATCTGCTCGTGCACGTCCATCTCCTGGTCGCGGAAGAAGACGACGCCCCGCTCTGCGACTAGCAGCGCTAGATCATCTTTCTGCGCTGGAGTGAGAGCCGAGAGCTGGAGGCCAGCGATCTCGGTGCCGATGTCTGGGGTAAGGTGGATGACCTCCGTTGCGACGGAGAGGAGGCGAGATTTGGATGGATCGGCATGTTGTCCGCGGTCGGTGAAGGGGTGTGGGGTAAGATTGGGGAGCTTGAAAGGGGTGTAGTTGGGGTATTCTAGGCCTGCTGCGCGGACGGTCTCTAGGGGGGACACGCCACGGGGGGTGTGATAGTCTGGGTGGGGGAGGTTGGCGGGTTTGGCGGGGAGTTGCACGTCGTTTGCAGTCATTTTGGCTGATAATGTTGTACAGACATGCTAAGAAAGGGTTCATCTAGCTTTATAGCTTACCAGGTAACTCCGGTGGGATGCTACCTGTGAATGGAATCTGCTCGCGTCATCCAAGCCAATTTGACGATATCCCAGACTGCTCTTGATACAGTCACAATCAATATGCAAAGACAATCTCCAGCTAACTATCGAACAAAAAATCCAACCTCTTATTCCCCTCATCCGTCGTAGTCTCCAGATACTCCGCTTTCTGACTCTCACTCATCGCCTCCCAGCGTTGCCTCTTCCACTGATTCCTCGCAACATAGTACGCCTTGGCCAACACATACGCTACAATCGTCGCAACATTGATCGCAATCAGCTGGGAGTTACCCCGCCGGTAGTACGGCTTATCGTCCTCGCGGTAGATATTCGATGAGGCGATCCCAGACAGCTGGATGGTGATGTTGTACAGCGCTGCGCTGACCGTACGCGTACGGACGGCATTGCTCAGCCGCGAGCACCAGCCCACATGTGCTGCATGCGGTGATGGCCATCCCAGGAGCACGAAGGTGACGGCGTAGAGGCCCCAGTGGGACAGGGTACTGGCAGAAGTGTACAGGATGATCAGAAGCGGAAGCGACCAGAGTTGCGTGAGGATGCCGATGGCTGCAATCTGGTGGAAGCGCTCGGTGAGCTCAGTGACCAGAAGTAGGTTGAGCGATGCGAAGACGGTGACAGGGATACTCAGCAGGGTGGTCTGGAAAGTCGAGAAGCCAATGGCCCGGAGCGAGAGACTCAGGTAGGATTTTGACGGGGAAGTGGGAATCTCGAACAGGATGCCGATGATGTAGATAGGCCAGAGATCATAGTCTTTGAGACTACGCCAAAGCATCCCTATGCTCAGCGCCTGTCGGTTATGCATGTCGCCTTTGGAGGGGTCGTCGCGCAGGACCCTGTTGACGATGATCTTCTCCTCGTGCTCGGTGAAATACCCTTTGGGATTCCACCGGGTGGCTGTCTGGGTCGGGCCAGGGACAAGGAACAGAAAGCTGAGAATACCGATGACCAGACTGATCAGCGCCTCAATGAGGAAGAGCCATCGCCAGCCGGCTCGTCCCGCCACGCCGCGCATGTGCAGCACCCCATACGCGATGAAGGAGGCGATCACACCCGAGATGGAATCGACAAACCAGAAGAAAGCGAGGCGAAGCGGCATTTCAGTCTTCTTATAAAAGTAGGATAGGTACAGAATCGCGTCGGGAATGAAGCCGCCCATAAAGAACCCGAGGAAGAATCGACATGCAAAAAATCCAGCCCGGTCGTGGATGAAGAACTGTCCCCCCGAGGCCAGACTCCACAGGATGATCTGCACGGGGATCCAACGATCAGGGCCAAGTCGTTTGCCGATCATCTGAGAGGGAATCTCCGCAATGAGAAATCCGACGCGGTACATATTCTGCGCGTTATTGTAGTCGTTGGTGTTGATGCGCAGGTCTGGCAGAAGGTTGTCGGCAGACGCATTGCCTAGATTACCCCGGTCAAGGTTGAGGCCGAAGAACATGACCAGAATCCAGAGGAAGATCTTGACGTCCGTCTTGCGTCTCACGGCGACCTCCTCACGATGGGTCCACCGGAAGTCGGGATCGAATCGGTGCAGATTCTCATATTGCGGATGTGGGAGGTAGTATTTGGCCAGCACAGGGTCGTCGAAGACGCTCTTTGCGGTTGCTGTAGCATCCAGGTCGGCTTGCTTCCTCCTTGTAAAGATGGACAAGAATGGCTTGGCGTGTGACTGCTCTTGTGGATCAGCAACATTGATCGTGATGCCATCCTTGGTGATTTGCTTATCACTATCTGATATTGGGCCAGCCATTTTTGCTTTGATCCAGCATTTACATTCGAGCCTTCCCCTCTTATATCTATGTGAGCCTATTGCATGCGCTGCGTGCTCTGCGCAATAATGGTGACGGCTACAGAATTAACGCAATGGGCAAGGTTGAAGGGAACCTGGAATAGCAGATGATGTTGTCATGCAAGTGCAGATGGCATCACCGGGTTGCTTTGTTATCATAAAACCCACCTAATCAAGCAATTGCTTTCTGAATTTACTACCCTCTTATTGATGGAAAAACGCGTCCTGCATGAGAATTCTGGCCATGATAAGGCTGCTTCGCCATACCAAGCCTTGATGATGAGCTCCGGTGGAGGCTTTGCAACCCGCTTTCGGGTAAGAAATGAGTACACGAGTCATGAACCATATAATCGAGTAGAGAGACCCGAAAGTACTTACTATCTTGAGGAAGCCTAACTCCTCCTTAGGATGTTTAATTTTTACCGGTAATAATTAATCCTCTATAAAAAAAATAAAATCTTACTATGTAGATAGTAATAGTTTGTTAGCAGGGAAAGAAAACGAAATACAAGATTATTTTAAATTCAATTTAGTAACTATTTAATATAGACTGTAGGAAGGTAGGTGATAAATAAATAGCTTATTAAGACATAGACTTCTAGATAGTAGATAGAAGAGGATATAGACTCTATACATAGGAGACCATATAGTTGCCACTAACCTATATAGGAACCAAGCACTCTGTGCCGGACACCATTAATAGAATCGCCCCTGATCTGACTGCTGCTATGCTGCTAGGCTAAATGCTAATTCAGTGTCAATTACAGTCGCCGCTCCATGTGGGATAGAGACACTATTGTTGCGTGACAAAATGAGCTTCCATCCGCACAAGAGCAGGTGAAGTGTTTGGCTCTATTGATTCAGGGTCCGACTGGGTGCTCTCATTTAAAATCCACTTTCTATTCCAAAATATCGAGCAACTTCAATCAGACCTGAGCCTCCAACTCCGACCCAAAGATCGACAAACCCCTCTTCTCTGGCTCGTGCAATAGCTCCACTATCCCAAGCTTCTTCCAAGTGTCTCTCGAGATAGATTGTCTGAAATCCACACTTTTTGGCAGCATGCAAGTCCTCAAGATGGGCTGCGACGAGACAACATTGCGAATTCCTGAAACCGAATCTGCGAGCAGCACCATGATAGACTTCTGGCGACGGCTTGTAGGCACTGAAATGCTCTGCACTGGTGATGTGCTTGAAAGGCAAAGAATTGTGTTTTTGTAGGTCTTCGAGGAGTTCTACATTACCATTGGATAATGTAGACGTCAAAAATTTACTGCCGAGCAATGAAAGGCCTGGCACACTGTCAGAGTATGCATTAAGTCGATGCCAAGCAAATGTCAAATTTTTGAGATCGTCCTCGTTAAACAGACCCCGGAGATGCCATTTGCTAAGAATATTTTCCAAAGAAATGCGGTTGTACTCATCTACTGAGACAAAGGGCTTAGATGAATCGTAAGTGTCTCCGAAGGTCATATATGAGCGATGCCACTCCTCAGCGATCTCCTGCCAGCTCGAAGTGGACATATCAGAGACACGTGCTCGCACATCGCCACTCAGAGATCGGCCTAGATCTCGCAGAGCCCTTTGTGCTGTGTCATTCAGTTCGTCCGCGATGCAACGTCTCCATTCCACAATTGTCCCCAAGACATCGAAAAATATGATTGAAGGAAAACCATCTCGTGACATCTTTGTCGAAGCTTCTTTGAGAGATACCAAGGAAGGCGCCTTTTCGATGAGCTAGACTATAGCCGAAAGTATACCAATCTCGTCAGTCGGTGATGCAAACAAAATGGCCTCAAAAGAGAACTTTAAAGACAGAACACATGACTGTACCATCAGGAACTGGTGTAAATGTTGAGATGTCGCTATTTCAATGGAATTAGGTGTTTTTAAATGTCGACAGTACTGAAAATCCCTCTTTCCATTAGCCTCGGATTTTATTGCTCAGGGGTACATGTGATTGGCAAGTAGAGAATCTCAGTAGGGCTCGGGTATCGCGGTTTCAGAATATTAGGTAAGGCGCCGAAACTAGTCACGGGACCCAGTTGCGGCTGAGAATAAGGTTACCTTGGCGTTCGTCGATCATGGCCATAGTTATGAGAACGAGTGGTTAATAGGGGAGCATGTAGGGGGTTTTGTCCTTAACAGAGTGTTTCCTACCTCTTTTGAATGAATGGATTCGTTCTTGAAATTGAACATAGTCCGCGTAACTGTATAAGATGGGTATAGGCCATGGCAATTGTTCTAATCACCGCCCACATGAGCGACGATTGTCAACCTGTTATGATCCCTGTGACGGGAACCTTTGACATACAACGCGGCCACAGCGGCCACACAGATGATGATGCGAGTGTTGAGACCTTTGAGGCTGACAGGAAAAGCAAAGATCACCAATTTCCAAGCCCAAACGCATGACGATGGTCAATTTACTAGCGCAGACTAAATGCATACGTAGTGAATTAATGGTGTTTGTTCGGATCCACGGCAAAGGCTTATCTACAGGGGGACTAAGAAACAGTTTTTAGGAAAATTGCTGCTGGAGGAGACGCGCCTGACCAGTCTTTTTCCAAATATGACTCAGATAATCGAAGCCAGTACCGAGGCAGTTGGGCGTCAATCTCTACCCATGCTTCACGATATCTTTGAGCACTATCATATGTGGGAGATTCTTCCTGTGATCTGTATGCCGCTATAATGAGGGCGTCAAAGTCGGCATCAACGATACAGAATGTGGATTGGTTTGAGTCTGATTTATGTTTGTCGCGGATCGAGACCCGCTACGTTGATTTCCTGCGAGGGCAAAGCAAGGGGTCATCATCCCGGCGCCCTGCTGTGGCCAAAACGGATTGATGGATTCTCTCATCTTGTTATGGAGTACAAATTAGCTGGTGCCGCGTTCTTACTGTGATTTTTTCCAGTACTTTGACAATGGTGTGCCAGTGGATTGGGAGCCACCCCACGATTCTGCCACCTCAAACCTCTGCCATACGCTGTACGCTCCTTCATTCGCCCGTTAGTTTATTCGAGGTATTGCTTCCTTATCAGAGGGGAAGGAATGGCTATTCACTGTGTAGGAAGTCCTACACTTGGGATAGTCTCTATCATAGTCTATTCACCTTGGCCTCATCTCTTAAGAGCAGTGATGATATTCATTATTTATTAGTATAATATCCATGTCTCGCCTGTTCTTTGCAAGCCTTGGATACGTGGCCAATCCAATTAACAGTAGTGGTATCCTTTCTGCTTGACCTAGTATGGTTCCATACTCCTAACATACCTCTCTGGCAACTTATGCTGTTGCGAGGAATATATAAATGTGTGAAGGATGGGTAGAGCCAAAAATACAAATAAGCTACTACAGTAGGGACAGTATAAAGTAATGGAAATCTCTGCAAACCGCATGTTGAACAACTAAGCGATCCAGTCAGTCAAGCCAGATTTCGATGATAATATCTTTCTAGCATTTATTGATAGCAGTCAGTAGGGTTGACGCCTACTAGTAAGTAACAAATAAAATTCCTCAAGGGTTTGAGAACTTCTTCTCCAGCTCTGAATCGCCCAGAAATCCCAAGCCTAGGAACTCATTATCGACATCTTTGTATTCTGCTTCATATTTCCCACCCAGAACCGCAGCCCGTATCACAGCTAGGTGTGCCGGGGGTGTGAAGTCTCCCGCGGTTAGTCGTTCGATTGCAGATGCCAGCTCAGCCTCAGCATTAACTCTTGACTCCATCCATACAACTCCAGGGGCGGCATACTTCCTTGCCAGAGCTAGAAGCTTCTGCTGGGTAAGGACCGTGTCGTGTATGCGCAGGACCCGATTTTTAGTGGCGCTCGCATTCTTCAAAGCAGCCGCCACTGCCTTGCCAACGGTATTCACACTTGTGGTACTGAATGGATGATTTCCATCGTCGTATACGACAGCAGTGTGGGTTTCATAGTTGAGTGCGAAGGGCTTGGAGAGGACATTGTCAAGGAACGGGCCCACGGCAAAAAAGGTGTACTCCAGCTCTCCAGAACTGGCTTTCTCCCGTAGATACTGCTGGATCTCCAGCACACGGCTATGGTTCGGGAGCTCGTGGGCCCTTGGATCTAGTGTCAAGGCACCGAAATCGGCTGGAATAAAGCGTCTGACCCCAGCTCGGATACTTGCATCAATCGCAGGCTTCTGAAGGGGTATTGCCAGCGGGGCCACAGTGGATACAACAGCATCGTGGCCGCGTAGTGCAACCTCCAGGCTTCCTACAGAAGAATACTCGACTTCGGCAACCTTCACTCCAGCTGGGATTCCTTGGAGATGATCTTGGGATCTAGTTAAGACCGTCACTGTGAGCCCCGCTTTGACGAAGTGCTCGAGCACAGCGGAGCCGAGGAACCCTTTCTATGTGGTCGCAATTAGTATCAGCTATGAGTATGGGCGCGGAATGAACGTACGCCGAGCAGGGCAACTTTCTGGATGGAGGACATGTTGGTAAATCTAAGCGGAAGTATATGAACCGTGATACGATTTGTTGTACTGATGTTTGGAGCGCAGATGATGTTGAAAGTAGAGATGCAGTTAGTTGGTGGGAACTCATGCTCTATTTATACACAGCTCTGGACATCCAGGTATCCCGAAAACGAGAACTTTCATGGAGATGTCCCCACAGGATCAAAATAGGCATCTCAGTCGTGAAATAGGTCTCAATGCACTTCAGATTGTCATTCTACCCACCTGAGCTGGCTCGGTTTACCGAGTGCCTCAGTTGTCTACCTGCATCTTCTGGTTAAGGCTGCGGATTGCTTGAGACATCTCATCTACGGGTCACATTGCGGTAGTTACAGCGGCGCCCGGCCTGCTCCATCTTGCCAAGACGCTACTATCTCCCGAAAGGGAAATTCACTCATGAAATAGCGCTGAAGCATGGGATGAATAAATGGATCCGAGCTGCGCAGCCAATCCGACGCAGAGGTTTTCTGAATTTATGATTGGATTAGAAACTGAGTCGGCCAAACGGGCCCCGATGACGAATATCCGTTTCGGGCTCAAGTATTTATAATGGTGGCTCTGGTGAACCCAGCAGCTGCCGTACATCCCCCACCATGATGCGAATTCGTAATCCCGGTAGACTGGGTTGTAAGAATTGTCGGACTCGACGGATCAAGGTGAGGTTCAGATTACCAACTTTATATTAATATCCTCACGATTCTGACGCAGTGGAGTAGTGCAACGAGCTTCGACCGCGATGCTCTCAGTGTGCGCGAGCTGGCCTGACATGTTCCGGTTACCGCAACCCGGTAGACCTTATCTTCCGGGATCAGACATCCTGTATAACACGGAAATACCATACAGCTGAGAGCAAAGTCATCCCCCAATCCCGTCATTCTCAACCCAGTCGTCCTAGCTCCCCTACTGCCATAATACCTCGACTGCCCTTAGAGGAGATTGCATGGTGGTATTACTTCGAAAATTTTAACATTATGCGCCCATCCGGCGCATCAGTTCATCGTCCATATCCCAGCCAGCCATCGCCCGTTATTCCCTCTGTGGCCGCAGTTGGCCTGGCAGCGTTAGCAGTGGTCCATAGCGATCCCCATCTGATGCAGCTTGCAAGGCAGAAATATTCATCGGCTCTCAGGATTCTTGTACGTGCTATAAGTCATCCCGATGAGCTGCGCCAAGGGAGAACGGCATTGAGCAGCTTTAACTTGTCCATGTTTGAAGTGAGAATTGCTATGTGGAGGCCCCATATTCAGGTGTGGTCTGTACTAACGAGTCGATGTAGATGATTGTCTATGATAACTTCCATCCCGCATCTCACGGCTGGCTACGCCACATGCATGGCACAACCGCCTTGTTACGCTCCCTGGAATTAACAGAGGGCGCACCGACAGTGGAGATAAGAACGCTTCTGCAGATTGCCTACACGGCGGTAAGCTTACTTTCTCTGTTTCTCCGCTATGTCCTCCGCTAACTCCCCACCCCCGCCCCAAAAGGCCCTGGCTTGCCTAATCAGTGGACTCCATGTTCCCAGGTATCTAGTTGAACTACTTCAGTACGGCGGAAACACGAAAGGCGGCGAGCTCCTATTACCCCTAACAGACCTCTTCACCATTCTATGCAAACTGGTGAACCTCCACCGCGCAACGTTCTGCACGAATGACACAGTCCGGAATCACCAGTTCATCAACACCGCCTTGAATACATACCAAGATCTAGAATCATGGATCACCAGTATTCCCGTATGGTGGATAGATCCCATTCGAACTGGCCAGGCACCCCGTATTGATGACGAATGCTGGATCATGCGGGTGTGGGTTTACTACCGGCTGTGTCGGATTTTAGCGCATAAGGCGATACTGGACAACATGGACATTCTATACTCCAGTAGAAGTAGATCACAGCAGCATCAGTATGAGGAGTCCCTGACCGTCGTTTCGCAGGCCTCGCAGGAATTGTATACCGGTGTTCCAGCCTTGTTAGGAGCTTCACATATTGCCAATCGGTCGACCCCTGGATTGACATCGAATGTGTTTTTCCTTATCACCGTTTTGCAAGCAATGGGCAGTTTAACCGCGAAGAAAAAGGTAGTTGAGAATTGGTCGCAGAGTGCCAGGGCATATGGGAAAGATTTTGAGGTAGTTCAGAATCTGATTCTGAGTCGTCTTAATTAGCGGATATCCTGGCCGGCTAGAGGCCATCTCACACCTGCTTTATATACTTTTAGTTATGAAAGACATACTGAGAACGAGGAAACTTCACATCGTTGCTCTGCTCAAACAAGCCCTGATTTTGCAATTCTTACTGCTCTAAATGGCCATGGCCCATTAGCATCCGATCTGGGTGAAAGGTGGCATGGCGGCGGCCTTGGGGTATATGGCGTTCTGTAGAATCTTGGCCCATCACCCAAAAACATTTCACTCCACATGGTGAACCACGCGTTATTCAACCCTGGAAAGGCACATAACGTAATTGCCACCATCCCCGCATCAGTCTCTGATGAGGTAGTTGTTGTGGGTAATCATCGTAACGCTTGGGGTCCCGGTGCTGGAGACGGGAACAGTGGATCGGCTGCCCTGAATGAAGTGGTGCGCAGCTTTGGCGTTGCACTTCGTCATGGCTGGCGACCGTATCGCACCCTTGTCTTTGCCAGCTGGGAAGGCGAAGAGTTCGACCAGGTCGGATCAATGGCCTGGCTAGAAGAAAACATACCATGGGCGAAAGCGACTAACGTCGCGTATCTCAAAGTAGTTGTCCCGGGTACAGGGACCAGCCTTCATGTAAAGGCCAGTCCTCTATTATACAGGGTTGTCCGGGAAGCAACAAAGCTTGTGCAATCTCTAGCGATGGAGGGATGTTGTGGCGGGGGGAGTGAACAACGCCGCCACTCTGCTAGAGAATCACTAAGGATTTTGATTAGCGATGCTACTATACTCAATGAATCATTTTGTAGTGTCTCTTATCCAATGGAGGTGGGTAGTATGCAATGTATCCCACTTAGGCTTTGTTGCTTAACTATGGCCCCACATTCCCGGATATGTATAAGTACACATGATTCTGAATATGACCAAGTTATCAGCTTGCCATCTCTGATTCCGTGACTCTTTCGAACTGGATTACGGAACAATCATGCTATTGACTGTCTTTTAGATGTGGACAACTGGCTGATGAATAACAAGAAGGGCAAGACGAGGGTGTACGTGGATTCTCGACTCCCGAAATTCCAGCTGGAAGAAGAAACGGCTGGCTTTGAATGCTTGCTGCGACCATGACTTCTCTATTTCTATAGGATCATTCTATCTGAGCAAAACATAATAACCCCCCTGTTTCATTATTGAGACCCAGTCGCAATTAAAGGGGCCTGACTTTCTGGCTTCCCAGCATTTCTCCATGATTTTATATGCCTCAAAACACGTACCAACCGTCGATTCTGTAATCTCTGCCGCTGAGAAAAGGTCGCGAAAGAAGTTCTGCTGTTCGCCCAGGGCTAGGCAGCCAGACACGCAAAACGGCCACACTAATACGCTTTTTAGCAGTCTTGGGTCCCACAGGCCCTTGAAAACAGCTATGGCTTGTGAGACCGCATCCGCGATCTCCGGCAGCTCTGGGTGTGCCCCGGAGATAACTACATGGAGATAGATGAGTGCTGAGAGCGTGAAAAGCCTGTTAACCTCGGGGTTGGCTGGGGCGGAGAGTACTCCTGAGCGATTTAACAACGATGGGCCGGTTTCCGGCAAAGTGTCCATATCCACAAGTTCTTGCCGAAGGCGCTCCTCGATGTGGCGGCCACGCTCCGCCAGATCGATAATGCTTAGCTTGCGGACCGCCTGCGACTCCTCCTTCCACCTGTCCAGCGAAGAGATCTCAAAGATAAGGGCCATGACTGAGTTGCTACAGCCCATAATACTTTCCAATGATATGCAGGGATTACGCAGCGCCTGTGCGTGGTCAATATTGAGAAAGGGGGGCCGCCGAGTGGAGGCGGAGGCGATGATATCAAGCGATATAAAGGAGCCAAGCAAGACACCAGTCGCACAATGATCGTCGAGAGAGTGTGTCTCTATATGGTGTGGAAGGTTTGTACAGTTGGAACCTGCCAGGTTCGGTTTGGTCAGAGTTGTTCGCGCCTCGAGAAGGCCGGGAATCAGGCGAGCGGCTTCACGAAGGAGGACCTGCCAATTCCCTCTGCCGCCGGCAAAGAGCTTGATTGCTGAGCCATTGAGACTTGACACGGTGAGCAGTGGAGGCCACGTACCTCCCAGAACAAGAGCTGAAGGATGGACGCGAGACTCTCAATATTGTGAACCATATGAGCACTTTCATTCCATGTATGCGATTCTTGTAGCAAGCGCTGTGTTCCCTGAGCTGCCAGATCGTAGTACCCACCCTTGGAGCGTAATTGAGTCAGGCTGGCTGTGACATCGCCCGCTTGCGGGTGGGTGGAGAGAAGGTCTCGTTCACTGAGGGCCAGAGTTGCAAGGTAAGCGGGCTTGACCATCCTTAAAATCGAGAATAGGCAACCTCTTCCTCGCGGGTTGCGGGAGAGGTAAAATGGGTACTGGATGTGGAATACTCGATCCAAGTAGTGCATAAATAAGGCGTCCTCTGTTCCTCCATGTCGGACTGGCTCAATCAGAGGCCCTGGAGCAGTGGGTTTTCCGGCAACCTTGTCTTCCACACAGGCCCGACTGGGGAAGCCGTTACCGTTTGAAGATGAGTCCCACGCCCACTCGTCCACGACGGAGAGGGTCTGTCCACTCGTGACAAATCCCGCCTCGTCTTGTGGCACGATTGCAGTGCGCACAGCCTTGACGTCATGCAGCCCCATCGTGTCAGGGGCAAGCCATGATAAATCGCCGGACGATCCGGGTGACAATGAGTCTCGTGTTGAGTCTATGTTTCTGAAAAATGCAGGTAGATATTGGTGAGCTTCTTCGTTCATCAGGGACTGGGGTGCAGTCGCTACATAGTCACCGTGGGGCGGTGCACTCCATGTCGGGTCCATAAAGGAGTTTAAAATCATATCAAGGAACGGGTCCTGACCTCCAAAATCATTGCGATCATTAAAAGGGAGAGGCACGGAAGTGGATAACGGTGCTATGTGGGTTGGGGCGTCTTTGGTGGATACTGGGCCCCGACTTGGATTAAACTCTTGCGGCGAACGCGCTTCCCGAGGCAGCCTTTCCTTTCGATTCATCGATTTCCGTTGGCTGACAATGTGTTTAAACTTTGCAGCTTGTTCTTTCTGTCGCCTGCCATTGTCCATCCACTCGGGTCTCGGGCCGTATCCATGGCACTCCAACCCAAAATAAGTGCATGAACGGCACACAGGCCGAGTTTCGTCACATTTCTTCTTCCGGACTCGACAGGTCCAGCATCCATTGAGGCTCCGTGCGGCTGAATTTGCCAACTAGTCAGCGATTGCCGTCTTGACGAGGGCAAAGCTAAGCTTACCAAGCTTCACTGCTGGATCCATGCAGAGCTGCAGAAGGATACACTTTTTCTGTCTGTGACCTAGGTGAAAGTACGCACCAACTGTTCAAGAAGTTGAACTTGAAAGACTTTTTATGACCCGAGTCCACGAGGTAACATCGGCTATTTAGAGAACTACCTTCCTAAACCAAAATATTCTTCAGTCTGGATTGATGCAGACGCGAGATGCCGTTATTGCATCTATACGAGAATTACCAATTCTTGCACCGGCAAATATTGATGATCTGCAGAAAAGGACTTGTCTGCGGAGCAAACATTGGCTGTGATCGGAAACCGCCGGCGGAAGGTTTTTTTTTGATGAAATGCTGGGCTTGCAGTAGTGCTTCGGAAAAGTTGGTGGTCGTACCTTAATCCTTGTTTACGGAATCCTCCTGGCCAATCCGTTAACATTGGAGCGCACAGGGCGTGCACGACCAACGCAGGAATGCAGGGATGTCACGCTGATCATTGCTGTCTGCTTCGTATTACTTGGTCTCCTCTCACCCGTTCCTTGCCAAAAGCCCATGTGGAAACGTGGGGTGTTTTGGGATGCAACGACGGCCTGGTTTCCGGCAATTTACCCATCTTACTGACACTTTATAATCGAACGATCAAACGCTGTAAACTGCTCGATCAGGCGGGTTGAATCCATGGCAGAATTGAGAGATCCGACTGGTCCAGCCAGAATTCAGTAAAAATTTGATATCCTTGACATCTCCGTTTACACCGTTCACTAGAGGACTGTAGGGGCCAAACCACGATCACGACGGCACCAGCCATAGCAGATAGGCCCATTGGGGCTGGAAGAAAATTAACCTAATCTGGTTCTCAATTTGATCTTTTCACTACTGTACCCGCGAGTTATCCGATTGAGGGAAACTCGCCACGAGGCGCCGCGTCCGCCCCCAAATCGGGTTGCTTCCAAGAATCTTCGAGAAATTAACTGGCAGAGTATCAGCTTGGTAACATTATATGCCTCAGGACTCTCGTATTCCACGTCTCAGGCGCAACCTCAGTATACTGCCGAGCCGTACTAAGGCACGACCGGTCCTCGCCGCCAAGGAGGCCACCACCGCTGGAAGACCAGAACAACATCAAGCCCGGAATAAAAAAGAGACAGAAAATTCAGTACCATTTGCGTGTTGCAACCCGGGATTACTGACAATATTAGAATGATCAATCTGATAAGAGACATAGATCCCAGCTGCGGGGGTGACATGCAGGTCACGTGAAGGTTTGGAACAGGCGACGTGACATGTTTACCCCAAGTAGTTGCACGGCAAAGCCCTCATCCGCGTTACACAACTTGCAGAGCTTCCAGGAACCGTGCAGCACCTGTACGGAGCAGCCAGACCGGCGCCAGTTATTGTAGATCCCCGCGTGTCGGGCCGCGGAAGAACGCGGAGCGGATTTCTTTACTCCATCTGGTCGAGATTGTTTCAAGTTTTGTCTTGTCTCTCTCAGTCACCATGACTCAGTCCAAGGCCCATATTTGCGTTCTGAGCTCGTATTCGGCATTCCGGCATATTGCAACCTCGTAAGCGACGTCTCTCATTTTCGCTAGCGTTTAGTCCAAGTGGCAGCGGTAGCGCTAAGCAGGTCGCCAAGTGGCCAACGCGCGCGGGGAGAATGTCTCAAGGCAATGAATGACTCGTGAGGGTGGAGTGTCAATCAACTCTTTCTCCCCTGGCGGTAAAGCTAGGCCACTCCATGCATTTTCGTCCCCGCAGGATGTACCGACTTTCATGGAGAGACGTGTTACCTAATACCAGCGGCAGGCCGTGATGGCGCTCTGTTTTCGGCGCGGCGAGAGTGTATGACCAGACGAGCATGGGGGGCTTCCTGGAAGGGCCAGTGACGATTATACCACTCTTGGATCACCTCAAGTAGTTAGGTGGTGAATGCTTCTCCGTACTTAAATGGTCAGAGGTCTTGACCACTTTGTGTCCAATCTCAGCGGCATATTGTTTCAAGTTTCGTCTCGTCTCCCTCAGTATCACAATGACTCAGTCTAACGGCAACTCGGTATCCTCGGCGTCGGATCCTTATCGCCTCAATCGCAATGTCGCGGCTTCGACCCGTCTTAGCCTCCAGCACTACATCTGGAAGGAGAACATGGGATATCTCCTGCACCCGTCCATTGATGTCTCGCGCCCGGATCTCACCATTGCTGACGTAGGCACGGGCACTGGGTAGGGACTCCTCTACGCTCGTCTTGTTCGTTCGGAACCGGGCTAAATCTAATGCTCAGGATTTGGCTCCTCGACCTCCTCCGTCAACTCCCCAACGCAAAGCTCCACGGCTTCGACATCTCGAGCGAGCAGTACCCCGCCCCGGGATTCCTCCCGCCCAACGTATCCCTTAGCAAGCTCGATATCCTGGGCGAGATCCCGGAAGAATACAGGGAAAAGTTCGATGTCGTCCACGCGCGACTGCTCGTGCAGGTGGTCAACCAAGCGGGCAGCGATCCAGTGCCCGTCATACAGAACATGATGAAACTGCTCAGTAAGTGCCGTCGCCATCCGCTGATAATTGTTTCTTGAGGAAGGCCGGCTGACGGCATCCGCCACGGTATCTAGAGCCCGGCGGCTACCTGCAATGGGAAGAGCCCAATGACGACGCCAGCAAGCGCCCGATCGTCAAGGCCGACCCTGCCAATTCATCCGAGAGTGCCGAAAAGCTTCTGCAGCGCCTTGATGCGCGTTTCCGCGCCGCCACCCCTGCGTCGTAAGTTTGATTCTTTCCTTCCTCGACCTTCTTGCTGCACCCGCAAGACCGCTACATCATGGCTACGGTGACTGCTCACAACATGTTGCAGGTGGTCCGTGGCTCTGGCAGAGACATTCAAGGAACAAGGCCTGAAGAATGTGATTCGGGAGGAATTCTCGACCGACACCTACTTGCTGTTGCTGGACCAGACGAATTACCTCGGCCTGTTTGGCGAGCTGATCAGTAAGCTGGACGGAGACCTCAAGGACGAGCTCAGCAGACTGCATGCCAACACGGTTGTTGAGGCCAGAAACGGACTTTCGTGGAAGGTGCGCCGCTTTGCTTTCCTGGGACAGAAGCCTTGACCGTTCAAGGGATTCCGCGAAGCTTTTAGCTGGGTTTTCATCTTTGCATAGAGGAATTTGCAAATCTGAAATTACACTCGGCTGTTTAGAACGGTGTAACTAGATGTGAAACCGGCCACCCAGTTCTTGAAGTCTGTGACTCCTTCGCCGTGTAGTGGTAATCCTCTAATTCGTATGTAGTAGGAGGAAGAAGTAGAACCCTCAAAAGCAATGGTACAAATGAACATAAAGGTAACGGTGCGGGAAATATAAGATGTGATATACCTGACGATTGCTGGACCCAAACGAATATATCCAAGTACAGACAGGAGCACTTGCATCATAGCTACATAGTATAGACTTAATAGACTGATTCAAGCAACCTATCACCCACATCAGTAGAACAATAAGCCAACGATCGACAGGAGGGTGCTAGAACGAGGCTTGTATTGTCATCAGCCTAGAGACTCGCTGACAATGATCTCCGGACAGCAGGTAGCGTAGGCGGCGGGGCGGCTTCTTGAGCAACTCACTCTCAGTGGTCTCTTTGGCGGGAGCCTCCTCCTTCTTCTCACCAGCATCCTGCGCTTTGCACACGGAGTAGTACTTGATGAAAATAATGATCATGACTAAATGTAGGTAATAGCCAAAACCTAGTATATTCAAACATTTAGATACAACAGTGTAGCAAACCACGTTGAGATACTATACCCCTAAACCCCCAGCTCCCCGACCACCTTTCTTTTCACCATGCCGTCCAAGCATCGAGTATACCATGTCAACGCCGCGCGAGCCTCATCAGATGAGAACGCTCTCTCATCGTAGCCGAATCGCACAATATACTCGCCCTTGGCCGCCGCCTTGACCACCTCCATCTGGATGGCATAGTTGAAAGTCATCCGGTTCTTGCTCATCTTCATGACAACCCAGCGCATTGGATCCTGCTGAGGGGTGGCAGGCTCGAATGGCTGGAAGCAGAAGAGACATTTGGCGGCTGCAGTGGACCGGTCGCGGCCCAGAGCCTCATATATCTCACCGAGGGACACGAGGCCGTTCTCAGTCGAGGCCCAGAAGTCAGCCTGTGTGGATCGGAGCAGGGTCTCGATGGGCATATCTTCTGCAACATGCGAATGGTACGGCAGGAAGTTGGCGCAGTTCCCATTGATGAGCTGCGGGTTGTCGAGGGCGACGTTGCGCCCCGTCACAAGATTGTCGTAGATCACGTCCTGTGCGCCGCTGAGGTGGGCCAGGAGGAGAGAGTAGGCCGTCTGGAATACGATTGGGGCGGTAACCCCTGTGGAGCTGGCCAGGTCGTTGATACCCACGGATGCGTCAATTTTTGCAACCTCGGTGCTAGACAGCTTTGGGTTGGTGACTGTCGATGGGAAGTCGAAGTAGTGGTTTTGAAGCAGCCGGGTCCAGTAGTCGAGCTGGGGCTGCTTCGGCGTGCCCAGGAAGTGAGTGATAAAGTCTTTGAAAGGGGTCGGCCGCTGGATGGGCTGGTTCTGGTTGAGGGCTTGGAATTGGTCGTCAAAAATGTGAAGGAGAGTCCCGTCGTAGGAGGAATGGTGCAAGTTGATGACCAGGTCGCGTGTGCCCTCCGAGTTCTCGAGCAACGTGTACCGCACGAATGGCTTAGCCGGATCAAACGGTGTCTGCCACTCGGCTTCCAATATGCTCTGCTTTTGCTCCTCCGTGCGGTAGGATCGATAGGCGAGATTGAGAACGGGGTGCTTGAGCACGACCTGGACCAGGGTTTGCGGGTTCTGAGTGTCGGTCTGGAGATACAGCGCGCGCAGGATCTGGTTATTCTTCGTCAGCTGAGTCGTCAGATAGATCCAACGATCAAAGTCCAAGTCGTCTGGTAGCGTGCGAACGGCCATCAGCTGCCAGAACCGGTCTTGCTTCTCTCCTTGCGTGAAGAATTCAATCTGGCCAGGGCTACAAGGATAGATGTCCTCCACATCGTTAACGGAGACACCAATTTCCACGAGGCGTTCGTACACAGCTTCCGGTGGCTGGAACACCAGTTGCTGGACAGGTTCAGCAGCAGTGCTGTTAGCATTTGCTTGGTCCTTAACCATCAGCGCGGCCTGTTCCCGCAACGTGGAGCTGGACAGGATATCGTTGATCTGTATCTTGTATCCGCGCCGACGAAGCATACTGCCCAGGTTTAATGCGGAGATGGAATCCCCACCCATAGCATGAAAGGTGGAATTGGCGTGGATGTCCTCGATCGGTGTGTCAAACAGAGCAGACCATAGCGACTGCAATTCCTGCTCGGCTTCTGACTCTATCTCCGACATTTCGGAATGGGGCAGGTAGCCTTTCAGTACGCTGTCAGCCATGCCTTCAACCAGAGCCGTAAGTCGCTTCCGATCGATTTTCCCCGAGGTAAGACTCGGGAGCTTGGAGACAGGAAGCCATATTGTAGGGACCATGTACTGCGGTAGAGTGGTTAGTTGCGCTTTAACTTGATCAACCTCTGTCGACTGCCTTGGAGGCAGCAGCAGGTTTTCTTCCTCTGTTTTCTCGCCTGGTGTCTGGACTGACGTAGAGCAGAATGCGACGAGCTGCTTTTTCTTGAGGACCGTTGCGGCAATGACGGCGCACTGGCTGAATACATTTGCCTGCCTGATAACGCTCTCGATCTCACCAAGTTCCATTCGGTGCCCGTTGATTTTGACCTGGTCGTCTTTGCGTCCAAAGAGCTCAATTTCCCCGTTGGGCAGCAATCGAGCAAGGTCCCCAGTACGATAGAACCTTTGATTGGAATTACCCTGGAAGGCCTTGTTAGTCGCCTCGGGGCGATTCAAGTAACCTCTGGCCAGCTGCGGACCCGCGATGCAGAGCTCCCCAACGCTGCCAGAGGGCTGTTCCTCCGTTGTGTCTGGGTCAAGGATCAGTGCAGTGGTGTTTGGGAATGGGCTGCCGACGTTGCGAATGTTCATGTCTGGGGTGACGGCCCGGGTCGTAACACAGATTGTTGCCTCCGTAGGGCCATAGGAGGTGTAGACTTTGATGCGCGGCGCCCAGACATTTAGCATGTTGTGAGTGACTGGCTCCCCTCCCGTGGCCAAAATCTCCAGAGTCGGCACGTCGTCCGGGTGAAGAAGGCTGGCCATGGTCGGTGTTAGGTTGATTTGGTCAACCTTCATCGTGGTGATGACTTCGGCGAGGTTGCCGACGATGATGTTGTGCGGTGCGACACACAGCGTGCGGCCCGTTGAGAGAGTCGGAAAGAGAGGATAGAAAGAGCCGTCAAAAGTGTAGTTCAGCGACCACAATATCCTGCGGGAGTTGTCTTTAGTGGTAGCATAAAGTATGCCTTCCACAGCCGCGACGATGGCGCTGTGGGGTATCAGTGTCCCCTTTGGCTTGCCCGTGCTGTAGAAGAGGTCAATTTGGGTACACGATGGTTAGAGTTATTAGCCTTACCTGCCCGAGGTGTATATAACATACGCAAGGCTATTTGGATTAAGCCCAGGTACAATTTGCCTTTGGAGAGGAATTGTGTCCCACGAGACGGCATCGAGAATGACTACTTCATAGGGGGTGCCCTTGAAGAAGTCCGCATTCAGTTGATCAGTGATGACGAGTTTGGCTCCCGAGTCTTCGAGGATCCCCAAGTTTCTTTCGCGAGGGTTTTCCGGGCCAAGGGGCAAAAAGGCACCTCCAGCAACGAGAATGCCAAACATGGCGACAATGGTGTTGATCGACTTCTCAAGCATGATGGGGACAATCTGCTCCAGCACCAGGCCCCTTTCTCTCAGCAAACCTGCAAGCTGGTTCATTTTGATAGCCAATCCCGAATATGTTATCCGGGCCCCAGAGATGTCCTCGACCGCCGTCCTGGACGGATGGCAGGCGGCTATTCTCTGCAACGCAGAGTGAGCTAGCTCACCATCTGGAATCTTGGCCAGATCCTTAACTTTGTTAGTATGCGCTTCGGAATGGCCTGGCACATTGCCCACTGGATCATCGAGCCTATCCATGAGTCTGGGCACCGGTTGCACCAATGTGAACTCCCCAATTTTGGTCAGCGGTGCATCAAAGGCTGTGTCCAAAACGGCCGCGAGGGTATCTGCAAGAGTCTGGGCATACTCCGGCTCCAATGTTGAGGTCAGAGTCACGCGGTCCAAGCTCTCGTTGCGAAGTTCAAGTTTGGTATATTCGACAGTTCCAAGATTGCTCTCGGGCAGCTGCCTTAATCCTCCAGGAGGCGTGGGTGCGGGGATCTTGATCAAGAAGTTTGCCATGGTGTCAAAGAAGTCTTTCGGCTGGCCACTTGCCTGGAGAATCCTCCGCAGCCCATACGGCGCATTTTTGGCAACGGCCCAGAGGTTGGACTGGACATTTTCAACCAGCTCGTCCAATGGTGTAGTCCTGTTGACCTTGACCCTCAGCGGAGCGACCATGAGAGTAGGGCCACTCATTTGAAGGATACCTGCAACGGGAGCATCTCGCCCAGAAATCGTCACGCCCATGACCACATCTTCGGTCGAGTTGGCAAGGCCAAGAACAACAGCCCATGCGGCGTACAGAAGAACACCTGGTGTGACCCTGCGCTTCAATGCGGTGGTCTTCAGGTCACAGTGCACCTCAGCAGTAACCGTGTTTTCGGGGGCAGCCTGGGAACCAAGGCGGCTAGGCACAGCACCATCAAGATACCCTTGCCAGAACCTTTGCATAGCGACGGCGTCATGTTGTCGGAGATACTCGATGTAGCGACGGAACCCTCCTCGCTCGATCCGGGGTGTCCCCTGCAGCACCGAGGTGAGATCCTGTATCAGAAACTCGTTGGACCAGAAATCGAAAAGCGCGTGATGAGCTGTGATGACAAGGACGTTGTTAGGCAAGGCGGCCGCATTCCACCATAGCTCCCCGGGATACATCGCTTTTGTCATCTGTTGCTGCATGTACTCGGTCACGTCTATGTCCGACGCCACCCAAGGGATGTCTGCAGTTTTCCTCACCACCTGGAGAAAGGTGGTTCCGTTGGGCACAAATGTCGCGCGCAGACATCTGTCAGACTTCATCAGCGTCTCAAAGGCGGCCTTGATATCATCCTGGCGGTAGCCCTCGAAGCTGTAGGAGCGACTGTAGATGTAGCTTGTACCGCCCATCATTGTGTTTGCAATGGCCGCTTCTTGAAAAGGTGTCACAGGAAAGGCGTCTTCTATGTCCGAAATCCCGATACCGAAGTTTTCAATGGAAGGGCTCACTTGGAATGACGCAGAAGATGTGGTGTCATTATCGGCTTTCTCCTCTGCAAGCTGTGGTTGCACGGCGCGTGCAACTCCAGACAGCGAGTCACCAAGAAGTATATCCTCGACCCGGAGGCTGAGCCCGTGAACTAACTGAAGTTGTGATACGACCTGAATAGCTTCAAGCGATGTACCGCCCAGTGAGATGAATGAATCTCCAAGGGAGATCTCCGACTCCGGGAGGGACAGGATCTTGGCCCACAGGCTCCGGACCACCATCTCGTTGTCAGTCAAGTTGCCTTCTTCCTTTACTCGCATGTGACACCGTTCGGGAAGCAGCTGGCCTGACTCGCCTAGTCCCTCCACCGTTTTGCGGATTGCCACCATGTCAACCTTTCCGTTTGCGTTCACAGGCAAGTCGGGCATGGATACCCAGAATTGTGGAACCATGTAGAGTGGCAGCCTGGCAGCCAAGAATGGCCGAAGCTTGCCGACAAGAGCCCCCCAGTCGGTGTCGGAACGACTGACGACGGCAGCGACAAGGACCGTCCTGTTGTTCACGGAAGCCGGAACCACGGCAGAGTCTTCGACTTCCTCAATGGCTTGAATAATCGAATTGGGCTCGCCAGGATCGACCCGGTGCCCATTGATCTTGACCTGGAAATCGATCCGCCCGATCAGCTCGACCGACCCGTCAGCGTGGCGGACAGCCATATCGCCCGTTCGGTATAGTCTGCCTTTCCCAAATGGGTTCTGGACGAACCGCTTCGTGGTCTCTTCAGGGCGGTGCAAATATCCTCTGGCAATTTGAGCACCGCCGAGGCACAGCTCGCCGGGAACTAGTAGAGGCGAAAGCTCCGTGGTGCCGGGAATAAGGACATAGGAGGTCGTCGTGTCATATGGTTGACCGATCATGCGGGCGCTCACATTGGACTGCAAGCGATGACGCCAGTTGAGCTGTGTGCATTCGCTGAGGCCGTAGGACGAGAGCAGTTCGACTCGGTGTTCCCATGTCTGAATTACAGTGGGATTGACCATGTCGCCTCCCAGCACCATGCGCCGAAGCGACGGTACATCATCCGGCGATATCAGCGCGGCCGCACTCGAGGTCATATCGACCGAATTGACATCCATGGTATTGATCATCTTCGCCGTATGGACCGTAAGGTTTTCCTTGCTGGCAAGACACAGGCAACCACCGACAGTGAGAGTAGCCCAAATAGATCTCTGTGCGGCCGAAAAGGCTGGGTTGAAAAAGAGCAACTGGCGAAGGCCTGCAACTGGCGGAAAGGCCAACAGGCCGTTAAAGGCGGCTCGGTGCTCGAGCAGTACCGATTTTGGTTTGCCCGTAGACCCCGACGTGTAGATCACGTATGCAACGCTGTTTGGGTCCTGGACATTTATGAGATCACCGTCATCATGGCTGAAGGACTGAGACAGCAGCTCCCCAATCTGGACCTCCTTATCCAGCTCACCTGCGGTACTGGGATCGACCAGGACCAGACCCGGCTGGAGATCCTCGAGGATGAATGATTTCCGGGCAGCGGGAGCGTCGGGATCCAAGATCACGTATGCTGCTCCAGATTTCAAAATAGCCAAAAGTGCTACGATGAAGTCCGTCGACATGCGGAGGTGCACGGCAATATATTGGGCGCCATGTTGGCGGAGCTGGCGGGCCAGCTGGTTTGAGCGTTTATTCAAGGCAGAGTACGTGAGGGCGGGTTCTGTTTCAAACTGTACTGCAGCTGCATCCGGCCTCACTTTCGCTTGTTCCTCGACCAGGCAATGTACCAAACCGCTCTTCGGCTTGAGAGCGGCTTTGCCGTAGTCGAGCAGTAACTGCCTTTCGACTGGGGGCATAATATCGACAGATGACACTTTGGCGTCATGGTTCTCTGTTACACGCTGTAGTGTTACTTCAAAGCGATCCAGTAGAGTTCGAACATCCACCCTTGGGACGCTAGCGTTGTGCCGCATACGGAGTTGCAGGCCCGCTGATGCGCAAATGTTGAATACCAAAGGAAAGTCATCGTCTGGAGCCATCGTGTCCCGGCTGTCATCCTCGAAAGTGACAGACAATTTCACTTGGGGGCGCATTGCCGAGGCTGTCTCCATGATCCGCTCGTATCCAATGTGTGAATGGGCAGACGCTGTGGCCGCAGCGGTGCCCACATGACGAATCCACGAGAGAACGTCCACGTCGTCAGGCACGGACAGAACCAGGGGGTAGTCGTGTTTATCTTCTCCATTTCCCGTGGAGACATGTTTCCCGGTTGATCGACTGCGGCCAGCAACGGTAAACACGGCTGTGCATTGGCCGCTAACTGTTTGCCTCGCACACACGATAGCCCATACGGCGTATATGAGGTCCTCTAGGCTAGTATTGTGTGTACGGCCAAAGCTCGTCGCTGCGTCAAACAGACTATTGGGGGCTCTTACTGTGGTTTCCGCACGAGGCCATTGGTGATCGAGAGGCAGGCACGCGAGCCGCGGTTGTGATCCAACACTGCGGAAGAGCTCTTCCCAGTATTGGGATGCAAAGTTGGTATCCTTCGTAGACTGAGTGTGTGAAACGGCGTCTGCCGAAGGGGGAGAGTCTTGCAGGTCGATGTATGGGGCCATATTGAATCAGGTTGAAATGATATCTGGCCAAAGGGCGTATGAAAGCACAGCGCACTCAGGTTTGGCTGCCAGATCCAGGTACACCCGGGCCTTAAAGTTGTCTCTATGAAGACTATCTGGTACTTGATTGGCTTGGCATGATTCAGCAAGGCCTGAAATGAGTAAGACCCATGATTAAACGTACCGCGGTGCGCCGGGCCACTGCGCGCCATGAGCGTGGGAAAGGGCCAGCCACATGGCAAGCTGGTCTCTGGCGGCAGGACTAAACATCGTGCATTGTGCGCGGCGCGGGCGCGGCAACAAGGCGCACTGCCTCCTCTGGCAAGAGAGCCATGCATGGTGCATGGCTCGCACCGCTCCGGTACCACTGAAAACCCTCGGCCGCCGAGAAAGGCGCTCGTATCCCCCAAATTCCGTAAGTAATGACTATTGCATGCCGCCCGGAACTGGCCATTTGCTGCTTTCTCCTAGGTGTGCGGGCTATACCAATAGGCAGTGATATATGGGTGGAGTTTTACGTCGGCCTCGGTCTCCGCTGGGACGGGCCCCGCCATAGTGTCCACTCTCTATAGGGAGCCTAGGCAATGAATCTACTTTTGTGCTGTATTCATTTGTCGTTGCATGGTAGTAGGGAACAAGAAATCTGTTCATGGCCCTTTTCCACTAGAGGTCCACTCTCTTTACGGGCTGCTTATACAGTGCTCGAAACCTTAACTGCTAGGTGAAGGGAATTATACTGAATACCAATCCTATGTATCTGCGGTTTCCTCACGAGACTAATTTCTCATTTGCATTGTTTCAGTTGTTCTAGAATACTTTTTATCAAGGAACTATGTAGGGCCATGGATCTTGCATGTCTCACCACGCCTCTACCATCCCTGTTCGAAAGGCACAAGAGAGTGAAACAATGGACAGCGAAAGAGACACGAGACTGACGGTTTTCTCTAATAAGGAGCTGATCGGATGGGACGGCCCGTTTTCTACACCCTGTGGTCGTATCTGATAGTGGAGATTCGTGCATTCGTCAAAATCAAGATCCCCCAGAAGGAGCAAGAAACAGCTTCTCGCGCTTCATCAGAAGGCTCAGCACAGCCACCAAAGCACCAGCTGTCATGACCAGGATATAAGACTTGCTTAGGGCGTCCACGAGCGCTTCCAACACCTGTTCGCGGACGCGTGGCGTGAGGCTCTGGAAAAGCTCCGACCGTGTGCCCGAAATCGTCTCCTTAATGTGCTCAGGATCCACTCCGGGGAGGATCGTCCGCAAGGACCTCACACTCTCGTTGAAAAACACTGCGTTGGCGATGGCCAGGGCCAGAGTGATTCCCGTAATCTGGGCCAGCGAAATAAAACCGACTGCAGAGGGAACCAACTCCGGGGCCACGGTGGCTTGCGCGACCGAGAATGATGCTTGGGCAAAGAAACCTACTCCAACACCAATGAGGACGGTGTAGCCGTAGACATGTGCCACAGATGTGGTGAGGCCGACGGTGTACATGAGGGCGCCGCCGATAACCACCAGGATGCCTCCGACAAGGTACCACGGCATGTACAGTCCAAAGGATGAGAGGAGTGCGCCGTTGGCCATGACAGCCACGATCATCAGGATGATAAACGGCAGCAACCGAACGCCGGACTCGAGGGTCGAGTCGCCGCGGGTGAACTGGAAATAAAGTGGGGCCATGTAGACGGGGACGAAGATGGCGGTTCCCCCCGCGGCGGTTGCGGCGAACAGAATTAGCACAGTCCGACTCTTAAAGAACTCGACAGGAAGCACGCGGTGGGTCGCGCTGGTAAGGATAGTGAAAACCTGCTGTAGGCCAAGCAGGATGAAGAGTACCCCAGAGCAACAGAAGAGACCAATGATCCGGCCCGAGTTCCATGGATACATCACACCGCCGAACGACACGGCCATGACCCCCGTCACCATGGCGCCGATGGTGAGGATACCCCCAAGATGGTCCATGGTGTTGGCCCGCTCACGCAGACTGACGCCGGGGCGGGGATCCTTGTTGGGAAGCAAAAAGAGGTAGACTGGGGCACAGACCGCACCGACGCATAGGTTGATGTAAAACGCCCATCGCCAGCCGGCAGACGAGTCGGTAAACGCTCCACCGACGATAGGGCCCAGAACGGTGCCGACACCCCAGATGAAGCCTCCTCCACCCACGTACATGGGTCGCTCATGGATGGTGGTTGTGGCGGCCAGGAGGGTCATGAGGCCGACGTACATGCCCGATCCCGAAACGCCACAGATGGCACGGCCAATGATCAAGGCGTTCATGTTGGGCGCAGCGCCGCAGACAGCGGATCCAACTTCAAAGACAAAAACCGACAGGATATAAGTCCATTTTGCATTGAACTGACCAAAGACTTTGCCCCAGATCAAATTCGTGCCGGCCGCGCCAATCAGGAAGGCGACGCTGATCCACGGCAGCTTCTCGACGGACTTAAAGTCGCTCACAATGACGGGTTGCACGTTTGCGACAATGGTGTTGTCGAGGGCGAAGAGGAATTGCGAGCTGTAAATGGCCAAGACGACGAGGAACCATTTCCAACCGGAGATCTCTCGTGGAGGAGACTTGGGATCCTCCGGCACAGAGTCTTCTCCTCGCTGTGCTTCAGGATCCACGTCCGTCGAGGTTGCCTTCTCGGAAACCTCACGCTCTGTGGCAGAGAGGTTGCTGTCTTTGCTGGCAAGGCTTGCGGGCTTGTTGTCAGCCGCCATTGTATCCGACGTAGAAGACAGCATCTGGTTTAGGCATATGTCCTAAAGAAAAAAGGGTCCAAAAGATCAGGATAGCACTTTCATGACAGGGCCATTGGATCTTAAGATGGGCGGCAGAGCAGGCCCGTTGCGAGCCGAGCGATCACCGCAGTTGAATCCCATTTGTCAGCATGATTAATTGTTTTGTGCTCGTTGACCTGCCTTCAGGATTATTATTATCAAATATTTTCATCAATTAGCGTTGCCGCGCAGGCGTGAGGAGCGAGAAGACTAAATCTAATTGCGCGAGGATTAGCGTTGCCGCCGAGACTAAAGACATTCATGCAGGCCAAGAGCAGCCAACCAGAGTCAGGCTCCATACCTGGAGAGAAGAGGATCTATGGCCAAGAGGAACAATGCTCATGGATGTCAGTCGGCAATGCCATTTCGGACAGCCTTTCCGGTTATATACTTATCTCGTTTCCAAGCCGCCTCGCCCAGCATGATAGGATTCACCCTCGGTATACGACAGGCCCCCCGATCCCAGTGGCCGACCACATCAGTTCCTACCCCCTCTCTAGCAAGTGATTATTACCAGTGCTTTGCGTGATGTCTCCAGCAGCAACGGAAGCTGCGCCGGCGAGCCAGCCCCCAAACTCCCACCCGCTGGTCCACGGAATTGATATCCATAACCCGGATCCGGTGCACGAAGGGAATGCAGCGTTACTGAGGGCGTTCCCGATTGACCGCAACGTCTTTCGCCTGTTCGCACGGTCCCCCGGTCTGTTCCCGCCTATCCTGGATACCCTCAATGCGCTGTTGGACGGCAAGACACGCACGATCCAGATTCTAGACTACCAGCTCGTTGTTCTCCGTATGACTGGCACCGTGGGTGCCGAATATCTGTTTGGCATTAATGAGCCCGTGTCGCGTGTCCACGGCATGGGCGACGAGAGGATCGAGGCGCTTCGGAAGGGGCTGAAATCGGAAGAGCTGTTCGCCATGGGCATTTGGTCCGAGCGACAGCAGTGCCTGATCACTCTGGTAGATGAGTCGGTGGCGACCTGGACGAACACGGAAGAAACAATCGCTTGGGCAAAGACTTTGATGACGGACGACGAGATTGTCGAGGTTTTCATCGTCTTGGGTTTCTATTCCATGATCGCACGCATCACCCGTGGCCTCAGGGTCCAGACAGATAAACCCATTCCCCATTTAAACCAGTCGATCGTGGACAAAATCACCAAGAACAGCAATGACGCATAGGAAAACTAGCCTTTAGCTGTGTTTAAATAAAATAATAGAGCCCAATCTTCCTAGGACTCTGGTCCAATGCCAGTATGTTGATGGGGTAATCAGCTTGGCATGGGATTATGTTGTGGTTTTGTATACTTCTGCATCACTGTCCTATCGTTTCTATTAGCGAGGAATGATCGTCTAGACACCTTTTTGGCCTAGTCGTTTGATAGCTGACACCTTTATAATACCGCCCCGCCCCCTTCTCTCCCACTTGCTTGTGTACACAAGTGACAAATATGACTCAATTGTCGGAGCCAGCGTATCTCGAAATTGCACGGCGTAAACAAGCCCAACTGGACTCTGGCATCCCCACGGAATGGAGACTCCCAGCTCATCTGATTCCAGCCGATATTCGTTTTCCGCCAAGTCCCGTCACACATAGCCAAGCATACCGGAGAGAGAATGTGATGGATATTCCAAGAAGATCAGGCCTGCTGACCCAAAAGGAGCTCCGCATCACCGAGAACTGGGACGTCCGGGGCCTTTTGGCCCAGATGCGCCAGGGAACGTTTAGCGCAGAGGATGTCGTAAGGGCATTTTCCAAGGTTGGTTGCCCTGGTGAACCCGGAGGTCGGTATACATGTGTGTATGCTCATGGCATTAGCGAGCGGCCATTGCTCACCAAGTTACACGCTGTTTGACCGAGCCCCTCTTTCCCAGCGCCATCCAACGGGCCCAACACCTGGACGGCATTCTCCAGCGCACGGGGAAGCCCGTCGGCCCTCTCCACGGACTTCCCGTCTCCGTCAAGGACTGTTTCCGAATCAGGGGTGTTGACTCGTGCATCGGCCTCACCGCGCTGGCCTTCAAGCCTTCAACCTTTCATGCGCGGCTGGTGAACATGCTCCTTTCGCTAGGCGCGGTGATCATTGCCAAGACGAATGTATCGCAAGCCATGGCGGCCCCAGACAGCTACAACCACGTCTTCGGCCGCACCTTGAACCCGCTCAACCACCAGCTCACAGTGGGCGGGAGCTCCGGTGGCGAGGCAGCCCTGGTCGCGATGCGTGGGTCCATGGTCGGGTTTGGTACTGATATCGGCGGCAGTATCCGCGTGCCTGCGATGTGCACCGGCCTGTACGGATTCAAACCGAGCGTCGGCCGGATTCCATTCGGTGGAGTGGTGACTGGTCAGACGTCCGGGCTCGGGCGGGTTTCGCTCCAGGGCGTTGCCGGACCACTGGCGCGGTCGGTGGCAGATTTGGGGACCGTTTTGGCAGAGATTGTACCGAGGGCGGAGCAGTTTGGGGAGGATTGCATCCCCGGGCGCTGGGTAAGCGAGTCCTCGCCGGTACCTGATAGGCAGACGCGAGAGTTCACCGTCGGGGTACTGAGAACAGATGGCCTAGTCACGCCTCTTCCTCCCGTTGCTCGAGTCTTGGACGAAGTTGCCGATTCTCTCCGCCGGACTCCCGGTGTCCGGGTAGTTGACGTCCCAGTGCCACCAGCCTTGAGGAAATGCCAGGGGATAGCGGGGCGACTGATGGGCGTCGATGGTGGGGGGAGCCTGCTCGATCTCCTTGAGAGCACCTCGGAGCCACTGATCCCGTGGCTACAGACCAGAATGAAACGCAGGGAGCCATTGAGCCTGGAGCAGCTGGTCCATTTGCAAGACCAGAGATCTGAAATTGAGAAAGAGTTGCTTGGGATGTGGGCAGTGGATGGAGATTCTACGAAACGGATCGATGCGATTATTACTCCAGTCGCCCCTCATCCTGTGCCCGAGCTTGATCGGTTCAATGCCATCGGCTACACGGCCAGCTTTGTTCTTCTGGACTACCCAGCTGGGACGATTCCGGTGCGCAATTTCTTAGAATCGGATCTCGACAGCAGCAGCGATATAAATTCTCCAGTCCTGGGAAGCTGGGACAGAGTAAACCGTGAACTGTGTATGCCATTCCGATTGCTACTCTATGGTATACAGGTACGTGGCTGACTGAGTGATACAGGGCAGGGAAAATCTGTCGACCGCCGGGTATATCTGGACTCGCCCCTAAGCATCCAGGTGGTCACGCCGAAACAACATGACTATGAACTGTTTCAAGCCATGCAAATCATCGATCAAGCCGTCCAGTCGCAAAAACGAGCGACGTGGTCAGATTCCAAATCATAAGTATACTTCTCACGCATCGTAAGGTGGCATCTCCCTGGCATTTACTGATTGCGGTCAATGTGGGTGCTCTGGTTGGCCCTGTGGTTTCGTTGATGCGCCGGATTGAGCTGGAGCTGAGTCATTGCACAATCACCACACAAGCCATTATCTCGTCTGCATTGAGTGAAATTGGTTGCACACTCCTGCTGGCGGTTGTGGCATACCAGTCATAGAATAACTGAAGCCAGCCTGCACTGGCTGCAATTAGTGAAATCAATGAACGCTAAAATCACTAGGTGGTCCATTTAAACACAATCAACAGACGATCATGCTTTTCAATATCCGTATTTACCCCTTTAGTCAGGTCAGGTAATGCTGAAGATTTCAAGTCTCGTAAATGCGGTTATTCAGGTTGCATCCGTTCGATATTTTGTCTTGGCTTATAGAAGAGGGCGAAATACTGAATAAATATATTTACTCTACAGAGGTCTTCGGTGTATATCCAGTGAGATCCGACCGACTTGTTAGTACTACCTACACTATCCTAAATACGAGTAGATCCTTTTTTGCCTTTCGTTCTTACAGGCAGTAGATTAAAAATACTTAATAGGGCTAATATATTGGTCTGGGCATAACTGCTGTGACACTGCTTGATGTAACGAATCCACCACATCTTTCACTGGAGCACACCTTCGTCCTCACATGTTTACAAGGACGAGGTCTTCTGGAAGCAGCTAGGCGCGTACTACTGCCGGGCCGGAGGTGGGTGATTGGAAATCTATATGAAGTATGTCCTCTTCTCCTAGCTTGAGTGCGTGTCCTGATCACCATTCTGAGGCAGTCTTCCTGTTTCCTTACGCACCGAAATCGCTGAAAGTTTCTCCTGTAGTGACGGAGTATCTATGTCCAAAGGGTCGCTCAGACCTCCGAGTTACTTGAATGAATCATGGCATCGCTTTTACTTATGCAATGCCACTTTCAGTCGACCTTAATAAACCCAAAAGAACGTTTACCTATCAGATCTATATAGTTGCAGCATCTTCTACATTTCTTGCAGTTTGCCCCCCATTTCCACATACTTGCAAAACCGATCTCCAAGTAGCTGTGCGTGTTCTTGCGCCATAATAGCTGTCGTACCAAACAGGATAACCTCAATCTCCTGAGCGAGCGGCTTGACCAATACCCAGAGTTGCTTGGGCCAGAAGTTCATGGGTATAACGTCCAGTTGGACCGGAGCACCGTTCAATGAAGCGGACGGAGTCTCGTCGATATTCTGGTACTGGAAAACAGAGCCAAAGGCCGCATCTGCAGGCCAATTCGTGCACGACTTGATAATCTGCGACAGTCCGGTGGATTCGAACGGCAACCCATCGAGCTGTTGCTGCTGGATAGTAGCAAGGACTTCGTGCGGTGAATATAATTTGCGACCGTTGCTCGGGGGCCATTGCACTCGGACAGGGACCACATTGACGCATGGCCCTGCGACAGGATCGGTGATGACACCAAGAGTGGCTCCTCGCCCGGAGACAAGCCGCCCGAACACAACGTCGGCTTGCTGCGTCGTGAACGCCATCACTGCGGCCCAACAGGCCGTGCAGAATGTCGCGGCAGTGATTCCTTCTGGTAGCGGCGTCTGCCATCTCACGGTATTTCTTATTGTGTATGGGGTACTTTCGCCGACATCGTTGGCCAAGGGCGCGCGCGGGATCCCAGTCATTGACGACCCAGACAGAAGCTTGCCCCAGTACCGAGTGGCCTCGTCTCTCATGGAGAAAGAATGCTGAACAAATGACGCAAAGGACCCAACAGAAGGTAGCTGCCGCCCTTCGATAGCCGCTACGATGGTGTGCAGCAGCAGGCCGAGACTGATTCCATCATAAAGCGCATGAGACATGCGTATGATCAATCTCGCCCCCCTAGACTCATCGTCGGCCAGTACGAGCATGAAGCGAGAAAAGAGGGTGCCTGGCCTAACATTGGATTTCAACCAGTCTTCCCTCGCAAGCCTCGTGGAGGCCGTAGCTATATCTTCGGCCGTGCTCCGAACCCACACAAAGTCCGGGATCTGGTCTTTCGTGACTACTTGCAAAAAATCACCGTCGTAGGGCACGAACACGCTACGCAAGATGGGAAGATGCATCGCTACAGCCTGACAGGCCGCGCTCAAGGCGCCAATAGTCAGATTCGACATCGGGAGGTCAATGTAGAAGTAGTTCCAGTATGAAGGCGGCTTCTGCTGTAATGCCGCACTGATGCATTCCGCTTGGAAGTCTGTCACGGGGAAAACATCGACAATACTTGAGACAGGGAAGTCGATGTGCGGAGCGATGTTGGCCATGAGAAAGTCGGCGATATCACTTGTCTGCAGCTGACTGAACGGCGGCCGGTGGCCCACTGTTGCTGGTGAAGAGGCTTGACTAGGCTTCGCACACAGGTCCGCGAGAGTTGATGCGGATGTGAAGAGCTTTCTCGCATCCAGAAAGAGACCCCGACCTCTTGCGAGGGATACAAGACGCATAGCGGAAATAGAATCTCCTCCATGCTGGATGAAATTGTCGTCGATGCCAATACAGTCGGCGGGAATTGCCAGAATCTCCGCCCATAAACCCCGCATTTGACGCTCGGATGCTGTCGATGGGGGCCTTTTCGGCTTGTTCTTGACCCCTCTAAGCTTTGCCAGATCCTCAGCGGTAAGGGATGCGCCAAATGCCTTGAGCCTCCTGCGATCAGTTTTCCCGGTGGGCGCGAGAGGAATGCGATTCACGGGCACGTAGAGGGACGGCACCATGGCTGACGGCAGCTCACTCTCCAGTCGAGCATTCAACTCGTCCCTACAGGATGGAGGGAAGCAACTCGGATCGAGGGCGCGAAACCCATCATCAGGGTCATCATCTGAACTGGGTAGAGTTTCTGGGCAGACAAATACCGCCAAGACTGCGCTACGTATGTGTGTTCCACTGAGAACCAGTGCCTCGGCCGCAACACTTGCTTCCATGGCCATCGACGACAGCAGCCGTTGCACATGATATTCAACCTCTTCCAGCTCGATCCGTTGGCCGCGGATCTTGACCTGGGCATCTTTTCGACCGACGAATTGCAGCCCCCCTACCGCGTCATACCGAACCAGATCGCCTGTTTTATAAAGTCGCCCGCGACGGCCCTTTCCTCCGGGGGCGGGCGCGCAACCCAGCCAGCGCGGATCGTAGATAAAGCTTGCTGCGGTCTTGACTTCATCATTCAGATACCCGGCGCCCACCAGGGGCCCTTCGACGAGGAGCTCACCCACAGCACCGATGGGGGCGAGCTGGTGGTGGTCCGTTGGACTGACGATCCACGTATTGGTCCCTAGTGCCCTGCCAATTCCAGGTGTTCCTGGAACTGCAGGATCCATCTCGGCCATGGTTGTTGTTACCGTACATTCAGCCTGGCCGATGCCGTTCAGAATCCGCACGTAAGGTGCCCATCTGACAATGTCGGACCGGGAAGCGGCCTCCCCACCAAGAACAAGCGTCTTGAGGGTAGGAACAGCTGTTGGATCGAGTGTGCGTGCCACAGAGGGTGTAAGGTCAACCAGATTTACTTGCATTCGCCTCATCGATTCGGCCAGCTGACTGTGCTTTCGTTCGGCATCGGACGGGATACACAAGCAACCGCCCGCGGCCAGGCAATGAAGCAGATTCGAGACGGCAATATCAAAGCTGTAGGATGCAAAATCGTATACACGCGTCTGTGTATTGTAGCCCAGGAATGGACCCTGGTGTTTCACGGCGCTGGCGAAGTTGGAATGCGTGATCACAGCGCCCTTGGGCGTCCCGGTACTCCCGGATGTGAAGACCACATAAAGCTCAGAGTTTGGAAGCGCACGTATGCGCGGAGGCCGTGGTGGCGGCCAGCGCGAGGCGTTCTCATGATCGACGACCACGACCTCGTCGGCAAGTCTAGCGGCTAGATCGGCATTGAGCGCGGAGGAAATAACGAGACGTTGGTTAACTTGAGAGACAATGGTGTGCAGGCGCTCTTCAGGGTGACTGGTATCAATCAGAGTGAACGCACTGCCTGTCTTCATCACAGCCAGCGCAGCAACAACGGTCCACTTTGACTTTTCAAAGCACAACGCGATCACGGTCCCCGGTCCCACTTTAGCTTTTTTCTCATTCTGCAGATATGATGCAAGGCTAGTGCTATGCTGGTCAAGGGTGCCATAGGTAAATTGACCGTCCCATGCATCTACTGCCAACGCCTGAGGGCGTTGGGCAACATGATTATGAATCATTTCGTGCAGACAAACTGTAATTTCCTCAGGGACGACAGCATTCCACTGCCAAATATCCAGAAGGTCTCGGTGGCTGATGGGGTGGAAATCAGCCAAGCGTTTCGACAGGTCCAATGTCTTCCGACTGAACTGCAACAGGACGGTTTCTAGCTGATGGACAAGTCGCTCGGCCTGTTTCGGCGAAATGATCTTCTTATCAAAGTCCAGTTGAAGGAAAACGCCGGAGTTACGAAGCTCGCAGTCCAGTATCAACGCGAAGTTGTCGAACTGGCCGTTTGGCTCGTTGTCCATGCGCGTCCATAAACGCGTGGTGGAAGACTCAGTCTGAGCCGGCTGGACGTTCAGCAGGGTTCGAAACTGACTTCCCTGCTTGCAATCTTCGCTAATTCGATGTAGACGGTGCAGTCCAACTTGTTCAAATGGAATCATATCTGTTGCTTGATGCTGAAGCTGGCACACAAAATCCCGGATTGACGCGCCCCAGTCAAGCCGGACGCGCACGGGGACAGTTGCAATGGTTGGACCGATGACATCCTGAATTCTGGCTATCGGCAACTGGCGTCCTGAGACTGTCGCTCCAAAGACTATGTCGTCGGTGTTCACAATATGGCCGATCAGCAGAGCCCAGGCGGCACGAACCCAGATGCTTGGGGTGACATCGACGCCGACTGGCCACCGGAAATCCGGAAGAAAACAACTACAGCCTTCCGTTGCATTTGCGACGTAGGAGGCAGAGGGAAGAGTTGGGAAAGACGGAGGAGGCGACTCAGCGAGCTGGCCGTTCCAAAACGTTCGACTCGCGGCTTCGTCAACAGTAGAGAGATAGTGGATGAAAGGCTGCATGGACAGATATGGCGCAAGGGGTTCTTGATAGTATGCTCGCTCCACCTGCTTGAGGACTCGGGGAACTGACCAACCGTCATACAAGGAATGGTGGATAGTCCACACGAGTTGCATTGACTGTCCTTTCCGGATCAAAGCCCAGTGCGCCAGCCGACTGCCTAATTTAAACGGTTGAGGCGTATCTTGGGTGTCCCAGGGAATTGGCTCATTCACAATGACCTGATGAAGGCCATGGGGTGGCAGGTCAATGACCCGGGTGCGCAGTATCGGCATGGAGTCCGCAACGATGTCCCACGCTTGCCGCATGCGAGGTATGTCAATATGATCATGAAGCTTGAATACTTCCCGGTATGTATACAAATTCGGGTCTCTGGAAGTGAGTGCCAATAAACCTTCTTGCAATGCCGTGCAAGGAAAAATGTCCTCGATCTGAGCCGGACGTACATCACACTGTGCTGCAGCCTCCTCTCTCAAACGACCCACCGTCCACGGCCCTTGCCAGAGCGAAAATGGGCGAACGGTCTCTGTGGAGGCTTCTCCAAAAACTGCCATGGCGGCCAGATCACACAACATTGGATGTGAAAACACATCGCCCGCGCTCAAGCTCATGCCATGTTCTTGGGCCAGCCGGACTAGCCGCATGACACTGATGGAGTCGCCGCCGTCAAGCTGGAGAAAACTGTCTTCCACATCAATCGCACAAGGCTCCAGTCCCAGAGTGGTTGCCCATAATTCGCGAAGCTTCTTCTCCGTAGAGGTCCGAGGAGGTCTCGTCACTCGTTTCGTATCGGCGCGTCGATGCATAGGCTGGCTCAGTTCCTCGGCAGTTAACGTTCCCCCAATTTCTCGCAGCTTGCTCCGGTTGACCTTTCCAGCTGCAACACGGGGCAGCCTGGCAAGCGGGACATATGCTGACGGACACATGTACGAGGGCAGTACCTGTGCTAGTTCTACGCGAATCGCTTGCATGAGTCCCCTAATTGCATCATCTGGAAGACCGCGGTTGGGATCGGGAACCACGAACATAACGAGGAATTGACTGCTCGGGCTCGATCGAGGAACGATCACTTCAGCAGCGAGTTCAATGCCTTTGGGAAGATGATACTTCACATGATGCTCGACTTCTTCAAGTTCGATCCTCTGGCCACGGAGCTTGACTTGCGTATCTCTGCGCCCGAGCAGCCGGACCGCCCCATCTGGATAGTATTGCGCAAGATCTCCTGTCCGATAGAATCGCCGGTTGTGTTGGGTGGGTAATCTGCTGCGAATCGACGCTGGCAGCGCCGATAGCCATGCAGGGTCACCATCGATGAAAGCTGCTGCACTACTGCCTGGATCCTCCAAATAGCCTAACCCCACCTGTGGGCCTTCCAGCCATAACTCTCCAATACTGCCAATGCTTGCAAGGCACGTATCATTCGTGGTGTCATCGACAATCCATAAGGTTGCACCCATCCCACGCCCAATATGCACTCTGTTTTCTCCGTTCAGGCGGCCAAGGCAGACAGATACCGTGCACTCGGCCGGCCCGTATGAATTGAAGACGTCCACCCGTTGTACCCAATCCTCCAGATCAGCCAGGTGGGCCGGCTCGCCTCCCAGGATAATCGTTTTCAGTGTAGGAAATTGGCTGCAATCCAACAGTCGAGCAATGCTCGGAATGGTGCCGACCACGGTGACACGGAACTGGTTGAGAGAGACCGCTATATCATCGAGGGTCGCTGGCACGCAGAGACATGCGCCGGAGCACAGGGTGAACAGGATGTTGCCCCAGCATACATCAAAGGCGTACGACACGCTATCCAGCACACGGTCTCCAGGTCCGTAAGGCAGGATGGACTGCCTTTGCTTCAAAGCGCTGCATATATTCCCATGCGTGATAACAACACCTTTGGGGACTCCAGTGCTGCCGGAGGTAAAGACGATGTATACAGGGGAAGACGAGTCAATCCGCGGCGGAGGCAGTATCCCAGAGAGGGCTGTTGACTTCGCGACAGACTCATCCACCGCCACAACTGGAGATGATGGAAGAAGGCGTCGTGCAGAGTCCTTATTGCGCGCTGATGTAACTATGAGCGACGCATTGATGCGGTCCACGATGAGCCGGAGACGCTCCTCGGGCTGGCTAGGCTCCAATAACACCGCCGTACCACCCGCCATGAGGACTCCGAGGATAGCGACGACCGTCCAAGCGGACTTCTCAAAGTAGAGTGGCACACGCTGCAGGCTCTGCAAGCCTAATGATACGAGACGGTGCGCGACATAGGTGGCCTGTCGATCCAGCTCTTCGTAGGAGAATTCTGCGTCCCACGCATGCACAGCGGGTGCGGTCGGGAACTGTTGGACAATTTCCCGGAAAAGGTCGGGTACAGTCGCGTAAATGGGCTCGGGGGTCTTCTTGTTCCATAGAATAATTGTTTCTAAATCAGACTTGTTTAATAGTTGCAGATCGCCTACCCGAGTTGACGGTGAAGCGGACGACAATTCCGACAGCGTGTGGTCCATTTGACAAAGGATCCTACGAGCTTGCTGTTCTTCAACCACAGCCGGATCAAAATCAAGATGAAAACGTATGTCGCTAATGTCATTGTGTTTCTTATCGGCGGTGCTTCTTATGGAGCAGCGAAGCATGAGTGCGGTGCTGCTAAAAGCCCCAAAGCTCTCATCCCCATGGAATTTGTCAAAGAGCCCTGCACAATTCTGCCTTTGCTCCTTGGGGGGCTGAACAAGCAGCATTGTCTGAAACCTGCACGCCTCGTGGGGGTCAGGTCCGAGACGACGGATCTTCTGCAATCCGAGCTGCTCGAAGGGAATCATGTCAAGACCATCTTGGTGCACCGTCTGCAGAAGATTCTGGACTGTGTCGGCCTCTGCCCAACGCACCCTTACGGGCGTTGTCGCAATTGTTGGTCCGATCATGTCGGTAATACCTGGCACGTGCGCCTGTCGACCGAGGACCGTGGCTCCAAAAACGACGTCGGTAGACCGGGTGTAGCGTGCGAGGACGAGCGACCACGCAGCCCGAAGGAGCGTAGTTAGAGTGTAATTCGTATAATTCGCATGGTTCGCTCGACCTGCGGCCGGAGACTGACTGGCTCGATACTCCATTGTGCTTGTTGCACGCGGCTGATACTGCGAAGATGGAAGCATAGGGAATTGGGGAGCCACGGCACCGTCGAGCCTTTGCTTCCAGAAGTTCGTGGCGGCCAGTTCCCTCTTTGGATCCGTGGCGTATTTGATAAACTCCTGGAAAGGAGCAGTCGGCACGAGTGGCCTTTTTGTGTACACGCGCTCGACTTGATCCAGGATCGCTCGGAAAGACCAGCCATCATACAATGAATGGTGGATGGTCCAGATGAAAGTGAATGAGGAAGAACTGTCGCGTTGTCCAGGGAGAATTCCCCAACGGACGAGCGAAGTACCAAGGCCCATGAGGAGACGCTGGTCGTGGTGCAAGTAGTCGTCAAGTGTTTCGTATGCCTCGTTCCATTCCACAAGCTCGTCGATGATAATCTGAAAGAAATCGTCTTTCCCCAGATCCACGATTCGAGTGCGTAGAACGGGGGTTGATGCTACTACGGCTTCCCAGGATGACTTGAACAGACCCAGGTCTCCCTGGATATGGTAGATATTCTGCGAGACATAATCCCCTGGATTCTTGGAAGTCAAGGCTAGTAATGCGGTTTGCAGCGCGGTGCAGGGAAACATATCCTCGACCTGATCGGGCCGCACCCTACACTGGGATGCAGCATCATGACGGGCAATCACTAGATCGATGGTGTCGCGAATCAGAGAGAACGGTGCGGTAGTTGGCTGCTCGGCTACAGGGTTTTCAGGGGTCACCCGCCGGATATGTCGTGCGAGATCTGCTAGGCGCGGCCATTTGAGGACGTCTCTGACCGAGAGACTGTATCCCATACTTCCAGCGGCAGCCGCCAAATGCATGGCATCAATCGAGTTTCCACCCAGACGGATGAAGTGGGCGTTGGATGTGAGCTGGTCCGTTGAAAGACCGAGCACCCTCATCCATAACTCACCAAGAACAGCCTCTGCTTCACTTGACGGTTCCCACGTCCCGCCAGGAGTGACACTGCTTGCTGTGTTGACGGATCGATGAATCCATGCGGCACCAAGTGTTTGAAGTGTCCGGCGGTCTACTTTGCCCGTGGATGTTCGGGGGAACTGTCGGACGATGAGAAAGATCGTGGGTACCATCCAGGTGGGCAGCGTGTCACTGAGTTGCGCCTGGACGGTGTGGGTCCAATCCACAGATGCGATGTGATTGTTGTGGGGGATATCGTTTCCCGCGGTGGTTTGAACAAACGCCGCCAGCGTGGGGACTTCAGGATGATCTTGGATGGTAACGAGGTCCACTGTGACGGCCGTATCTGCCCCGAGGATTTCCTGGAGCCTCCCCTGAATCTCCCCCAGCTCGACCCTCTGGCCGCGAACCTTTACTTGCATATCCTTCCGGCCAAGCAAAATGAGGGATCCATCGCCGGCGTACCGTACCAGGTCTCCCGTCTTATACATCTGAGTCCCTGTCACTGCAGGGCGACATTGCTGCCACCATCGCGGGGGACTGATGAAGGATTGCACGGTACCAGCCTTATCTTGGGCGTACCGGGACGCCACGCAAGGGCCTTGGAGAAGCAGTTCTCCTACTGCGCCAATTGGCTGCAGGATATCATGATCCTGATGGTGGACGATCCATGTTGACGTCGAGGCGCCCACACCAATCCTCCCGGCTCGCCAAGAATCCCCGATGCGGCAGCATGTTGCCAGGGAGCATTCGGCCGGACCGTACCAGTTGTATACGGCCATGCTCTTAGACCAGTCCCGCGCCACGTGCATGGGTAACGGCTCACCGCAGAATACTACCGCCTCTAGACATGGCATATGCTGGGGGTTCAGCACCTGCGCCACGGACGGGGTTAAGATAATGGTGGAAGCGTTGAAGGATACGATCGTCTGTTCCAGCGCATCCTGTCGGGACTGCTCAGACGGCACGCAGATACAGCCACCGCGGACGAGGGTAGCCATTGTCTCGTGGATACTGACGTCGAAAGCATACGAGGAGAACTGGAAGACACGACTACGAGGGGAGAGATGGAATCGGGCTCCAATCTCTAGTGCTGTAACGGCGACAGTCTCATGACTCCAGCAGATTGCCTTGGGCTCACCAGTACTTCCGGAAGTGAAGACAATGCAGGCATCATGTGCCGGCCCACGCAGCCGGGGAAGCAGGGTGCCCCTGGAGGCAGAAGATGGGTTGAGCATTTTCGAGATTGTCATAGTGGGAGTCCATTGAGATAAGCGGCCTGATTGAGCTTCATCTGTTAGAGCAAGGCATGCGTCGGATCGTTTGATGATGGACTGCACTCGTTGGCTCGGGTGCGACGGATCCACCAAGACACAGACTCCTCCGGCTTTGAGGACAGCAAGAAAGGCTACAACGGCAAGATGGGACTTCTCCAGACATATAATGATCGTGGGCTGAGATTCCTGCATCTTATCATTCAAATGCAGCAACAACTGTTCGCCTAATTGGTTTACGTGAAGATCGAGCTGTCGGTATGTCAAAGACCCATCCCAGGCATCGACGGCGAGGCGATCCGGGTAAGCTGCAACTTGCTTTGAGATCAGTTGGAGGACACTTTCTGCCGCTGGCACCGGTGTTGGTGCGTTCCAGTGCGAGATTTGTGCCATATCCGCCTCACTGCACGGCAGAACCGTCGCTAGTGCTGCGTCTATAAGGGAACCCGTGCAGAGCCCCTGTAGGATCACCTCAAGCTGAGCGAGCAGTCTCTCCCCCTCACACCGGTCCAACAACGTCTCGTCAATCTCCATCTGGAACTCGGCTGATCCCGAGTCACGTAACCAGCACTGCAATGTCACCGCGTAGGTGCGCAATGTGCCTAAGACATTGACCTGACTGCGGTCGAATAAGCGCCTGTCGCTGTCGCCTATGTCCTCCTCTGGTGGCTGGATCACCAACAAGGTCTGGAAACTGCAGGCCTCTTTTGCGTCGAAGCTCACTTTTGCGATTTCAGACAACCCCAGTTGCTCGTAAGGCACGGTGCGAACGGCATCCAACTGCAGCTGCTGGAGGTATTCTGATATTGGCTGGGTGAAATCCAGATGGGCACGAAACGGGACGGTTGCAATGGTTGGCCCCGCGATATGCTCAATGCCGGGGACGGCCGCGTGCCGACCGATGACTGTGGCCCCAAAGACGACGTCTGAGGAGGCTGCGTGCTGAGAAAGGAGCACGGCCCAAGCGCCTTGGATCACTGTAGTTGGGGTGACTCCCGTATCCAGGAAGTGTATCTCAACAGCGCGGCGTACAGTGGCAATCCGCTCACTGGGCTGATAGACCGAGGGCAACGACGGAGGGAAATGGAGTCGGATTGCACCTTCAAGGCGAGATTTCCAAAAGGACTCGCATGCCTTCTGGTCTAGGGCATTTTGCAGATAGTGAACGAAGTTCTGGAACGGAAGGGGAGGTGAGATCGCGTCTCCAAGGAGCTGGTTTTCAATCTCGTCTAACATTAAGGAGAAAGACCATCCGTCGAACAATGCATGATGGATCGTCCACACGAAGTATTGTTTCTGTGTGGGCTCGACAACCAAGCTGCATCTTACCAGGCGGTCCCCAAGACGGCACGAAGTAAGCTGCTGCATATCGGTGTCAGAGCAGCGGTCAAGTATGGAGTCAGTACGCCATTCTTCGGGTTCATCGATGACGGCCATGTGAATCCGGTGGTTGGCTTGTGGCAGCGCAAATGCCCTACAACGAAGGATGGGAATGCGGTCTGCAGCGGACCTGTACGCTTCTCTGAACTCTTCAAGATCAAACGTGGGAGGAAGCTCGATGGCTGCCTGATAAATGTAATCGCCCGGATTTTTGGAAGACAACGCGAGCAAGCCCTCCTGCAACAGTGTGCAAGGGAACACATCGCGGACTTGCGCGGGTGTCGTTCTACAACAGGAAGCGGCCACTGTCCGTATGTCTTCCAAGTGAATGTCCGAGGGTAGCAAAGAGAAGGGCGGGACTGATTCGCACGTTCCTTGGCCGCTGACTGTACCCGCCGCTGACCGTCGTAAAATAGTGGTCAGGTCAGCTAGCCGAGGGTTCTCGAAGACGTCTATCACGGACAAGGAGAAGCCCTGGTTGCGGGCAAGCGTGACAAGCTTCATCGCGTGAATCGACGTGCCCCCGCATTGGAAAAAGTTGGTGTTCATGCTCACGGAATTGTAGTCCCTCATACCCAGAGCGTCCGCATAAAGACGCTGGAGCAACCTCTCATTCAACGTGATCGGGTCTCGAAGAGTCTCACAATCATTATCAAGGTCCTGTAAGAGCTCTGCGGGTGTCAAAGAAGTACCCATCTGAAGGAGTCTGGGTCGATCGACCTTCCCGGTGGGAGTAGTCGGAAGTCCACCCTGGACCGGGACGAACACAGAAGGAATCATGTACATAGGAAGCAGTTTCGTTAGCTTGCTGCGGATGCTGCTCAGTGACCAGCTGGATGCGCCTAGTGCAGAATCAGGGACGCCGATGAAGGCGGCCAGCACCTCCTGGCCCTGTCGCAAATCGGGTCGAATTATCTCGGCCGCACAAGCCGTTCCATCAGGGAAGCTCTGCCGCAGGGCATACTCAATATCCCCAAGCTCGACGCGCTGGCCGTTCACTTTGATCTGCCGGTCTTTTCTTCCCAGGTACTGAATGGTCCCATCAGAATTGTACCGGACCAGGTCGCCCGTTCGGTAGAGCCGTCCTGCCTCGTCGTCCAGCACAAAGTCCATAAGCCACGAAGGTCGCTCCAGAAACGATGCCTTCGTCCGATCCTCGTCGTACAGGTATCCCCGTGACAAGAGAGGTCCACCGATCAGCAGTTCACCAACCGCCCCAATTGGGACTAACTTGATGGCATCCAACGGATCAACGACCCATGTGGTCGTGGGCCCCATGGCACATCCAATGTTTGTGGGTGAATCATCCACCGTGAGGTCTGCGTGGTAGGTATCCCAGATGACTGACTCCGTCGTGCCGTAGATTGTTGCTATGCGAGGACACCATGCTTGCAGTTGCTCTCGGGTGAGTGATTCTCCGCCCACCGTCACTTGACGCAGGGAGGGCACATCTTTTGGGGAGAGTTGCGCTAGTATTGTCGGGGTGACGCAGATATGGGTGGCTTTCATGGAATTGATCGTCTGCGGGAGTGCGTCAAGGCGTTGTTCTTCCGATGGAACACACAAACAACCACCAGCCCAGAATGTGGCGAAGATGTCACCGACGCTGACGTCAAAACTGTACGACGAGAACTGAAATGTTCTGGTGCTGGAGTCCATTCGCATGGCCCGACATATCTGTTCGGCGGTCATGGCTACCGCACCGTGTTGTTGAGCCACGCCTTTGGGGATCCCAGTACTGCCTGATGTGAAAAAGACGAAGGCTGTCGCATCGGGGGCGATATATGGAACTTGTTCAGTGCCTGACTGGTCTAACAGCAATGGCGAGGCGGGGACACAGATCGTCCTCACTGACGTGGGCGTGGTCCACGTCGCCATGGCGTCGCTGGTCAGTACAAACCTGGCGTTCGTGGACGTGATGATACTATGCACTCGTTCTTCTGGTTGACGAATATCGATGGGTATGCATACCGCTCCGGACATCAGAATGGCTATCATTCCTGCGACGGTCCATTTGGATTTCTCTCGCAGAAGCAGAACCATATCACCAGATTCGACTCCCGCCTCGCGCAGGTGGTGAGACAGAGAGTAACAAGCATCTACGAGCTCGCGATAACTCCAAGAACCGTCTGAAGCCTCGATCGCGCCTGCATCTGCACGAGTCTGGGCTGCCCTCCAAAGGATGTCGGGCAACGACATGGATGGCTCACGCGGTCCAGCACGTGAACACATCCACCGCCGAAGATCGTCTCTATTCTCAGGACTGATTAAATCAAGATCACGGATATCAATGTGGTAGGCGGCACGCAGGCAGCGCATGCTCTGTTTCAGTGTACTGACATAATTGCGCGCTTCATTGTCGATGATCCGGGGAAACCTGTACCAGAATGTTGCCGCTGACTTCTGTTCCAGTGGGTCAAGCTGTATCTCAATAATGACATTGCCGCCAGAAGACGCTGCCGGGAGCGGATACTTGCTGTCCCGTTTGCTCGTGATCCATACTGTCGTATCACAGCTGGCCGCGTCGCTGCCCTCTTGTAAGGAGAATGGCTCTCGTGCACCGTCACTTCTGGCTGCAATCAACAAAGCAAGAGACGGAAAGTCTGCCAATGACTCCAATTTGTCTTGGTCAAGGTTCATTGAAATACATGAAGCCACCGCGTGGCCCTGAACGAGGCGGTTGAAGGCAATCTGGCCATTGCCCGTATATTTCCGCAGCACAACCGCCCAAAGCACCTCAATTACATCCCCGATGCTAAAATTCTGCAACGGCAGCTGTTGGATAGCGGAATTCAAAATATCCAGAGGCAGGTTCAGCGGTTTCCATACCATGGAGGCGACATCGCTGCCGAGGCTCTGCCGAGCTGAGGGTAAATTGCAAGAGGACCCATGCTGTTCGCTCATTGTTCAGGCGTAAATGGTTGCTGGTTTGTGTTGTGGTCTCTCTACATGAGTAGAATGCTTCTTTTCACGTCAAATACCAAGAATTATTCGGTCAGCGTTGCCCACACATTTTCTAGTTCGACCCATATGTACCGTACCTTAGCTTGGATGCGTTCCAATCTTACAGAAGATATGTATTTTTAAATGTACATAAACGGGTCAGAAACAATACGTCCTGTCCTGTCATCGCCATACCCTGTCCGCTTTCGGTTGAGCTGCACTGTGGATTACAAATGTGACGTGTATATTCTGGTATGGGCCGGCAGATCCTTCTCGTGAGACAGGTGGGGGGGCATTGTGAACAATCAAGGATCTACTAATCTAGTATCCTCCTGCTGGATGGCCGGAACCTAGGGCCAGTGTACACACTATTGGTATGCGATTGACTGTAGAGTCAATGGGGAAAAAACCCCCGTATCGGGCGAGTAGTAAGGTCTATATGAAGTGTTGCGAGTCGCGAGTTCAGCCTTGGATCTGACCTTGGCATCCCATTGAAGATCCAATCGTCCCAGACTTTTACAGGGCCTTAAGAGAATAGCAAGTACAGCCCGCTATTCCTCCCTCCGGGTACGAAGGTACAAGGATCTGTAGATCATCTGGGAGCAGCAACCTCCCACTGAAACCCACAGAGCCTATAGGTTTTCTTTTCCCTCCTATTACTAGTCTGTCGCTTTATCCCTCGCAATGAGCGCCCCTTCGAGCACCCCGTCCATCCATGCGGACGATGAATGGTCTCCTCTGAAGGCCGTGATTGTCGGTCGCGCTGGTCGTGCATGCTTTCCAGCCGCACCGCCGGCGATGATTGCATCGACAATGCCTGCAGCTCATGTTCACCGGTTCAGATCACGGTCACCCTTCCCTGAGGACCTCATTGAGAAGGCCGAGGCGGAACTGGACTGCTTCGCAGCCATCCTGAGGGCCGAGGGCATTCGCGTCTACAGACCGCCAAGTGGTATTGACTGGTTGGCGGAAGAGGGCTACACGGGGGCCATGCCACGGGATGGACTTATCAGCGTGGGCAATACGCTTGTGGAGGCTTGTTTTGCCTGGGAGTGTCGGTCGCGGGAGATCGAGCTGGCCTATGGAGCTATACTTGAGGAGCTGGCTCTGCAGGACCCACGCGCTCGCATCATCCGCCGACCAGGAGACACCTTTGCGAATAATTTACTGAACGAAGACGGACCAGACAAGGCCAATGGCTGGATCATCAACAACAGCCGCCCGGCATTCGACGCGGCGGATTTCATGCGCTTCGGCACCGTCATCCTGGGCCAGTATAGCCATGTCACCAACCAAGCGGGGGTGGACTACCTCCAGCGGCATCTTCCGGCGGGATACCGTGTCGAGATGTTGACCGTGAACGATCCTAATGCCATGCACATTGATGCAACCATTCTGCCCCTCCGCCAGGGCCTTCTTGTGTACAACCCGAACAAAGTCACCGAAGCAGCGCTGCGAGCACATGAGGTTCTGGCAGACTGGGAGCTAGTCCCGTATCCATTTAACCCGCAAGAACCGGAGCATCCTCCACTCTACATGACCAGCCCGTGGCTTTGTCTAAATGCCCTGGTATTGGATGGAAAGAGGATGATTGTGGAGGCTGGTGACGACCGGACGGCAGAGTGGTTTGAGACGCTGGGAATGACGTGCATTCGCTGCCCCTTCAGACATGTGAACAGTATTGGGGGCTCTTTTCATTGTGCGACAGTGGACCTGGTAAGAGAGTGAGCAAGTCCACTTGCGACAGCACTCTGGTCTTTGTTAGTACGGCGGGATGCTGCAGGAATACGAATATTGGAGGGGGGCGGTTGGGGGGAGAATAAAGGCCAGCCTGCCACATCGCTCCAGATTAGCCATAGAATGAAGCAGCAAGCCTACCAACTTTAGTGAACACATGAGATCATTGGTTATACGAGTATTCCGCCGCTTCAGGACAGGGGCTGGGGTCGAGACGTCTTAAACTGCGACGTGGCAGGAAGTTTACGGAGTGGAGTTGTGGAATGCAATGCTGGGGTACAAGCTGAAAGCTAGCAACCTTAGCATTCAGAAGGCTGGGGGCCACTTTAAGAGGTCAGCTAAGCAAAAACTAAAAATTACTACACTATTACACTTACCTCCATGTGCTAACAGGTGGTGGTATGGAACTAAGTATTATAGAAAGCCTATATCTTAGGTATTCTTCATAAATATAAATTACACAGGCCTTGTTTACTTGTTTAGTTCTTAGATACTCTCTGGCCAAGGACAATGATAAGAAAAAGAGATACTTCTGCTTCCACAGCCCTACCTTGCACAGATTACCAGTCCATTAAATTTGACTATGGATTATTCTCTAATTGAGGATTTACTGATTGCGTTAAGCAAAGAGTGGTTTCATATATCTCTTATTACTCTTGGAATCTTTAGCTGGGTTCTATTTCATATCTCTAATAAGAGTAACAAGGCTCAGACAGCATCATTCACCAAACACCTTTGGACTAGGTACGGCGTATGCTGGCCTGCGAGCCACATATCTCACCAGACGTTGTATACATAGCTAACGGGAATGAACAACATAAAAGTCGCGAGATATGCAGTACTTTCCCTTCTGCTTCATGGCAACGACAGGCCTTTGATGCGTTTCGTGCGCGAATCCTTCTCCAAGAACCGCAATCATTTCCATGTATCTACGCGACCAAAGGCTTCAAGGCAAATGAACATCGCTTCTGCTTCGTCGATCACGCGGGTTCCGACGCAGGGACACCCATTGCGGACGCAACACTAGATCGCCTTGCCGCTGCGTTTGACGACTATGCCCAGAACTGGCGCCAGTTCGGCCCTATGACATCGCTGGTGGTCTTAACTCCTCTGCCCCCTGCTGCGAGCTCACGCGTGTCGACAGCGTCGCTGGCGGACGACCGGCAGCGTTTTTGGGATCTCCTGCGCGGCATCAGCGACCGTGACCCGCACAGCTGGCCAGCAACTGTTCCTCAGGATGTGGAGAAGCCCGCCTGGACGCTCATGTTCCGAGGAGAGCGGTTCGTCGCGCTGGCGCTAACACCGCGGTATCAGAACCGTCAGTCGCGATTCTGCGCTGGGTTTGTGCTGGCATTTCAGCCCATCAAAATCCTCCAGGATCTTCTCTCGACGCCAGAGAAGATGGCAAGCGCAGTTGGGACGGTGCGTGCGCTGACGGACAGCCAGGACGCTGTGCCCTACAGCGATGATGTGATTGCTGTTGGGGAGGGCAGACAGTCCGTTAGTACAATGTTCTTCTTGAGTGATGACGGAGAATCGTGGGGAAGTCTGTACAGCAAGATCAGAAGCAAATAGAGACAATGTTTGGCGGTGGTGCTCGGGCCTCAAACCATAGCTTGCCATGATCATGACTATGAGTTTCCGTGCAAGTGTTTCTCCCATCCTGGGTGTTTCAACATGGGTATTGTTGTAACCACATTTACGAGAGTGGTAATTTTTCAGCATTACCCGACTTGACTAATACGTAGAGTATCTGCAGATAAATTACAGAGCACGATTGTAAGGGTATGGGGCTGTGGATCGTGATTAATTAAGCAACTAGTGATTTTAGAGTTCTTTGGTTATATTGATCGCAGCCAACCCAGGCCGGCTCCAATTGACTGGTATGCCGCATGCGCCAGCAGCAGTGTGTAACTGGCTTTAGTTTAATGCAGATCAATTCATTCATTATGGAATGACTCTGCCAGCTTAATCTGGTGGGATCTTGCTTCAAGTGGGACCTGGTTGCCCACGGCTATCTCCTGCACCGACCAAACCACCAGGGCCAACCAGAGCAGCCACACCACTCTGACCCCAATCAGGAAGGTACCACCTAAGAGTCACCGAATTTTGGTTTGGCTAATCAAATCACTCGAAACTACCATAGCTACGAAGCCCTGGTTGCAGTGATTTTATATAGATTCTCTACTGTCCTTGACTGGATTATTGCATTTGCCATATCTAAATACTCGGATATATAGATAGTTTTGAAGAATTAGACCTCACATTCCTCTAAAGCATTCGGTGTATATGCATTTGCACATTACAAAATATGATTAGCGCGGAATGGCTGACAGCAGTGCATCGAGGCCCTAACAAGCACTATGAATGTACTGTACGGAGTAGTACGAACATGGATCCACTATTCTACTCCTGAGGTACTTTTCCATATGCAGTCCTTCGTATCCGGGGAACGGCAGGGAAGGCATGCTGTCCATAATTCCTCACCGAGTTTTCAATACGCCTAGGCGGCATCCGTCAAAGCTGAAGACCTGCAGGATACATCACAAATTATCTACCCATAGCTTTCTAATTGGCGAGTGCTGTGGGATTGTCTATCCAAGCTGGCAGAAATCGTGGCAGTAGCGCGCCATGTTAGAAGCAGATCGGTACCTTGACCGAGGTATGAACAAGGTCTCACCCAGATAATAGCGCAATTCACTTCGATCAGACCATTAACCAGCGTTTCGAAAATTGGGTAGTATCATCTGCGTGTACCATAGCAAACCTGGATTGGTTGAAGCTAGAGGCACAGTTCCTAGGACACGATCCATTTGCTGTGTAACCACTCCGTAATCTGCAAGGTTTCTAACTACAAGAAGTGATGGGATGGGACAGTGCAGTGGGAGATGCGACCTATGAAGAAATCCGCTGGGGGCGCAGGATCTGGTTAGTGGTGATATCCGTTTACCTTACTCCAGTGCAGGCCCATGTCTAGATCTTCTTGCAAACGCGGCTGAACACGGATGGCAGCTGTCGTACCCTATCTCAAATGGAAATACATCGTTCATAAATCCATACGACACTGCGGGGCCATACTTGAGATAGCCTGACACAGTCCCCATACAGAACAATGAGGCCTTCTTCGCCGCACGCACTCCCAATTGGGGTGTCTCAACCCCCCCAGCAAGCTCATGTTCGCTGTCTACCATCTTCCACGTCAAGTTGATAGAGATAATACTGACTATGATGACTCGATTCAGGCTGTAAGCTGTTCCCTTCCAACATGGCATTCCATCGTCAGTTGGTCCCGGCGAGAGCCATGGGTGGTCTCGCAGATGAAGGCTGGTTATCCGCGGTACGTGCCTCTATACAGCAGGGAAACTACAGAGCGCAAGCCTGACTAGGAAGCATAAAGTCTGTTTGTCAACATTATAATACAGCAACTGAGCGAGACCGTCCTCGAGCGGTTAAGGATGCATGATGGTAGCACAGCGTGTATGATCTTACCCTCAATGCTCGGGGCGCAGCGGTTGATCGCGAGCTTGACGGAAAAGAATACGAGCCATTTTGTGTCCCCGTACATACGCTTCTGTGTTCCTGCTGGTGACATTTGCGGTGACGACGCAAATAAAGCGTCTCGCTGGGCAACGTTCTACGCGGTGCTGTACCATGCCGACCTGGCTCCCGACGCGATGGGTTTCTGGCGCGAGACGGGCGACGGGATCCCAAGTCGGCATGCGGAGTTCGCCCTTGGATGGTTCCCATACCTGGAGTCGCAGTGCGTCGACCGCTTGTTCTGCACAAAAGCCAAACTCCCCTTGCACAAGGCGTGGGGCGAAGAGTTGCCGTCACTACCGTCCCCCGTCACTACGGCAGCAGAGGTGGCTAAGATAAAGACCCTGCTAGCAGCGTCTGCGGCATCGGATGCTCCGAATCAAGCACCCATCAGTTCAAAAGATATATTTCTCTACCAGAAAGGGCTATGCGGGATCTATGCGGTCGCGAGGTCGCTTGTCCCCGTGAGCTCATCGGAGAAGACGTCACAGGTGGTGATCTATGGGTGAGTGGTAAACGCGGTCCTTTTGAATCTTTGTACCGCTGACAGGGCCAACTGTCAGATGGCCATATGCCGAGACAGTCAAATGCGTTGAGCGCAGTGGATGGGGCCGAGTGATACTCTATGGTAAAGGGACTGAGGCAGATCTGGACGATTTGGAAAGGAGACTGGCCGAGGGGGAACGCATTCAAGCGCTGTTCTGCGAGCTGCCCAGCAACCCTCAGCTCGCGTCACCAGACCTTCATCGTATCCGACGCCTTGCGGATGAATACAAGTTTGTGGTGGCATGCGACGAGACCCTTGGCACATTTGTTAATGTCGACGTGCTGCCGTACGTCGACATCGCCATGACTAGCCTCACAAAGATCTTCAGTGGCGCCTCAAATGTCATGGGGGGAAGCGTCATCATCAATCCACAGTCTCGGTTCTACGACGCGATCCATGCCCGTCTCACCGCAACGTGGGAAGACACCCTTTTCCCCGGCGATGTAAGTGTGCTTGCCGCGAACTGCACTGATTTCGTGGAGCGCGTTCGCTATTGTAGCCGCAGTGCGTTGGCTGTCGCAGTGCTTCTTTCACAGCATCCGTCGGTAGCAAAAGTCCACTATCCTCCGCTGGTGCCCACTCGGCATCTTTACGAGAGATACCGTCGCCGTAATGGTGGGTATGGCTACGTGCTGAGTATTATCTTCCACGATCCGCAGAGTGCCGTGGCGTTCTATGACGCTCTCGACGTCTGCAAGGGCACGAGCATCGGGGCCAATTTCACGCTCGCGGTGCCATACGCGCAGCTGGCCCACTTCAGGGAGCTGGACTTGGCCGAGGCAAATGGGGTCCCACGGCACATAGTGCGCATCAGTGTCGGTGTGGATGACACTGAGAAACTGCTCGATCGTGTCAGGAAAGCTCTAGTTGCGGTGGAAATTGTTTGCGAGAGAGCCGGAAACAGCGCCTCTCTTTAGGATCTATGTGGTTCAATCTCTATCCCGGGCATAGATAGATTCAATTGCGCACTCCCCATTTAGCTGATCAATCCGGCCTCAAATGATGCTGTTGCCCAAGGTTGTCGTCCATCCCCCCAATGTGGACAATCCGGAATATTTCTTCCGCCAGTAACTCGTCATATCCACATCATGCGGAGCTTTATGTGGATGAGCTGATGCTAGCTGGCTCATAACTAGGTCTCCGATTAGCAGACGAGAATCGAACCCCTGCGTTGGCCGGCGCCACATTTCGCAGAATCCGGCGGCAGCTGGCGTCCAGCCAGTCGGGGATGATTGATTGTAGAGATTAGCAGCGGCGACCGGAGGAACTCCATCAGCAAATCTCGCCCAGTGCTAGTATTAATGGGTCGAGTGATATCCAATCACCGACGGTGCACTGGTTGTTCTTCACACAAAGGAAAATCATACGGCTGGAAGCGGGGCTGCTCGTCGTCCTTGTTTCCGAGGACGGCAGGAAGATCCTGCAGGACGACAGCATTGCCCTTCAGCCGGGAACAGGCGGTCTGGATTTCTTGCGTAGTATGGCCCTTGCCGCCACCTACATCGACAAGGCGTACGGCAGTCTCAGGCCCTTCGGCCAAGCTGGCAAAGGCGAAGGTTGAAACAACCGAGGTGGCCATCCCCGTCATTCCCAAATCGAACGAGGGCAGCCGCTCCGGATGCCCCTGCAGCGTGTGAAAGATGTCCACTTTCTCCACGCCCAACGCATAGACAAATGTGGAGAATTGGAGGGATCATCGGGCCTCTGGAATCCCCGCACGCGCAGAAATGCGACCAGGGCCAGCAGTCCCACTGGTGCTTCGCATAGGCCTGGCTGGTGGAGCGAAATAGCGCCACATCTGCGATAGCGCCCTGAACGAATGGATCTTTTGCCATCTAATCGAGGAAGATCCCTTTCCGGATACCCAGATCTGGCCCGCCCCGAAGGTCAATGCACGCTAAAATCATTAGTTTGCGCTACCTCCATGAACCAAGATCTACGGTTGCTCTGTTACACCAGTTATACTCCATTACAAATTCAGGTAATGCTGAAAGTTACATCCTGGTAAATGGGGTTGCAAAAATACCTTGTCTGTCATGACAAACGCGTGCCTTTAACAGTACACAGAATGGAGAAAGGAGGGCGCGGAATTATCACCATTACAGCACCTCTTCTTATCGCTATTTCCTCAGCGCCCTTCTATGCCTTCTGACTGCTAAGGTCACTAGCTCTCAGCTCGTACCCACACAAGTACTCATAGTCCGGCATTGCCGCATCCACAAGTGACCGCAGAGTGGCGGCGGTCTGCATTCCGTACACTTCCTGCCACGTCGCAGTTAAGGCATCTAGATCCAGGATCTGCCCCTGAGCGGCAGAATGCTTATCCAACCGCACACCGCAGGATGACTGGATTGTTGAGAAAAAGTGCTGCTGGTACGCACTCTGACTCTCGATGACCGCCGGCGGCAACGGATCCCACTGGAAGCGAACCCCCGCCGGATCAAGCTGCAGCTGCTGGCAGAGGTGCTGCACTACCACCGGATGAGCCATGATCTCATCTGCATTGAGCACGATGGGTTGCACACCGCCGCCAGCGGACGCGGTGTACCAGTCATACAGCACTCGCAGCCAGCGCATGCTGGCTTCGACGGGAAATTCCTGGTCGTCGACGCGAGCTCCCATCGTCGGCCCACTGACCCGTAGAATTGACTCGAAAACTAAAGCAGGATGACGGATGAGGAATACGGCCGTCACGCTGCGCAGGAACTGTGTTGGTAACATCGTAGGATTAGCGTCTTCTTCGCCGATCTCCATAGCTCTTTCGTTCCGTCCCTTAGGTGGCTGTGCTGTGATCTGAGGTGTATTCCTGTATGAATGAGGATGTGCCAGACTCCGTGAAATTGTTTCTGGTTTCATGAACGTGAATGCATGTTCCTTGATGAAGGGTGTTTTACCCTGTCCTCCATATCCTTCTATCAGATGGTAGCCAATGTGGAAAAGCAGGACAAGGAGGTCTACCTTAGCTTGTACGCTCTGGATCGACTGCTCCAGTTGACCAAAGGCCTCCTGAAAGGTTTGGGCAAGAGCAGGGTCGGCCTGTACTCGCTGCTTTACGGCCTGCAGACAATCATTGCGGCGCAGCGTCAATGCTTCCTGTCCAAAATAGTAGGTGTCGACAAAGGGGTATTCGATTGTTTCGATTTCTGGGTGTTTCCGGAGCATCTGCATGACGAGGTTGGATGCGGTTCGCGGATGCGTAAAGAGGAATATCGGTTGACTTGGCTTTGACCGCAACATACTTGTAAATATCTGTGAAGATTCCAAGATCCCGCTGTAGTTTCTATGTAGGGAGGAAAAGCGGCAAACTTCAAGACAGGCTAATGGGGATGGACACTATACGCGAGCGGTGAAAGGCTCATCTACTTATGGGAGGTTTGGCAGGTTATTTATAACCGCAAGGCATCCAGATATCCACCATATGCGCCGTCACTGGTCCATGTACATTGTAGACAGCTCGCTTATCAATGCCAGTCATCAAGTTGAGCCAACTACTGGTTGTTTTGGAGAACAGAAGCAAAGGAGAATCCCACCGATAAAGAGAAATGCGTCCAACCCGTTGGCCCTGCTCCCGTCTACGTTTCTGTGTCATCCTGTAGCGGTTGGTTGGCTTTGAGCCCCAGCTTTCCTTCCACCAAGCCCGACCGGAAGGTATTCAAACCCATCGGATGGCCCAGCGGAAACACGGTTCGCCAGCCGACCAACTTCTGCACGAGAGGCGTCAAGCTCTCAACCAGCGAACGCGGCAGCCCCAGCGCGCTTTCGTATTGGCTGAGTTGGCAAGTGGCCACGCTCAAGAGCAGCATTCCGCGAGTCTCGGGTGCCTCGAAGGTGTGCATTCCTCCGCTGTGGACGACTCCCTGGCGCATCACCAACATGTCCCCAGCCTGCATTTCGGCCACTGCAGGTTGCGCATCCGCGGGTACGTCGACCGCGGGCCAGTGGTGGCTCCCGAGAAACACGCGTGTGGCCCCGTTGGCCTCAGTAAAGCCCGTGGTGGGAATGATGATGGTGAGAGTCAGGAGAGGCGCTCCGGGCCGCTGGTTCTTCACCAGCGGCCACCCGTTGGCGTCACGGTGCCATTCCTGGGCTGGGTGTCCCGGCTGCGTGAGCCGCAGCACCGCGCTAACCAACCAGTAGTCACCTGTTTGCTGAAAAGCAGCTTCACACATCTGGTGCATTACTGGATTGTTCAAGATGTCGTGCCGATACGTATGACTGGACGAGACCAGGCCATTCACAAATTTTGTATGAGGGGAGTGTTTCCAGCCATTGAGGGCGGCATTCTCCCAGGTTTCGACCCGCGGCTCTATCTCCTGTTTGAAGCGCTCAATCAGAGCTAGGGGCACGACCCCTGAGATGATTGCCACGCCATCCTGGTCGACCGTTTGCCAGGCCTGGTGGGGATCGGCGCCAGCCTCAAATCTCTGTATCTGAGGGTGTGAGGAAAGAGTCATGACTGAATTGGAAGAGGAATTGACAGCAACGCCAATCTATAGAATTCGTAGAGAACGAGAGTAACCTGGGCGATGCTTCTTGCTGCTCTTGGAGCACTTTATTGTCGCTTTTGCAAAGTATTTTGGGCACTCTGTCCTTCCTTTCAAGTGGGTCGCTTTTGGACGCAAAGGAACTCGCTAAGGAACGAAGCAGATAGCCAGGAATAGATTAAATGTAGCATCAAGGGGTATGACCCCTATATTACTCTCGAAAATCAGGACATTGGCGTACATCTGGGAGCCCATGCTTGTCCTACGCCAGCCACCTAGGTACCTTGTCTTACCAAAGTTTCCTATCCGTGACGGCCAGAATACATGTACCAAATTGATAAGAAACAGCGCTGACAGTAAAACCAGAAAGTTTCATTATAGAATTCCACCCCGCCAGCGAGTGATAAGGTTTGCCCCTTATGCAGGTAGATTTCAGCTGTCACATCCCATCATTGTGACCCTCGCTGCGCAATGTATGGCTGGATTTTTTGATGCTCCAAAGTCGTGTAAATTTTTTTGCGTGCGGCCTCATCCCTTAAGGAAAGCTATCCGCGTGCGATACAGTGCGGCGTCGACAGCCATATTCTTGAGTCCTTCAAAATATCTACAGGGAAACGATGTTACAGTCAAGGGTCTCAATTTACCTTCTGAGTATTGGCTTCCACATACCCGACGTTGTCGGAGACCTTGGCCCCTACTTCAGATCTATTTCGTATGAGCATGCCGGCCATGGAAAGTGGCCTCAGCAGTTCTATTACTCTTCTGACGCCATAGGACCCATTCTGAACATTCAGCGACATTCCGACGAATGCGACAGCGGCCAGTACACGTTTCTCAGTTTGTTAGGGTCTGAAGTCAGCTCCGCCGGCCCGATGATTCTCGATGAACGCGGGAATCTCGTATGGACCAGTCCTTATGGCCGAAATTGGGGTCTGGATGTACAGATGCTGGATGGCGAGCCCTATCTGACTTTCTGCGCCTGGCCTGGACCTGGCACACACGTGACGTGCTATATGGTAGGGTCTCCTCGCTCGTGTTTCCGCTGTCAGTATGTATGGACTTAATCGAAAATCACTTAGTTGGATTCCGAGTACGAGGAAGCATTCGTGATCAGGCCGCAAAATGGCTGGGGGGCCGATGGCACGGAATTCCAGATCACCCCGCAGAGAACCGCAGTACTTACAACGTCAATGTTCGCCCCTTATGATCTGAGTCCAGTGAACGGACCACGGGACGGATGGATTCGGGATGTTGGATTTCAGGAGATTGATTTGGAGACAGGCGCACTGCTTTTTGAGTGGCGCTGGTCCGATCACTGGAATATTACCGATGTACTGGTCGAGTTTCCCCGTGGAACCGAAGGCAGTCGTGAGGCACCATGGGACCCATTCCACATCAACAGTGTTCATAAAGACACTGCCGGCAACTATCTTGTTTCATCACGCCATACCAGCACCGTTGGCTATATCGATGGCAGCAGCGGAGAATTCATCTGGACGCTTGGAGGAAAACGGAACATGTTTAGAGACCTCTCGAATGGAGCAGCTACCAGCATTAGCATGCAGCATCATGCAAGATTTCTGAAAGAGCATTCCACCCTCACCCTATTCAACAACGGGGTATCTGCAGGAGGAGCGTACTACCGTTCAAAGGGAATGGTCATCGACCTTGACGTCCAGGCAATGACGGCAAAGGTGCTACAGGAATACCACAGTCCTCACAGAATCGGCAGCGAATCCCGCGGCTCCATGCAGGTACTTGACAATAACAATGTACTACTGGGATATGGAGTCAATGCTGGCTGGTCTGAATTCTCCATGAATGGAGATCTGCTTTGCGATGCACATTTCGGGCCAGAATCGAGATTTGGCGCCGAAGACGTTTTGAGCTACCGAGTCTTGAAGCGCAATTGGAAGGGCCGTCCTAAAACGGCTCCGGATGGCGTTCAGAGAGGAACAGGTATTTTTGTCAGCTGGAATGGGGCCACGGAAGTTGTCACTTGGGCGCTGCTAGCAGCTAACGCCGACATTCGCAACTATACTCCTCTTGTATCTGTTCCTAAGGAAGGATTCGAGACCCGAATTCCAGTACCAGTCAATCTCACAACATCATCTGTTCGTGCTGCTGCACTGGATGGTCAAGGAAATGTTCTAGGAATTACCCGTGATCTAGACCTGTTTCGAAAAGGGGAGCACGCCATTCAGCCGCCTTTAGTCGTCCAGGACTGAATACAAACAAGACGCAACAAGAGGTCATAACATCCAAAATATTCTTCCATCTGCCTTTCCTCATGCCCCCTATTGCAGTATAATTACCCAGGCTAGCTCTCCTTGAGGTCGGCCTTGATCCGGCAGACTGTTGAAGTACTCCATCGCAGATGAGCAGTCTCCGAAATAGATTACGCTCAACTGGTTCTAGGCTCTACGCGCACGATCATTGGTATCTGCGTGGTACTGCTCGATTAATCGTAGGGCCTGTTACCATCCGCGCCATTTTCGATCCATATCTTGATCCCACCGATGACTCAGGAGTCAAGCAACTTGCCTGCAGGCTTCATCTTCTCGCTCGCATTTTCGTGTTCATTGTAATCATCCGCCTTGTCGGCCGTCATTGTTGGCATGAGCATTTATCTGCGCGTCTTCTGTTTCATAATCATCAACGGTTGTTGGACTTAACGCCTCCTTGATCTGAGTAGGACGACGGTTTTTGAATTGGAGAGGCTCATAGTGATCTATGGGAAACCCTCTTCACCAATCAGGTATACCAATGTATCATTCCCTCTGGCTGCGCTTTCGAATTTCCATTTCCGAGCGATGAAGTTGCTCTTACTCGGAGTGAAACATGTCTGGAGCTGAGGGGAGAGTGTCTGGGAGCTGGTGTTTGTGGTCAGAGGCCTGAGTCTAGGGGCTTGGTCACAGGCCAATGGTACACCAATTCAAAGTCTAATATGGAAATGAGAGGATTAGTGTACCAGTTATAAGTCAGAACTCATCTAGAAGTGCGTTGGTGTTCTAAGCTATGAGGGAGGTACAGCCTTTTTGATATTTAGAGTGACTGCCTTTAAATGTGTAGGGCAGTAGCAGCCTATTAGCTACCACTGCCCCAGTGGATCATTATTATTATGAGAAATTTCACTGGTTGGCTTGTAGCTTCGTTAGTTAGAAGGACCCTCATCGTAGGTAGTATGGACTTGTTTGACGAATATCTGCTAGGCAAAGCCCAGTTCAGCAGTTTCGGTCTGCCTGTCTCGTGTTTACCACCTACTCCAAGTCTTTATTTCCACTTTGACCCAGGAAAGCAGTAACATTTGACCACGACCGGGACGCGCGAGCCGCATGCATTTCGGGGGTCTTAGGATTAGGACCAGCTAGGGTCCGCGAGAATATTTCGTAAGACAACCAGCCAGTCCAACCCATCTTGACGACCGTTTGGAGAATCTCTAAAACTGGGAGATAACCGCCACGGTCCTCTTCACAGAGGAACAATCGAGCGTTGCGAGACCAACTCATCCGAGACGGTTGTCCCGGGATATGGAACGGGTGACCGGGTTCGAGAGCTTCAGCCAACCGCTCTCCATCTGCCATTTGCACGATGAGAATCTTCTCGACGTCCACCGTGTTTGCTAAGCGATCCAGGGATTGGCGCAAATTGGCATCGGCATCAGGACCGTTTCGGCCGCCCACGGCACCCGGATCCGCGTACACTGCGCCAGCAATATTGAAAGTGTCAATAGCCAGACCAAAGTTCGGCATTTTGACTCGTTGCACAATATCCCAGGATGCCTCCCAGGTACTGATGTAAGTGCCCCAAGCGAGGGCCTCATAAGCAAATTTGATGGGCGGGGATCGAGCGGCTCCGAGGGTCGCCAACAAGCGCAGGTCATCAGCTATGACATTGAAATCCCCGGATAATGGGCTCTTGCCAGTACTTAGATCTGGTTGGAGAAAATTTGAGGCAATCAAGATAGTATCACTTCCGAGGATGTCGAGGATATCCATCCAGGTAGGGATGACCCCGTAGGCGATACGGTCGCGCTCGCGCCTATCGATCAATCCCTCATAGAACCGAAGTGGCTGCAAGTTGAGAATGCGGATTTGGAGCACATCGCAAAGAGCACGGATCTGGCGAGCAGCATTCAGAAGGTCGTCACGAGTTGGCCGAGTTGATCTTGAAAGGGAGCTCGCCAGCGCTTCTAGGTCGTCATAGAACAGCTCAATCGCTTTGAACCCATTGTTGGCACATGCAGATAGCTTCTGATGGATAGTGTAACGCCCGCTCTGCCCGAGGGACACAGTAGCAATAGCTGGCTGGCAGGACATGATGTGACTGTTATCCTTGGTCGATTCTTTCTAGGGTTGGAACGGAGCCGCAGTAGGATATAACCCAAGCGACTAGAACTGTTGGTACAACTTCGTTTATGTCAAAGTAATCAGAAGCATGTAGTATTACTGTCAGATATGCGGGAACGACGCGGTAAACAGCTAGCTAATAAGGAAGCTTAGAAAATAAGGTTTATTATGCGACCAGCCTTTTAGCGGCCCTTACAGAGTTTTATCAATTTCGGTACGGTATCTGGCCACAGTGTCCAATGATGGAACTGTAGTATGTGATGGAGCACTCTGTATTCATTACCTGAACAAATCAAAGTATGGATCTCAGACCGACTGTCTTGGCCAAGAACTAAGTCCAGAAAGACAGGCCCACTTTCTTTAACACAACTGTGCACAATTCAAGCTCTAACCATTAATAAAATTTATAGCTATTTATTTTCTACTTATGTTTAGTATATGTATAGCATTATCTAACTATAAAAAAAATAAAAGGAAAGCATATATTCTATATATAGAGAGTTATAGGGGGGATACTTATTTAAAAAAAAAAATATTTATTGGAGAGATTAAGAGAGTATTTAGTAAATAGTGTACAGATATATATTTTACTTCTTTATTACTATAGTAAGCACACCACTTTATAGAACTATACTAAATAAATTCTAAATAAAGAAGTTAATATTTATATATTTATTAATATTAAAACAAAGAAAAATTCAGCAGTTATCTCCTAATATTAAGTATATATTAAGGATCTCAACCGAGCCCAACTGGCGTCATTAACAGACTTTCCGTCTCTTGCTTTGTTGATTGCAGCCAGAAGGGACGCTGCATGAGCGCCGATTTTCCTTACGAGAGGGAGTCGAATCTGGGGATATGGTTTTTCTTCTGCGAGAGAAAACCAAATAGCCGTCGAGGGAATGATAGCCTGCCTGATGTCTGGGGCGGTATTCGTACCCACTGATATTGGTCAACCAGAGGGACGAGTGCGTAGTATCATCACGTCCACGAACGCCAGGTTTATACTGACCAGCGACGCCGTGGCACTGAGGCATGCAAGGTGGACCACGTCCACACCAGTGCGGAAGATCTGTGTCCCTGTCTCACCATTGCTGTTAGTCCAATCAGGCACTGAACGCGTTCCGAATATCGCTCCAGATGTGACAGCCTTCATCTTTTCTACTTCCGGCCGTACTTTGGATACCCAGACGTGGTACAGGCACGTGGGGCCGTGGCCATATGACCGCGAAACAGATATGTCGGGCCACAAGAATGGACTCCAGCACCAGAACTGGACTCTGAGGTTCATGGCCAAAGGTAAGCTGTTCCGGATAGCTGCCTAATCGTTTTCTTGTTTGAGCGACAGCCTGGCAAGCACCAACCAGATTTCTTCTGCGACGCGCCTCTCATAGTATGTAACTTACAAACGCCAATGAGATGCTTTCAATGATTCAGGGAACCAAAGTAGGAGACTATAACTACCCCGCATGTCCATCCATTTTTCGTTTTACTATCAAGAGGTTCCCGCACACGTAACAAAGGTGCATATAATGACTAGTTGAGCAAGTTTCCATGGCTCTACCAACTTCCTTCCAGCTATCTGTTGAGCTCACCAAGCTTCTTCCTGTCCGCGAGGCTCTCTCTGTTGTCACTCGCCCCATAATTCAGCAAATCAGGGAGCTCAAAAGGACGGGATCCGACTTCATTCTCGAAGAAGACCTTGCAACTGTTTTTGGGAGAGCAAAAATAGATACAAAAATGGAGAGACACTTTAAAAGCGCTGTGAATACACCAGGATTCGAAGAGATATACCCATCCAGTGTGATAGGGCTGTCTTCTGGCCCTGGACCTACAGTGCTTCGAGCGCTGAAGGAGTCGCATTATCTATCAACAATTATTCAACTGTCACTTCTTGGATTTATGCATGAGCGGATGACCCTGTCCTCGAATTTAGTTGCCTGCCTAAATGAACGATATCGCCTAGGTGTGCCCGACTCAAATTCAGATGCAAATTACGAAGGGGTTTATGAGTTTCTTCGTGTATGTGCATCGCAGACGAGCAACTTTCCATGGGACCTCTATATCGGTCTGGTGGAGGCCCAAATTCCCGAAACTTGTACATCCATGGCGAACAAGACCAGGGTTGACGAGCTGCAATGGAGAGTAATCAGTCCAAATTTGCTTCTTGCTGCGATGGATTATTTATGCTTAGTTCAAGCCTTCCCAGAGGATCGAATTATGGCTGTTCCCAACCAAGCTGGATTGGTCCCACTGGTAGTATGGGGGCATTATATCTTGGGTCTTACTGTATTGTTGACCGGCAGCCCAGATGGCGACATCCTTTTCGGGCACTCTTCAAGCCCCCAAGTCACCATCAAGTGGTGTGATCATATCGATCCGACGGATCCGGTATATCTCCTTGATAGTAAGATGGAAATTATTCTATCGACCGAATTGTCGCATAACATCCATGCTCGTATCATTGCCGAGGAACGATGTCGGCTCAAGGGCTACGGCACAAAACTGGTCGATCGCTTCAGAGCCAAGGATGATGCTATGGCTCCTTCGAGTGTGCAATTAGCGCACATTACTTTGGCATTCTGCAGGGTCGTGTCTCCCGTCCTATATCGTGTTGACTTAAGGGGAAAAGGCGTCTCAACGCCGTTAATCCAGACCCGCGATAGTGTTGAATCATGGCGATTGACAGACGCGGCAGAGATCTTCTTTGAGGGCGTCCAATGGAACAAAGCCACGGTCGACGCATATGCTGATGTACTGAAGACTCAACCGGTCGAGAGTCTGCTTGAAGACCTCATATATTCCGAGTCTGATTCTACAGCCAACTCTGCACGGCTCGATACGAAGCATCTCTCGCCTTTAACTGCTGATACATCGCACATCCATGGTCCTGTCCAATTCATCAAGATGGTCGCAACGATTTTATTGACATGCAGCAAGATTGTCAATATTCAAGACTGTTCTGATATGCCGCTGGCATTTTGTTCTTATGGTTTATATTCTATCGTAAGAGACGGGATTTATGAACGGCTCTCGAAGTGGGATGGCAAGCAGTACTTACTTATCACTGAAGCTGACTGGTTTAACATAGCCGCAAGACTCTTAATCCCCCATGAGTTCACAGATCAGCCTAGGTCAAATAGGAGACGAATGAGTCTTGTCAGCGGCTGGGGATGGAGCATATTTCTCAGCAATTTCAACGATAACGATCCTGCGGAAATTGATTGTCAACTTCTGTATGCTAAGCGCGGGGTTCCAACCAACAGTGTCACAAACGAGCAAAAATTTCGGATTCTGGATGAACTATGGATGGGTGGCCATACACCACCAGACCCTGTTGTTTTAGAAAGTCGTGGCTCATATATACCAAGGTGTGCAACATCGGTATCAAGACCAAAGGAATATTACAGTAGTAGGGAGAGGGAATTTTGGCAGACCACACGTTTTGAGGTTTGTTTCGAAGATACGAACATTGGAATTCCCCAGTCAGCCACAAAAAGAGAGACTATCTTCTTGCATGCATCATTGAGGGAGCTCCACCGTGCTTTGTGGGCGTGTGTATTGACAGAATCCTGTCCTCACCAGAGCCAGCATCCCTCTATGACAACACTGCACGATGGGATGGTCACAGCCAGAGGGTTTAGGTGGATTCAATCCCCTGAGAGTGATATTTGCATTTGCTTGGTCAAAGGAAATAGATGGGCTCGCTGGCTGGTCCTTGCTGGTATCATGGGTGATTGTAATGAAGTGCCTGAGAGAAATGTTCTGCTGCGCACAGAGGACTGTTGCGAGACCTGTGCTTCGGATTCAGCGAGAAAATATGGCGGCCGGTGGCTTGTGATAATATGAGGATCTAGAGCTACTACTTTCATGATATGCGTTCTTTGCTAATCGTTGGATAACCCTGGCAGTCAGGACAGGTGTGCCAAGTCCCTTGCAGTTGAGAGTCATCATGCCGGGATCAAAGAGGATTTCTTAGGAATGGACAGGTGTCCCAGCACTGAGGGAGGAAACCCTGCACACTCATTTATAATGCAAACAGGCGCCCACTGGCTGGGGGAGACGACTTCTGGTCCTCTATACGTAAAGACAAGTCAAACTTGGGTTCAGCTAACCTATCCCTGATGTATATGTGTCCGAATATCATATGCATCTCCAGGTTCAATCAACCGTGCTTGATCATAGTCTGCCTCTTTTCCTATGGCTTTCATCTCCAGGTATCCCGGTGCGTAAATTTCAATGTCCTCTGTCTACCCGTCCCGGGCGCTTTTAAACCCGAAGAGAAACTGGCCACGGGCGTTGGCTCCTTCCAGGATGTCGATCACAGATTGGATCATATCCAGACTACTGTTAGGTTAGCCATCTCATGTATATCATATTGTTTCTATTTCTTTCTTACAGCACATACTCGGAGTTCTTCTCACCCCCTCCACCAACCTCGTCGCATTTCACATTCGAAAGGGCCCTGCCACCGGTACAGTACTCCAAATACACAGGCCATATATTGCAAGCCCGTCCACACGGACGGATTCCCGGACTTGGCCGTTATGCTTGAACTCGACGATGCTGATGTGTTCAGTATCCAGATTACCCGCCGTAACCAGAGACCAAGGACATAGCCATCTTATGAAGAGGACCGTGCCTCGTCGGGTCACAGTCATGGCATCAAAATTGGCCATTCAAGGATGGCCCTTGGCAGCACGTCGGTGATCTGCACTGTGGACGGGTCGGGAAACGTCGCAGGGTTCGGATCAATGCCGCCGTGATCAGACCCGTAGCGGTGGCAGTGCCCCAATTCACCGTCCAGCCGGCAGGACAGAATGTATAGCTTGATCCATTTTGACTGGTTAAATCGATAGGACGGGCCCAGCTGTGCTAGGCACATTAAAGTGGGAGAGTCGTAGTAAAGGTGTGAGTTATCCCGGATCTCTTAAGGGCAGTCCAGTGCGTTCCTTAATGGGGCTCGCTGATGATATCACTGTAGCCCTTTTGTTGTTTTACTTTATTTGCAAGTCAATTAGCAAGGAGGAAAAAGCATGCGTCACGGAAAATCTTGGCTCGCTTTCGCCCATGTATCCTCTAGCGCTCGTCGTTGGCGAACCTCGTAGTCTCCATCCTCGTCATGGATGTTGCTAATCGCTAGGGGGACCCATTGTTCCTGAAATGATCAATATGAAAGGTAATTTATCATCGCTTTTCTATTTATAATCCGCAAAGCTTGGACCAGGATTCCTTACCTTCACAGCAGAGTAACCAACCTTGGGCCTCCTCGTCGACCTGTTCGCGGGTGTTGTCGTTGCCGTCAACTTGGATCTCGGGCGGAATGCCACCTGGCCAGTGGAAGAGATGGGAGGGCGGTGCAGCCATAATGCTGTGTTGGGAGACGAAGGATGTTTTTGTTCCTCACAGAAGGGGCAAACAAATAAGATTCATGCCCTGAACTTGTCAAGGGCTGGCAGAGCACTAATAAGCATTAGTAGGCATTCCACTGCCAAAGCTTAATGTGGCAAACAAGCATGAAAAGTGGCCAGGAGTGGGTGCGAGTAACTCTCTGGACAGCCGCTTCGTCTAGACTGTCTAGTACATTCCTTGTTTTTTTACCGCCAAACATTCCAAAATATCTGAGGATGGTAGTATTTGGTATCTTTTGAGCCCTAAACCCTTACTGGTATAAACAGTCACCTAAAGTAATGGGGCCGTACATATCACTGAGGAAAGGCAAATAACTAGTAGACAAATAGTGCTCTATAACTCAGTAATACACTATTTTCAGAAAGACTGGAATCTGCCTGATTATGATGTAGGAATGCCTTTTAGCAATAACCACTAATGAAGCACCCATTAAATGTTAGAATTTTTCTCGAAGCTTCTCACTCTCGGATGAAAAGACATATCTCTCAACATGTATTTCCATCCCGTCTAGAATGATTTAAAGCTCGCCATCTTCTGATAACATCTTCCCGCTCTTCAAGTGAGGAGCTCTGATATTCACTCACCCCTTGAGCAATTCGCGCACATTTGATGTGGCCTTGTTTTCCCTTAGCTAGGCTCCGTTTGAGGTGCTTATGCAGACCAGCCAATGGATATGCTGCTATCCCGAAAAGTCCTATGCAAGTCTTAGCATGCCATATATCTGCTTCCAGCGCTAGTGACGTCCACGTAGGTAGGACCAGAGGAACTATGCACGAACCTGCCACTGGTTTCGATAGAAACCCTCCAACTCCATTGCCAACTCCGTGAATGAAGCCTTTTGCTCCCGAGTCTTTCAGGCCCCGGCGAGGAAGGGTAACCAATCCGCTGACACCGTCATAGACACCAAATGTAAGCTCCTGCATGATGATCAGCGTTGTTGAGAGCTGAAACGGTTACAAAAGGGGTTAAACGGAAGAATTGCTGATAAGTCATACCTTTCCTGCTGCTTTTAGTCCACTTCGCATTCCAGTCACCCTCGGAATATCCCTCACGGTATTATCATGAAAAACCAGTGGCACATTATGGAAACCTCTAGACAATGTAAGAGAGATCTCCATCGGGGGGATGACAATAAAATCCAACACTTCCTGAGCCAGACGCTCTGTACGAGCTGCTGCTCTGGGAACCCATTGTGTAAATTTCGACGGATACCGCTTCTCCTCTCGCATTCTAACGCGCCTGTCAGACCGCTTTTTCCCTGAATCATAGGCAGCTGTAACTCGAGATGGGGTGTGAGCTAGTGTGGCACTGGGATCCCCAGAAGATGCTGAGATCTCCCATGCGATTGCCTCGGCTTCGATATTGGGGCTTCTTCTGCCAGAATGTTTGCGACAGCGTTGGCCCGAAATCACGGCAAGGATCTCCAAAGAGATATCGCCGACATCCGTCATGAATTTGGCTATACTGCCTAGTACCACCTGCGCTAGTGCACTGAGTGGGGTTCCAGGGTCTCTAGCAGTGTCATATTCTTCAGAGCGGTATCTATACAATTTAGTAAATTCAACGGTGAAGAGGTAGGGGCAGCTGTTTTCACCTACAGCTCAACATGCCGTACTTTCATGAGCCCAGCCTCTGCTAATACAGTCATTGCAAAGGCGCTCAAGGGAACCTCACTGTCCTTCAGCCACCACACCGCTGCTCGAGATGGGCACAAAGCGCACCTTATTTGCGCATCCTGTAAGTGGTCGTGAAAACTAGAGACTGCTGCATTTGTTCCTGACTCTTGCTGTATAACCTCACTAATCTCGTGGGCTTTTTGGCGTGAAGATGGTTCTAGAGCCACGAGGATGGCGTCTGCAAGCCTGTCCGCCGTCAGCTCTCTGTAGGGGATTGGAGATGGACCAACTCCACGCCGAGCAACTATGGATCCCCAGAATGGCTGGTCGCCAAAAAATGGTACAATAACAGTCGGACATCCCAGTTTCAAGCCAGCAGCCGTAGTCCCAGCGCCCCCGTGGTGAACAACGCAGGACACATGCTTGAATAACCAGTCGTGAGGACAGCTGTCGAGTAAGAATATATTCTCGGGGACATCCACTTCACTCGCTCCCAGTCCTCCCCAGCCCTTGGAAATAATGGCGCGCTGACCCGTCTTTTGGATAGCTTCAAAAACAATAAGGCTCAATTTTTGCGGATCTTCCACAACAATGGACCCAAATCCTACGTATACTGGCGGTGAGCCCGCGCGTAGAAATGCAAGCAGATCCTCTGGGGGTGTATAGTTGCTTGCTGAGGACAGAAAGGTAAACCCGCAGACATCAATATCGCTGGACCAATCCCTTGGTTTTGGGAGTAGAGCAGGAGACCTGAATATTCTTCTTAGTTTCGGCTTCATTTATGGGTTGCAAATGCCTTACCACAGATAGGCATGCGGAACATGTAGACGGTGAACAAGAGTCAGAGCTTGTGGAGTATCCAAGATATCTAGGCCTAGTGTTTTCCTGCGAAATCGGTTGATTATATCTCCTAGGCCCTGCCAAATGAGCAGATCTACAACAGCATAGGATATAAAATTCGCAACGGTTGGCTTGGTGCTATATCGTCGGATACTGGCAAGCGGGTGGGGGAACGCTTGTGTTGGCGACCACGGCATCCTGTCCAGAATACAGTAGATTTAGCATCCCATCGGGTGTTACCAAATGGTGCTTTCATGAAAACTGACGTAAACATTATAGTAAGTGGTATACCCAGCTTCTCTGCACAATGGATATGAGCAAGACTTGGTGGATTGGCCACAATGGCATCAGCCACAAAGGGTGCCGTGAGATAATCAGCTCCATCAGTCGCAGAATCGCTCGGGGCCTCATGCCCCTGAGTTCCATCTCCAGTCTCAACGCATGAACGCCAGCAGCCGCTGATAATGTCACCCATGTCGCGTCGATGTTGTTGGATGGCTCCGCTTCGGATGGTCTTGAATCCAGGCAACAGCCCTGCATTTTTCACCATAAACATCATCAATTCTTGAGGATTACCTCCAATGTTGAAGAACTCCAGTCCGCTCTCCTCGACCATGTCCCTAAAGGCCAGGTGGGTTGCTAGTCGCACGCGATGGCCGCATGCTGTCAAAGACTTCCCAATCACAAGAAATGGTTGAATATCCCCTCGAGACCCTATGACATGAATGACGATATTGAGATGGAGGGGAGCTACACCCTCTTCCTTGGGGGCCGGAGCTGGAGACTGTACTCTCCCTCTAGGTTCGCCGCCAGTTGACGGGTAGTCAGTAGTCTGGACGCGGGCAAACAATCTAGCAAGGTTCTGTTCGGTCAAGTTCAGATCTAGGCGGCCATATCCTGAATATTCAGATCTCTCAGCATCATAGTCAGACCGTCCACATCAGAGATGTGAAGCTGGGGAGCTCAGATGCTCTCACCCGACAGTGTAGCAACTGAATCTAGGCTCTTTTTCCACAACTTTACCCGTGCAGGAACTGCTAAATTGTCCGCAAGAGCATCAGCTGTGGGTTGTGTGGCGGCCATAGCTGTTGGCGAGGGATGTTACGTGCTATAATGCAGAGAGGAATGCCATTACGGCTTCAGCGTAGACTATTGTAACATTCGCCCCAGCCTACAATTTATGACCTAAAGCCTCAAAGTACCAAATAATGAATAGGCTTAGTAGCAGTCCTTCCGCCCGTCGAAGTAGCAGGAGAGGAACAGACGGGGGGGCGTGGAACTTATTTATTACAGAGCTACCGAAATAATATCAGTAGCCTAGGATTGTTCAAACATGTGGTTCCACGGATCTGGAAAATGTGGATCGATGACGCCGTACCATGAGGGAGCCCCGCACTGCGTCCTATGTCCGTACCATGTTTCATCAGAAGGCCAGACACAGCGAATATATACAAAGTATGAGTGGTGTGATGTACATCAGGTAGAGGGACACGCTTTAGGCTGGGTTCTGCCGAAACTTAGCTGCACTTCCCACTACGCAACAAATGACATCAACCATATGTGGTTCAATCACACCACTATCGTCCAAGATCTAACTGTGTGGTCTGCATGGTATTTGCCCCATGGTCATACTTAGAAATAAAAATGAGTGGAGAGGGTATATTATATATCTTCTCAACAACGGCTCATGCACTGCTCAATAGTTCAGAGCTACAGTGTAATCGAGAATCTTCTAATTGTTTCTTTTAGCTCGTGCATATAGCAATAATGAAATTTGAGAGACGGACTTCTATACATGATCTGGACAGGCTAAGCCTCCAGGCGCATAAAAACAGCTGGCAGGGGCCACCATTCAATGTATGTTATTCAATCTTAAACCCGGAGTTAGTCCACTTACTAATGGTGCAGGCCATTTATGCTGGTATTGCGGCTCATTTTCATGTGTTTTCGTCTGGAGCATCCTTTGCTATTGCCGTTCGCGATAGCTCATATTTACTCGACTTTGCACAGTACGATTGCCGCTCGGGCAGCCGGAGCCAGGGTTGGTCGGAATTTACAAATTTCATCCTGACCAAGTCGAGAGAGTACCAGGAAGAGCACGGCGAGAAGTTCATCGGCGTGGCGATGCAGGCGGAATTGGCTGAGAGATGTCCCGAGCTCTGTTCCCTGCTTTGGCTTGAGCTCGATATCATCCCCATCGTACTTCGCAAAGCAGAGGAACATGTGAGCTGGGGCTTGTACGAACAAGACATCTCGTATAAGTCCTTGGATGAACAGGCTGAGTCAATCGCAAGAAAATGCATTAGGTAAGGTTTTGCTTTCACCCCGTCTCCGTGATCGAGGACCTCACTGTTGGCCAGGTTTTTCGGTCCCAGCCAGGCCCCTGTGCCCGAGATAGGGCTTCGAGGTCTCGTCGAGGTTGATGCCGCATTCCATGTGAAACTCACAAGGCTTGCCGATTATGAGAAAACCGTCGGACCCCCAACGTGGACGGCCGTTAATAAGTATGCTAGCGATCTGAAACAACGCAGAGTGAAAATAGCATTCTTCAGTGCGACTCCGCAAGGCGGTGGTGTTGCGCTCATGCGCCATGCGATGGTCAGGTTTGCGAAAGCAATTGGAGTTGATCTTAGGTGGTAAGACTTTCACCTTCAATCTCAACAGCAAACCTCCCAATCTTTTTCGCTCATTAATTGTGGCAGGTATGTCCCGAAGCCAAGGCATGGGATCTTCCGCATGACCAAGAACAATCACAATATCCTGCAAGGTGTAGCCGCTCCTGGGACACGATTCACCAAGGAGGACAGAGATCTCCTTTCGGCTTGGGTGCTTGAAAACGCAAAACGATATTGGCTTAGAGCACAGGGAACTCAGGTTCCTGCATTGCTCGAGAAGTTTGGCCCACAAGTCTATCCTTGGCTTACAAGATATGGCCCGCCTCCTCCCCCCTGGTTCCAGAAGAATGGCCCTTTGGTTCCGCCATGGGAGGGCGGCGCAGATGTGATCATCATTGATGACCCGCAGCTGCCGTTCTTGATTCCCCTGATCAAGCAACAGACTCCGGATCGGCCAGTCATCTTTCGTAGTCACATACAGATCAGAAGTGACCTGACTGACACTCCTGGGACTCCCCAGGCTGAGGCTTGGGGGTTGTTGTGGGAGGCGATTAAGCAGGCAGATCTATTCATTAGTCACCCCGTGCGAGCATTTGTTCCAAAGGATGTCCCTCAACAAAAGCTTGGATATCTTCCAGCATCAACAGATTGGCTGGATGGGTTGAACAAACCAATGACAGACTGGACTGCCAGTTACTATGGGCGGATCTTCAACGCCAAGTGTAGAGAGCAATTTATGACAAATATTGCATTCCCAGATGGTCAGTAACCCTCGTGCCTTGTTCTCGACTCTTCCCCGGGCTAGGGACCACTAACATGTTGCTTTACCTAGACGAATATATCGTTCAGGTTGCTAGGTTTGACCCTTCGAAAGGGATCCAAGATGTCCTAATCTCATACGGGGCGTTCCACCAGCGTCTTGTGAATTCCCGTCCAGACTTAAGGCCCCCCAAATTGCTCATCTGTGGACACGGATCAGTGGATGACCCAGACGGCTCAGTAGTCTGGGATAACACCTTGGATTTCATCGAGCAACATTTGAAGCATTTGCAGCCACTCATCTGTGTCATGCGTATTGGCCCTAGTGACCAGATGCTTCATACCCTCCTGTCTAGAGCAAAGATTGCCCTCCAGCTCTCCACTCGTGAGGGGTTCGAAGTCAAGGTCTCAGAGGCACTCCACATAGGCAAACCAGTAATTGCGACACGAGCTGGTGGGATTCCATTGCAGATCCAACACGGAAAAAATGGCTTCCTGGTCGACGTTGGTGATACCAATGCGGTAGCGGAACATCTGTTTGAGCTGTGGACAGATCAAGTGTTATATGACCGTATGAGCAGCTACGCGGCGAAGAGCGTGAGTGATGAAGTAAGTACAGTGGGTAATATCTTGTCATGGCTATACTTAGCCTCGAAGCTATCGAAGGGTGAGAAAATCCAACCCAACGGAAGGTGGATAAACGACATGGCTCGTGAAGGAGCAAATGAGCCATACCAGGCGAACGAGAACAGGCTCAAGCGAGGATTACCAACGTAGTGGCATTCTGTATCAAAAATTGTCGAGTCGAAATGGAATCATTTCAATGCCAGGTACACTGTCCCAGCAATTGGGAACGTGGTTATTTGTGTATGAAGGGATTGATTACCCGCATGATACCATTGGGACGCACATGCACCCTTAACCGTTAGCCAAGTACGAAGTATTTTCCTCAGTAACCTGGGAGGACATATTCAGTGGCATATTATGAGTATGACCAATCTAGTTGGACCTGATCTATTCAGGAAGAGCTGCAACGCTCTCCTATATTTTGACCTCATTAGCCGTGGAACGCTTATCTAATAAAATAATACGACGGAGCTAGCCAAAATTACAAATGCATTGACCATTTTTACATCCTGGTTGCCATGCTCCGGAAGATACTCTCAATATCTGCGGATCTGTGGTCGCTACTCCGTCACCGAACTTCCGAAAGCCCCACCTCAATCTGTCAACGATGGGTAACTATCTGCGGGTTCTATCGGTATTTCAAAGTATGCAGCATGTAGTTGCCATTATTTATAGATGCATCTTCTCTGTCTAAAACCATTTTCCTAAGCAGCACAAAGACCGCAGTTATTTAGGACATGAATCCCTGCTTGACTACCAGTAAAATCAGTATCAGTCAGTAGACCAGTTTTTTATCTATTACCCATACGCCCAGGGTCCGTCGTCCTGCTTGTGCCGAAACGTTGGACTTCAGACCAGAGCTCATGGCATCTACAACCTCAAGGGTTGTCGTCATCGGAGGCTCGAATGCTGGGATTGGCGTCTGCCACGGCCTTCTTCAGCAGATTCCTGTTATAACAGTGACCCTTGTGAACCCTTCTAAGGAGTACTATTTCAATCTTGCCGCTCCTCGCTTCCTTGCAAAATCAGGTCTTCTCCCCTCGAGCAAGTATATCCATTCCATTACCGACGTTTTCAGCAAATATTCCGGCGATAGATTCCGGTTCTTACAAGGAAATGCCACGGCCATTAACCTCAGGGGTCAGTATGTTTGTGTGGACGACCCTACCTCGTCCCCGGTACCATATGACTTTCTAGTCATTGCTTCTGGGAGTACTACGCCAGCAGCCATTGGAAGGGAGAGCTTTCCTGCGCCATTCAAGGTACCACTAGAAGGTGATCTTTCGGCTGCCATCCAACGCACCCAGGCTGCTGTAGAATCTGCGAAGACAATCATTATCGGTGGGGCAGGTCCAATTGGCGTGGAATTTGCAGGAGAGATTGCTGAAGCCTATGGATACGCTGGGCCCCAGAAGAAGATTACTCTTGTTTCTGGGACAGACACTGTGCTTGCAGGCTTGACGCCGGGGGTGCAGGACGCTGCAGCACGATTGCTGCGGAGTAAAGGCGTCCACCTCAGAACCTCCTCGCGGGTGCGAAAAGCGGAATATAATTTGACGACGAAACAGTGGGTGGTCACCTTATCAGCAGGAGAAGTCCTCACGGCAGACCTCTATATATCAGCTATGGGGAGTGTTCCAAACAGTGACTTTATCCCACAGTCGCTTCTCGACCAGGAAGGATGGGTTAACGTCGACGAGCATCTTCGAGTAAAGGATTCTCATGGCCATGTGGCACCTAACGTCTACGCCCTGGGTGATATCACGTCGTTCACAGATCGGCTTCTTCTGCGGATCAAGCCTCAGGTCAAAACTGTGGTTTCAAACCTTAAGAGGGACCTTACTGGTGAAGGGCGTGTGAGCATTTACCGCCCAGGAGATCAGAAAAGAATCATGGTCATCCCAGTCGGACGTTATACAGGAACTGGGGTCCTGGGAAATTGGAAATTGTGCGGTTTCATGGTTTCCTTCTTTAAGGGGAGGGATTTTCTGACCAGTAAAGCCGCCTCGTTTATTGAAGGCTAGAACAGATTTTTGTGCATTTCGGTTTCGGTTTGACAACTTTACTCACGCTTAGAGTATAGATATTTCATTATTTTCTGGGACTATAAGCTAATTTACAACAAGGATAGTTCTGGTCCACGCCAGTGTGATAGCAGACTAAGCCGCAACGTAGTAACCGGAGGTCGATGAGATCAAACTGGATGAAGCTACAAAGTTTCTGTATTATTTTGACAGTGGACATTACCTACCTGACATTGCTGAATATAGCCTGGGGAGTCTCGACATCCGAGTCAGCCACAGCCGTTTCCTCTCGAAAGGACAGAAGCCTAAGCGGCTGATTACTGTGTGGAAATGGGGTCAAATTTCAATGCCAGGAGAAATACCGGTGATCCGTACAGCGGAGGGAGATCCTACTCCTTCCTCACTGTCAGAAGGTTATCAGTTGATGTATAGGTAGGCATCCGGGTTTAAGTATCTATGCTTCGAAGGGTCACCTCTTGTGTATGTTCCCGCAATTGGTACTTTAAGACTGCATCATACTAGACGCAGTCCACTTTTACCCAATCCTTTATAGAGCTAGATCGTCTGTAGACAACACCGTCTAAATCCTATTGGAAGGCAAGAGCTTCGATTCTTTGACTTTGAGTAGCACTCCTTGATACCCCGCCAATGCAGTACTGTCCCCAGTCATTATGAGTACAGAGAGACTAGGAAGTTTGTGGAAACAGTCTTATTTTGACTGTAGTATAGAGTTCGAACTTGTACATAAAACCATGAAAAGAACAATAAGCATCAACCTCGTAGGTCAGAGCCAAGAAGCAGTCTTGGTAATTAGACTGGCATATTCCATCGCTCTGGATGTGCCTAAAGTTCAGTCACATATTACGCTCGCAGAAGAAATACTGGACAGCAGTTGAACCGTTGATTCAGCACTGACATTCAAAGAACGCGGCGGTTCTCAGCCTTCTTCTCTTGCGGGACGCTTCCGGATCTTCTTCTAAAAAGTCTATGTAATACCTTTCCGCAGGCAGTCACTACTCCCGGAAGCAATGTGGGTTTGTAGTGGCGAACACGGAAAACATAGTAGACGATTGCAGCCCCTGCAATGTTAAAACCAATATAGGCCCAGCCAATTCCGAAGTTGCGCCAGCGTTGGCTGTAGTCTGATATATGATGATGGTTAGCACTTGAGTAGCACGCAGAGTTCGCATAAATCAGGCTTGCCACTTACCGATCTTGCTTAGAGACAGATACTGGTCTGCGGCAGTAAAAGCGCAGAACTCGCAACTCGTCGTGGCAGAGGGGTTGTAGAGTTGGCCTGACGATACACTCAACCAATCCGCTAGGTATTGACCGCATGTCTGACCTTGAGGCGGAGAAAATACACTGAGCTCCTTGCCAGAACATTGAACACTCTGCCCGTGAAGTGCATTGCCGCACATTCCAGCGATCAAGTAGGTTAGGGGCGAGACACGGTACATGAATATCCAGAATCCGGGGAGTGCTGTTGGGGTCTGCATGACTCCGTTAAACGTTAGGATCAGGGCAAAGGACAATGTTGCAACGGTTCCTGTCTAGTGTCAGCCAACGTTCTCACTGGGCCACTTCTTGTCGGACTGGGGATATTCTACCTGCAGTTTCGGCATCTGGCAAGGATGAGATCACCAGGTCTGCAAAGGTCGAGGTGAAGAGGAAGAATTGAATCACAAATAGTAGCATTAGCCCCTGCTTATCCGAGCTCTGATTTGCACCATAAATCGGATAGTAGTAACTCGCCCAGACTAGAACTCCGAGAATGGTCTGGTAAGGGATCTCCACGACGATATTCGAGACAACGAACGCCACCCATGAGTAAGCTTTGGATGGCCGTTCACGAACCTCATACAACGAGCGCTGAGTGACAAACTTGGGCATTATTCTGCCAGGTCGGTTAGGGGCAAAGGCTTCAAATATCATGGATTACGGATCGGCAGGGTAGACTTACTGTTGGACCAATGTGGAGAAGATTGAAGTCAGCATGAAGGAACTGAATAGACGGTTCTGTATCCCCTGAATCGATTGTCCTGGCAAGAAGTAGGAAAAGCCAATGAACAAAGCCGAAACGACGCCTAGCATGAACTTTGCCCCGATATAGGCAGGATCACGCCAGTACTGCTCAAATACCCGGCGAGTAACCCACCACAACTGAGCAGTGAGCGGCATGGCATATTCTCCTTGTTCGTCAGACACTTTCTCAATCGGTGCAGGGCCACCATTAGGAACAGATTGCGTGGCACGGATGCGACCTAATTCGTCTTTTACTTCGCGCGCTTCGGGACTTTCTTTCCAAACTACCGGCCAGTCTTTGGTAGCTTGACCAGCCGCCCCTGCGCCAATGATTTCCAACATGTATTCGGCAGGCTGAAATCACAGAATTGTCAGACACTTGCGAGATGCCTTTAGAAATAGGGCGTATTGGACTTACATTCTCGGATGGGTCACACTTCCTTGCTCCGTTTCGCTCGAAGTAATCTAGCAGTGTTCTGGACTGCTCCCCAATGTCACCAAAGTAAACTGTTCTCCCACCTTTGGCCAGGAAGAGAAGACGATCAAACTGCTGGAAGAGAATGGCACTTGGCTGGTGAATTGTGGAAAGAACCGCCTGTCCGTTATCTGCGAGCTTGCGGAGAAAGGCGCAAATAGACCATGCACTCTGCGAATCTAGGCCACTTGTCGGTTCATCAAGAAATAGGAGAAGTTGGGGTTTGGCTGCAAGTTCAACTCCAATAGTCAAGAGTTTCCGCTGCTCCACGTTGAGGCCTTCTCCTGGCGTACCGACGACAGCCTCTGCAAAATCCTTCATATTCAGCATTTTGATGACCTGTTCCACGTAGTTATACTTCTCTGCCTTGGAAACGCTCTTAGGCTGCCGCAGCATTGCACTGAATCTTAGAGCCTCTCGTACAGTAGATGTAGCGAGGTGGAGATCCTGTTGCTGCACGTACCCGGTTTGTCGTTGAAAGCTTGCTGGGAGAGACCCTCCATTGACCAACATATCCCCAGTAACCACCCCGATTGAGACCCGCTGTGCAAGAACGTCCAGCAATGTGGTTTTTCCAGCTCCTGACACGCCCATCAAAGCTGTAAGAGTCCCTGGCTTGACCCAGCCGTCAACATGATCGAGAAGGCGGCGCTGTCCGCCTTTTACCGGGATATCGTAACAGAGGTCCTGCCAGGTGAAGATGCTCCGCTGTTCGGGGATGATCGTACTTAAATCGACGGGCTCTCCGTTCTCCGCTGGCGACTCCAGCGCCAGTGTCTGGGACGCGGGAGTCTTCTCTGTATCATGAATAGTCGGTTTCATGTAAGCAGGAACGTGACCACGACGAAAGACGAGAAATTCAGCTGTGGACGACGTGGCGGAATTCATCTCTGTGGCAATGAGGTACATGCAAGTAAAGAATATCCAGAAACCAATGAGGATGCCGAGATTTCTCCATTCGTGAGAGTAGCTGTAGCGGTACTGCTCGTAGATGAAGGAATCACCAGACACAGTTCTTGCTCCTGCCACGGACCCAGGCACAGAGCAAATAAAGGCATCACCAGACAAGCTTGGGTACCCAGGAATAAACTGCGAACACTCGAAACTTTGTCCATGGAATTCATTGGAAATGAGGCTCTCGAAGGTATAGAAGAGCGGGTTGATCCATCGCAACCAGGAAAACCAGGGATGCATCTCCGGCGCTGGGATAACGAATCCTGCATAGATGACAATGATTAGGATCATGAGTCCAGCCAAAGCCATGGCCTGGGCAACACTTCGCGTCAATGCGGCCAGCGTACGGAAGACTGCCGACATAATCATAGTTGAAAGGAAGCTGAAGAGAAAGAAGATGAAGAATTGGGATGCAGTATAGCGCTTTCAACTTTGTCAGCGGCTCAATCGCTTCATACACCGTTTGAGAATTGGGCCTTACCAGACTGCCAAGGAAGTAGATAGTCACATTGAACAACACTGCAGAAATAAGCTTGATGGGTAGATCCGCAATTATCCCCCCAAAGGCCTCTGCAAAAGGGTGGACAAAGGCATAGGAAGCTTGCTTCTCCACAATAGGACGCTGATCATAGAGGGAATTAATTTCCGTTACGCTGATCAGGGCATTGAGTCTGCAGAACGTCAAGGTCAGCCAGTGTTCGTCAGATTCTCGGCAGGGGATTATCGGCTTACAGGGTGGCAAAAAAGAGCAGTGAACCTTTGGCGAAGAAACCAGCAGTGGCATCTGGAGTGCTGCAGCATATAGTCAGTATTGTCACCTTGATGTGACGTGATTAGATTTACAGTAAACTTACCCGAAGAAAATCGATGCAACAACCAAAGACATAACGATTCGACCAACAAGCAACGTCAGTGTTGAAGCTTTGTCGTTCCATATCCTAAGGGAGCCAGTTGTCATTAACTACCCAAGCGAGAGGCAATGATCTTAATATCAAGTAGCAGTTAGACGTACCTCTGATAGGCCCTTATCATGCACAGTTTGAGTTGCATTGGAACGGAGATGAGATATGGACTCCCTGGCCGGACGTGCTTTGCCTGCTCCATGCGCTTCCCAGCTGTGACATCTTCTTGCCCGTGGCCCCCGAGAGGGTATTCAGACTCGTACTGTTTAATTTCTTCCAGAAGGGCAGCGTATTCCGGGCTTTTCTTCCAGTACCTCTCGAACTCTTCCGGGGACCGCGGAACCGTATCCTCCATCCCTTCTTGAGCCTTGCGCTCTTGAGGGTTAGTAACAGAAGTAAGAAAGTCTCCAACAGTCTGTCGCGGCGGGTTGACCCAACCCATCGTGATGAAATATTTCTCTGCCTGTTTGCATGGCCCAAAGTAGATTTCGCGGCCTTCATACAAGACAATCACCTTGTCGAATACGTCATAAATTGCTTGAGATGCCTGGTAGGTGGCTACAGCATGGCAGCTTCCAGTTAAATCGGCTGATATTCTCAATGCTTTCACAAATTCCAGAGCACTGGCAGCATCAAGACCTCGTGTACTGTTATCCCAAGCCGCAAGAGGAGCTCGTGCGACTGCGGTCACAAAGAAGTCAACTTGTTAGCGAAATTCACCCTCACATTTGCCAAATCCCTTGGGGGTAGAGGTTTCATCTTACCCGCCATCTCTGCGATACTGTGATATGACAATGTCAGCCGCCACTCGTACTTGGAAAATTGTGGAGTCAATAGGCTATAGGGCAGAAGGATGAAAGAGCAAATGGTTTTCTTACCTGACACGCTTTCGCTCTCCACCAGATACTCCTCGGATATAATCATCCCCAACTGCAAAAATCGACTCAGCTGATGCATCCACCGGACGAATCATTTGTTAAAACTGACCTCGGGTGTTATAAGTATGGGACAGGCCCAGCACTGCCATGGCGACCTGTGTCATTTCTTTGACATATTGCTTGCGAGACTCGCCCGCCAACCGATGAGATGGTGTCCTGGCCGAGGCGGCAAATTCCAGAGTCTCACCGACGGTCAAATGTGGAAAATGTTTATCCACCTCCTGGTTGTAGACGCACTCGCCCTTAAACTCTCTGTGCATCGTCTTCATGGGGATTCCATTGTAGTGCATGACCGACTCCGGATGCAACTCAAGCCCGTGCAATTCACCACAGATTGTCTTCTGGAACGTTGAGCAGCCGCTGCCCGGTCGACCGAGGACCATGAGCATCTCGCCGCTCCTCAGCACACCATCAAAATTATGCAGAATCTGCCTCTTGGGCGCCGAATGTATGGCTCCTCGGTAGATGTCCGGACGGAACGGAGCCAACAGAGCCGAGTCAACTGTTTCCTGAAGCTGCAGCGCTGCGCCGGACCCGGAGACGTTGAGGTTTTTGAAGACCACCCCCGCATGCTTACGCAAGATGCCTTCCTCGTCAAGCTGATTCAGCTTGGTACGAGCCCATTTGTACGGGTCGAACTCCTTCCTGGTCGGATCGAGTGCCGGGTCAGCTTCTGCAATTGTATCCAGCGCGGCCCCTCGGCTTTCCCTCCGTCGTCCTGGGGTAGAAACAGAGGAGGCGATCCTCGAAATGGCGTCAAGGTCATAGCCAGTCACAGATCTCGAAAACTGGCTGACAGTTTCCTGATCTGAACGGTCCGGGAAAGATCCTGTTGAAGAGCTCTGACTGGTGGCCATTTCTTCAACGTAGTGAGAAGGTAACATTGTAAAATCCCTTGTAGTACAGTTTGAGGTCGTTCGGAGTTGTACTAAAATTGGGACACGCTGCCTGTGGGACAGACTGTGCTCCAGAATATTTTACATTCCTTGCGATACGTCTTATCGGCCCCATTTATAGACTACAGCAAAACCCTCGTAACCCTCTTGGAAGGCAAATACCCCTACGCAGCGGCACCCGGTCAAGGACCGTATTATCGCGGAGGAAGCTTCGGTCACCGTCCCGTTGCTTTACGTTGAAGCTTCAACATAGGACATTAAACTTCAGCAGCCATCTCTGATCGTTTGATAAGCCCCGTACCCCGGCCCCGGAATTCCATCAATCAACATTTTCCGAGCTCCGTCGGGTGGAGACAAGGTCGATCGCTGGCTCTGGTTCAAAACCGCCAATGATTTTATGTGCATTTGAGTTTAACAATAGTTGCCACATTGTACCGTGGAAGGGCCGTCTGGTAGTCTGATCGTGCTGAAATCTTGGCAGTTTAGCCTTCGTCGAACGCCTATCCATGTCACGGAAGTCAGTTTTAAGGTTATTAAGGTAGCCAAACGATGTCCGGTTTCTAGTTCCGAACTCCGTCAGGTGGCATCCTGTTGACTCTTGAGTGTCGTCGTGATATCTTTTTCCCGGGGTGTCTCTACAATCCTACCGCACAGAATAGAGTTGGGAGAAAATAATCGTTTCGGGGGAGGATAAAGGTTCTGTACATGTTTGAAAAATGTATGATTCACCATCACTGTAAAAAGATTCTACCTTTTTTCCTCATAGAATTACTGCTTCGGATGAAAGACAATATTACCCTTGTCTTCCTTCCGACAGTGCTCTTCCCGCTTGGCTCACATGGATTCCACTTAGACTAGTCGTGGGTTGGGTTTGGATGGAATCCGCATGAGATTCAATCCAACCCATGCGGATTATGGGTTAATCCACTAGCTATCTAACCCACCCTCATATACATGTGGGTTGGATTGTGGATAATGGATATATCTATACTATCTAGTGAGGTGACCTCTAATATTCAGTTTACTACCTATTTTTCTAGTATTCTAGCTACACCACTAAGATATCTATATGTTTTATTTGATAATATAATAATTTACTATATAAATATACTATACTACCTATTATATAAGGTAAAATTACATTATATAGGGGAGTAGTGGTACTCCTAAAGCATAAGTTGAAAAGTGGTGCGGAGATATGTATATCTTACCACTAATATCACAACCATCATTATCTAAAATATAAAATCCACCATAACTATAAATTTTCTTAGTAAATCTGATATTTTATCTTACCTATAGATAGATATTACTATTCTCGGATTCATGACACTCGCTGGAGGAGCAGATAAATGCTAGCGACAGTTAAAGGGATGGCAATGCGGAAAGGGACAGGACAGGAAAGTATATTGTGGTCTCGAGATGTAAAGCCGAGCATTCACATAGTACAAGTGAAGTTGGACCCACAACAAAAGCAGAAGTGGGAGAAAGGGCACATATACCGCTAATGGGGCATCAGTATTGGAAGTAAAATGTTATTGTCGATGAATAAACACTCGTGCTATACCTTCGTCCTTTCTATCTCGGCTTGAAATGTCGGTAACCTAGACGAAGCACATGGTAGACAAACATTGAAAGCAGGTGATGATCATCCATGGAGATTATACACAACAATGGCAGTTGCACAGTGGTATGACAGAGCTTAGACACCGGGCAGGGCTCAATTGAACGCTCGACTTTCCGCATATACCCCTCGTCCCTGGAGGACACTTGGTCAAACGTAATTATCCCCTCCAGAGAAAAGTCATGAGCTCAGCAATAGAGCCACTAGTCATACTGCATGGTATGGAAGTGGCAAGTGCGCTTGCAGTATTGTGGTGGTGGTGTTGGAAGGAGCGAGTGGCCATTGAAGGCCAGCGGTCACCTCAGGTATCGCATATAAACTGGTGATTTCAAAAGTTCAAAATCTCGACCAGCATCATGGATTTACCTTTAGTGCTAAGGAACTATCTATTAGACACTGTATAGAATGTCTGTAACTTTTTCCTGGACAATTTTAATCATTACTTTAAATGTTTATACAGCCCGCATGCGAATACGGCTAGGATAAAAGACTCTTCCCTTGTGATACAGATAATACCAGGCAATGTAGATCTCTAAGACCATCCCATGCCTATAAGCACATCATGGGATTAGCCCACATTATGAATTTTAGGCCCACTTGGAATTTCATCATTGAGATTTTGACGTCCTGCAAAGTACCAGTTTATACGAGATACATGAGGTAGCCGCTGGCTCACAATAGCCACTTGCTTAGTTAACTAAGCCACATTGAACAGGATCACGTTTCATAACCCTACCTTCTATTTACGACATGGTAATTGCTTGGGGATTTTCGGTCAAATACGACCTGTACGGTGCCTAGGCTGATGGGGTTATCAAATCTCGGATCTCCTCATGACGGCCTCGTAACGACGTTGAGACTAACGAGATGATTAAACTGCAAGAGAGCATCAGAGGCAACAGTATCTTGGGCGAGGTACGTCGGTTCCTGCCTATCTGGTTCTTCCATACTCTGCTCGTACGCCAGCATCTGTAAGTGTGGTAACGAAGATGCCTGCTTCGGATGATATCCGCGAATATGGTTAAGTGGCGCGGGATGTTGGGGGTAGGTTGGTGCGCGGGGCGCAAAAGTGCGAGACAGCCCCTAATATGAGTGACCAGAGAGTGCTAGGAAAGGTGCGCTCCCGGCTCGTACAGGGCCACGGCTGCGCTGTAATGCCGGCATATATGCTCCCCCTTGGACTGCAGCTGTGTGATATACCTAGATAGGCGTGTTGGTGATTCTATGGTGGGATGCGTTTGCCGAAGCAGAATTTGGAATCAAGGGCGAATCCAACCGATTCTGTCGGAGCGCGACGCATTTTCCTGATAGTCGCATCCATGTTGCATATGGACAAGCTTCCGAAGCATAAGGAGTAATAGGCGGCTTACTTTGGTACAGTAACGGACCCTATCATTTGATGCTGACATATGTAATTGAGGCAACCTGTATATCGATTGATCAGGAGTGAAAAAAACACGACCTGGAGAGTGAACAGTTTGAGCTAAAAAAAAAAATAAAATTATAATAATAATAATAATAATAATAATAATAATAATAATAATAATAATATCAATATGGTTGTTGCGCTTTCCACATTGAATGCATTGACTGCACCCATAACCCAAATTCCACTTGTTAGACCAATGCTTCCTAGGTTATCCATGTACTTCATGCGTCATCCGGAGAATCAATAAGCGCGTTCAGATTGTGCCACTTCCTGAATGTATTTTGTGGATCGTATTTTCTCTTCAATTCCTGGAGACGAGGAAGATTATCTCCAAATATTTGCTTGTTAGGCACGTTATGACCTATGTATTGTCAATTAATTTGCCCTTTTTAACATTTTTTAAGGATCAACGACAGTGGATGAAGAAGTTGACTTCTCCGGGCAACATACCAGCATAATTCGCATATAACCCGGTTCCATGTTTCGACATGTTATAATTCGGTTGCCTTGCAATGCCCCCGCGTGTTCCAATCCGGTCCATCAGACTCTTTTGTCGTGAGCGTATTCTGTGGTCAAGATATGCCCCACTCCATTCAAAGAGGGTGCTGACATTGTAATAAGGACCGCGACTGGCAAACGCTGTGGCATCATTAGGAACTTTAGCGAGCTGTATATTTGGCAAGAGCTCAAAAAGCAGTCTGCTTTCCCTTGTCTGCGGGTAGTCCCTCAACACACTATTGAATTCATCGTATATGGAGAGCACAAAGTCGACATCTAGAGGGAGAGTGACGTTTGAACCTCTGAGGCTTTTTCGAGGAACAATCACACTCATATCGGCAGGATATTTGATATCCACCCTTGAAAGGCTTCCCCGGCATGCCAGTATATCCACCGAGTTTAGTATGCCGTTGAGACTATCGTAAGGAAGCATCTGCGTCCTATCCATCACCGATTCCAGCGACAGAATTGGAGAAAAGAACCGTTGCGCGGCTGCCTGGGGTCCATTATAAAAAACAACCACCAAGATGGAGCACTGCGCCATAGACGGCAGCATAGTGAGCCCAAACCAGAAGCCCTGCTTACCATCGGTGATAGTCTCGAACTGATTGGCGAAATTGACAATCGCATGTAATTTGTCCGCAGTGAATAGCAGAGTCCCAGCAAAGACATGATGATCCTGTTTATGGGCTCGGAAGCCCAACTCAACTGCTACCCCAAAGCTCTGACCGGCACCGCGAATGGCCCAGAACAGGTCTGGGTATTGCTCTTCCGATGCTATCACTATACTGCCATCGGCTAAGATCATTCTCGCCCAGAGCAGGTTATCAATCGCGAGGCCGTACTGGCCGGTCAACCATCCATAGCCTCCTCCTAATGTTGCTCCAGCAGCTCCGATCTGATTCAGTGTGCTTCCGACCACTGCCAGCTTATACTGCGCGGCTGCAATATCTACATCTTCCCACAACGCCCCGCCTTGGACTGTGAGAACGCGGGAGTACGGATCTACGTGGACGTCCCGAAGCCTACATAGATCTAACACGAGACCACCGTGAGTTGTTGATGCGCCGCTGGTGGAGTAACCTCCTCCTCTGACTGTGAAGGGAATCTCATGACATGTGGCAAAACGGACGACTGTGGCTGCTTCATCGGACGATGTAACCCGGACCATCGCACCCTGCAAAGGTCAATTATCCACAGCCAAAAATATCTTTTCAATAACCAACTTACCACAAGAGTATCACATGTTTCACTCCATTGTTTTACAGAGTCATCATAGCCGTCGCATCCCCATGTTAAGATTTCGGCGTGTGTACCATCCAACTCCCTCCTCAAGCTACAGATTATAGAGAAGGGTAAGAAGGGCATTCGGTCATTGCAAGGGTGCTTAATTCTGTTGATGTCAAAAAAGAAAATGTCTTCCCCGCGAGAGCAGTGTTAATAATAGTTAGTAGTGGGTATTTGAAGCAAATATGAAGACCTCCAGGTGAGCCCAGATGTTAAACTTACAATGGGAATCATGATCAAGGACTGCAATCCCATGATTTAAGGTTCGTCTTATATACCACGAAACATAATTCGGAAAGTCTGAAAGGTCAGGCGATGGACGAGAGATCGTTAGATTTCGAAATTTATCACATGAAATGTTGTCCTATGACGGAGCCTAGCTGAGTCCATTACGAGGCGTTCTATCACTGAAATTGCCACTTCTTTATTTTTTTTTTTCCTTTTTTGCCCTTCTCAAACATGCTGGGTCACTAAACCCCTTCACAACCCATCAAGGATGGTGGATGGTTATGGTGGATAGAATCCACGGAGTCTGATTGGAGTTAGCCTTTCTAGATCTGATCATGTGACACTGACATTTGCGGGTTGGATTGGGTCCTCTCTTTGTGGGCCCATGGGTTCTTGGCGTGCACCCGTGGGCTTGGGCGGGCTGTGGCGAGGTCAACTATATGTAGACAGTATCTGTCTCCGCCGGAGCTTGAAATTAGCTCAGTCTGGGAGATCTCTCCCGGTCAACACCTTAGTGGCGAGAGATTGCTGGGTCTAGACAAGATCATGCAAGGCCAAATCGTACCAATTAGAGCTAGTATCTAGACGAGAGCCATGGAATGTGTTTTAGCAGCTACCATCTGCCCGTATAGCTTTCAACTGCGTGGAACGGAGTATGTCATAGATTCTGTACAGGCCCATCTTTGACGACGAGTAGCAAGGACAGGTTCATGGAATGGCACATGGCAAGGGCCTCTAGCTCTTGGCAAATGGATGACTGTCGGGAGAGCTGCCAATATTTATTACAAGCCATTTTCTGATATGCCGGAAGTACTACGGGCCTAGGGGGATGAAGAGTTAAAAACAGTATCCTTTTCTGCCCTCTTGCAACTGATTTCTCCCATGGCCGAAAACCTGTCAAAACCAGACGCCGATGTCGATGGACAAAGGCAGAATGGAGCAGGACCTGCTGATCAGACTAGCAATGGTGATAAGTAAGACCTGACGACGATATTCGCAGTTAAATATTCCAAATGTCACTAGTCAGCCTACTTACAATTTCGCATTTACTTTGTAGGGAAGGAAAACTGCCCCCAGCGTTATCCGGTGCAACAACATCAGCTCAGCAGGTCACCTCACCAACTTATGCCAGCCCTCAAGCCCCTGCCACGGGAGAGACACCGAAAGTAATCCCTTTGGCTCTCTTGTCGACTCAACCCGCCGTGGTTGATTGTCCATATTGCCATGCACGGAGGATAACTCGGACAGATTTTAAAGCTGGACCACGAGCTACGTAAGTTGCTCCTATCACTTTAATTTCAGTAATTGGTGTAACACTCTTGTACAGTCGCTGGTCCTGCTTGTGCTGTCTTTGCATTGGCCCATTTGCTGCCCTTTTGCCCTGCATCTTGCCGAACTGCAGAGACTGTGAACAATACTGCGGGAATTGCAACAGGCTCCTCGCTGTCGTGGAAGGAACGGGTGCAGTTCGCATTCTATCTTATTAGGTAAGAATATGGAACCAGTCTCCGAGACTTGTGCCAGCACTGAAATGTTGTACCTTAATAGATATGGTCAGAACAAAGGGCAATGTTGAAGGCTGGGCCTTTTGCACTTTATCAATTGTCTTGTCCAGCATGGATGTTTTAGAAAAAAATTGTTTCTAGTTTACAATCCAAATCGCACAAGCAATTACGCAGCATGGATAACTTCTCCTTAACAGAGGACCTTTGAACTTGGCTTGTCGCATATACAGAGCCAAGAAGGTCTTCTAAAATATAAGAAATGGAGAAAAAGTAGAGGATGGCGCAACAACGGCATAATCTGCACCCGGACCATACCAAGCATATAATAGCTGATTACGTAGTGTTGTTCCGAGCGGGAAGCGCGACGAGGTTGGCGATCGATAGCTGCTTTAGATTTAGTGGGGTCATCGATTACGTGGAGGGCTCTTGACTCGAAATGAAAGACCAAGCTAAGCCAATTTTATTGATTGCTTGTGTCAGACAGACCACAGAGTTTCTCACACTAAGATATCAGACGATGGAATGAAGGCCAAATTCACTCTCGGAAGCGTTCACTCGCGCTGGCCGCCGATGAGGAGTTGTTCAGATGAGCCTGGTTGGCCACATCAGACTAGTCTAGACTTTCTTTCTACCCCAGCAAAAAGCTTAGTGTGGAGCATGGAGCGTATTAATGAGCTTGGATTCCCTAGTCCCTTTTACCACCACTCAGATCATTCGCCAGATAAAGCTAACAGAACCGAGAAATAAGGAATCGACGCGCCCATGCCCTTTCACAATATCATATGATTCCCTCATATTATTCCCTAGGGTCCCTTCGTCCGGAAGCTTGGCATGATGGCAACCATAAATCTATCTCCGAGCTGACCAGCAGACAGCCCGATTTGGCTCGGTGTACTCCCCGATAGCCGCAATAAAGCAGAGTTTATGACGACATTCGATGTAATTATTAATTAACTGGAACGATTACCTACAACTGCATAGATGTAGGGCCTGCTATTCCTATAGCCCGGGACGGTGGTAGGATCAATTAATTCAAATGTCACAGTATCTACCAAGATGTAACATCAAAATAATAACTGAGGCATGAGAATTCTTTCAGGGGGTGGAACAATGCCGCCATTGAAAATAGGTCTGGCTCTCTGAATTGGATCGTGTGGATATTGTGTAGATCCGCGAGATCCATAATGGTACAGCGAACAGTTGAGTTATTGACTATGCTAAGAAATACAGTCCATGGTTCACAGTCCTGATGCTTATATCCTTCAACAGAGTCGGCTATATTTCGTACCTGGCCTCTGGCCTGTTACAAGAAATATGAACCTCATGTGGGCTGTTAGGCATACACGTCTCTTTTTAGTTAAATAGCTGGAACTTCCCAAACTGCGGAGGCACAATAGTGTCCAACTATCCACTTCTGTCAATGTTTATCTCTTCTAAATGAGGGTATTATTTATTATATGTCACCCTAGTTACCACCTTATCACACACTGGTCAATTAGTGTTATAAGCAACACTTAGTTCACTACTGCTCTTCTAAGAAATAAGGCTTAACTATACATGCCATACAGTTTCCTATTTTGCAGCTGCTGAACAGCTGCTCTACTGAAGGTTTCTATAGTCGCTGTTATCTTATCCTCTTCTATCGCATCCTTCACTAGATAATCCTTCAAAGGACCCCTAGCCTGCAATCATTCATCCTCCGTGATGTGAAGGGATGCACTGGTATGGATGGAAGCCCACAAATTATGCATGGATTAATTAGACTTTGATGACTGGCAAATGGTTATACCTCAAAGAGCGCTGTACCATAGCCTTACTTTCTTCCCTGTCCAAGTTGTGGCTACACTTTGTCCATCGTGTGGGAATGTCCTCTCCATGACTCACATCAACACACAACACAGTAGTAAAGAAGATGGATATTGTCAGTGTGAAGACATTGCAAAATGTATTGAAATCAGGGCAGCACTTGTGATGTGGTAAAGAGTAATTAAGAAAAGAATCATCATCTCCCGCCTGATCTAACAGAGAAACGCCCTAGTCGTGAAAGGCGTGGGTTGCCTTGCCTTCATTCTCATTCCCAGGCAGAACAGTTAGAAAGGATGGAAGAATCAGACCTGTGAGTAAAGTGGGAAAGAAATCACCCCTCAGACCATACTACTTGCTGTGGTTGCTTCATGTTATACGCCACTAGACTGGCTGACCCACTCTTCAAATCCATACCCAACCCACCCAATCCGCAATATAGGTGGGTTAGGGTTGACCCTGATCCAACCTATATGGGTATGGGTGGATGGCATTTAACCTATATTAGATATAGGTAACCTCTTAGGTGTATATATATAACTAGCAGAATTATATAGGTATTATAGATTTTATAGTTTATCTAATTATCTCTAGACTTAATTATTTATATATCTCTTAGAAGCGTGAGGATAGGTGATATGATAGCAGGCATGGAGATCGCTGAATATTAATGTAGTTGGCTATGTCAAAAAGAGTGTATCATTTATTCTGTCGTCAAAGGCTCTGGAGGCCAGCCTCTGTTAAATAGAAACAAGAGCTGAATGTCCATCCATCCTTTGAGGTGGCGGCTGTATCGGGCTAATTTGCCTCCGACGTTACAGCTTTAAGGGCAATTCACCAGCCTGACACGCCATTGAACAGACATGGACGCTATTGCAGCACTGGGCTCCAGCATTACTAGAGAAACGAAGATGGCATCTGGTACCCACCATTGACGCTCCCTCCTTACCAGCTCAAGCTCTAATATACAAGAATCAAGGCAGCCCACCACCGAGGATGAAAGTCGTGGTTGGCGGGGTAGACAGCGGGGGAAAGTCTCGTCTTCTATCCGTGTTGATTAAAGTAGCAGAGGATCGCGTCAACGGCACCACCTCTGTTCCGCTCGAAAATACAATATATGAGATTGAAACAAACTCAAAGGATCCCAGATATGCCAAGAGATTTGAATTTTGGGAGGATTCAAAAAATGCGCAGGACCGTGGTGCTCTTAACTTTGGGCACCTGAGAATAATGAAGAGCCTTGTTGATATTGCTCTGATCTGTTTCCCTCTTGACGCAATGGCACAAGACTCGGATTTAGGACACTCACTGGAGGAGCGGATAAGTGCTAGGATAGATGATATGATAGCAGGCATGGAGATCGCTGATCGGTGCTGCAAACCACGAAAGAACCCCGCGGTATTTCTGGTTGGATCTCGAAGTGATTTGCTGGGTGGCGATGCTGTGGATCCATCACGAAGGAAGAATGCCTTGTGCCATCGGATTATCAAGCAGCTTGTGGCTAAAAGCGGCGTCCATGGGTACTTTGAATGTTCGGCAGCCACAGGTACTGGTGTGGGAGAGTTGTTGGACGCAATGGTGGATGCCACGCTTCATCCACCCAAGAAAAGACTCGAACTGCCCAAACATCTGTCTATTGCTGCGAAGCGCACACGACAGCGCACAAGACATTGTATTATTTTGTGATGACATGTCTATATCTCCTAGGTTGGGGAAATCTAATCGGAAGTGATTGCTAAACAGCTCGTCCTCCCCATAACCCAAGTAGAACAGCTCAGTTGGTTGCCTGATACTGTGATTCTGATCTTGGTGATGTTGAATTTCCTGGAAGGAACCCATCCCATTGCCTAATCTCTTCGCCGCAGAGACAAGAGTTCTATATGGTTCCTGTATCATCGAACTTCATGCCCAACAACAGCATACCCATGCTTCATTCCCGTGCCAACACCTTCTGTATCCAGCTCAGCCCCATGTGGAACAGACGAGTCTGAATGGTTCAAAAGGACTGAGCTTGGGGGCATTTTCTCTCCATTGTCCCGCCAAAGCCCCAGGTTTATATATGCTGCCTTATGCAGCGCCAATGTCTCCTCGACTCCCCACTGATCCCGCTTGTACCTGGTCTTTCCAAGTCGCAGCCAGCCCACTACAGTATCCACTGTGAGCCCGATAATCACAATGAGGCCGCAAATGACGAGTGTGAGAGCCAGTCCAAGAATTGAAAAATTCTCGTATCCCGAGGCATTGTTCATGAGTTGGTTCCGGCATGCAGAACGCGCAGCCGCATTAATCGGGGCGCTGACATTCCATCCATAGCCAAGCGTGTTGGGAGGGAGATTTTTTGGTGCAGTCGCCCATTCGAAGACCCAAGCTTGCTCCTTAGCCAAGGAGGTGGCAAACCACGTTGACACTTCAATTTGCCATTGGTTCGGTGGAAGATATGAATTGAGATTCATGTAGGCCATCATTGACGCTGAGACGAGGAGAGGGTTTATTTTTAGCTCGGGAAGGCAGGAAATATAATCATCAAGGTTTACTTACCGTTCAAAGCAGCGCCTCCTCGCCCATTCACACTGGAATACATACTCCGGTCAGTGTTTGCAGAGAGAAACCGGGAGACGGTTGTAAGCTGGGCCATATTGAACCCCAGAGTTGACATATCACCATCAAGCTCAAAGGCAGACAGGAATGCACTCATCTGGCCACCAAGCTTGGAGCAGCCAGAATCACCAGATCTGCTTGGGTTGCATACTTGATACTGGTCCACGCACACCAGGAGGTTCGCCTCATAGCTCTTCGACCATAGTGTCTTATTGAATGTCGTGTTTTCCAAGCTGAGGTTATTCTCAACCTCCGCTGTGATCCAAGGATCATCGCTGCGTTGCAGGTACATGACACCGTTCTGATTCAGCATCATCATAGTGATGTCGGCGTCGGTTTGGTTGATCCTTGGATCTGGGGCCCATGATCGAGTCGTCAGCATCAAGCCCGTGGGATCGGCTTTGGCAAACTTGGCGCTGATTCATTAGAATGTACGTTCTCTTGAGCCATCCTGTTGGACGACTCACCTCAGGGTGTAGCCTATCCCATCCAGCTGCGGGGTCGGGGTGTATTCGAAAGTGTAGTTTAAATATGGTTGGCCCATAGAGTATTGTGCTCCAGCATTGATATAGAGTATAGTACCGTATGTCGAGTCGTTCCGGGCCGTCCCTAGGCCGGATCCATGCTTGACTGGTGCGCAAGTCGCCACCCGCCTGAATTTAATCCGGTCTTTCGGCCGCGCGTTGATGCCAAAGTCTGTCTGCGAATCTAGAAGACCGGTGTCCATTTGGAATGCCGACTGCCCGTTGTAGGTGCATAGCTCGGACGCAAAGGGGCAGGAGGCGTTTTGATTCGTAGTAAATGGTATGCTTGGACGGGCGTATGTCCCGCACAAGAGTCCCGATGGGCTCCCCTGATAACATTGACGGACATAGGTGGCGGCTTCGTAGGTATCCTGCAATGTTTTGAAGTTCATGACGGATTCCGAGGAGTTGAACTCAAACCCCCCACAAGCTGGGCCGATGATGATTGTAGAATTGCCAGCCGTCTTGGTGATGTAACTTGTGAAAAGGCCAGCCACACCGAACAGAAGGATATTGAGTATGGCCAATATCGCCAATGGTAGAGACCGTCCAACGGCCTTGACCCGCGATGCTGTTCGCCCATTCTCAAAAGGCAGCATGATCAAAGCCCAAGCTGCACCGGCCGCGGTCTTGTTGCGGAGAATGATCTGGCGCTGGGCGTGCAGTGCATCTTGCCCTTGGGCTGGTTTTGTGGTATAGGCTTGATGAATGGCAAAGCTTAAAATAATCCAAAATAAGGACCCAGCAAAGGAAACGAGGATGGCCAGAAAGGCACTCAGGACTCCTGCATGCTTCTGTGACAACGTCAATGTGGCTCCACGGATTGGACCTTCGGACCAGTTGATCCAAGGCCCAGTGTAGGTGTGGATTCCGTCAGACATGCCTTTCGACAATGATCTGATGCTGCTTAGCGAGTTGATTCGGAAGGGTTAGGCTCCTTATGGAGGGACTTGACGTTTGAGCCCGTCTTATACTAACAGCTCGCAAAGTCAAATAATGCGTTCAGTATCCAGCATTCATATTACTCTGTGTAGTGGCTACTTTTGGAGCCGCCAGCTGAACTTCGATAAAAAAAGCCATTGGGCACCTAGTAAACGCCTTAACATCGGACTGGTTGCTTGGATCTGCTCCTGTCGCTTCAGCTGTCCGATTCCAGCCTAGCCAGATAGGATAGGTAAGCTGCAGTGATACACCAGCGGTGGAGGCGTTCGTATCTCTTTCCTCATTGGATGCCTTATGATAGTCCTCAGACCCTTCTCGTATTGGTGTGACACAACGGGAGACTGACACACAACTCTGCCTTGATAGTTACCTCCAACGCGTCGGAATACTGTCAACTGCCCTTCGTGAAATATTCGGCACCAGCTCTCCGACTCTCTCGGAGAGCTGCATATTCAACTCTTTAAGATGAATATGATCCTGTGATACGCGGAAGCGTCGCTAGAACTTGAAATACTCTGTATGACACATGCTCCTCTGGAGTTTGCATGTTGATGGAGGGTGAAATGCGTTGCCTTCGGATAATGATACGATAATGATGGAAGTCCCGTGGTGAGGCCGAGACCCGTCCAAGGCGAATCAACCCCACGCGGCTGCAGAAAACATGAAAAAGTAAGCAGGCTCAGCCCGCGTTACCTCTCCTTCTCATTGAGCTTTGGCGTAACCTTGCTTGGCAGTCTTCACGAGCAGTACCTGTTCGGAGGAGCATAAACTTTCGGAGTATTCGTAAAAGTGTCTGACCCGCTGACACCAGTGAGAGCAACCTTCTCTAGGTACTGTCCTCTGAGGGCTGAGGTCCACATCACGCGCTGCTATCCTGACCGCAGTCTATTTTGGCATTTTGACGCGAGTGGCACTGAGGACGCAGCAGTCCCTCAGTACTTCTCGGTTTATAAAGGTCATGACACATCACCACTCAGTAAATCTTAATATTTACTCCGCGTCTTCTTTTTTGTTTTTGGCCCTCCTTTCCACCATCTCCTCTGGATTCCTAGATCATCAGGCCGCCATTTTAACGTTTGGACTTTGCCCAGTTTCCCAGAACACTCAAAGAGGTCAAGTCCTGAGCGATAGGTCTTTGCTTCGGAGTAAGCTTTGGTCGTTTTGGTTTTCAATGTCCTTTGAATATTAAGCCTGGGTCGGGGTCCCATGCTGTTGCCATCATGAATCAATTCGCAAAGGAGTAAGCTCGGATGATGTATAATATATGACTTTCTATCTGTTAATATCACGGATGCCCTCGAGTATCCCCATAAGCTAGAACAGAGTTGCGATAAACATAATTTAGAGCAGGACGGAGATTCCGGCTCACTATCCGTGCTCTGACGGCTGCTATACATTGACGTTGAAGCAAAGTGCCGCTATATATTAGAGAGCGGCATTCAAAGTCGATAAAGCAGGTCCCTGATGAGTGCTGCACTAGGACGCGTCTTGATTTTGTTACCCTTACACGTCTCCGAGAATTACCTGTGGAAAATATTTTGCTTGGCTTGCTCCTGGATTCTTTATCTCTCGGTGATCAGAGCATTGCAGTGAACACGACAATAAGTGGCATCTGGCGCCAGATAAGAGAGGATGAATCCCTGTGCCTACCACAGGCGATTTGTGTTCCATCTGCCAGTTTATATCACGCCCAAGGTGCTCTGTAGTCAGGCTGAAATATCATAATAGTTACCGGATTGAGTAATTGCTGCCGATGCGGAAAGATGTGAGCGGATCATGTCCTGTGTCTCCCCAGACTGAGTGGAAGACGTAAGGGAACAATGTGCTATCTCAAGACACCTTAAGATAGACAAGACTCTCAAGCTAAGATAGACAAGACTCTCAGGCTCAAACAGTTTTTCATTGCTAATGTGATATGGTAAATAGCCTCCTTGTAAACAGTGGTCGAGCATGAATATGGATCCACCAAGAGCAAAGCCCTCGGTATAGCCGACAACAGTCTTAATACGCCTCTGGGTAATATTTACACTAAAACCTTGTTCTCTTATAAATGCTAGTACAAGCTAGAAACCCACTCAACAACGGGTACATCGTTCTTTACATGACAAGCGTCTAGCACACCGTACATGGCTTGTTCTGCAGCGCCTCGGCAGCAGCATAGATGGCCGGCTTCGCCTCAAGCGTCTCACTGTATAGACAGGCGCCACCTTGTCCCGTAAAGACACCAGGAATCCATGAATAGGCATCATCAAAGTCCCAGACCACAACGCCGACACAGCGAGGTCCAGCCTGCTTGCAACTGGCGACACTAGCATAGTAGTCCGCAGCCTGCTGCTTTTGGGCCTCGGCGGTATAGAATGGAGCCTGAGAGAATCGGATGTCCAGTTCGGTGATGGCGACCTCGAGATCGGCCTTGATGTAGGCCTTCTTCGTGGCGAGCTGGTCGGCCAGAGAAGGAGTCTCGCCGACGATGAAATGGGACTCGAGACCGACACCGTCAATGCGAATGCCGCGCTTCCGTAACTCGGCAACTAACTTCAGGACCGCATCCGCCTTGGGACCGGGGTTCTCAATGCCATAGTCGTTATAGTAAAGCTTGACTTTGTTGGCGTGGATCTGAGC